TCAGCATGATGGTGCAGTTGTGCCGCTTATTTTGCAATGAATGTGTGGGGCTTCTTGGGTACCACTTGCTTTAGTAGATACAGGGGTGCAACTTTGTTCATGTTTCAAAGCGATAGTAAAGTAATTTGTAGCTTGAGGCACTATGTTCAGTAGCAACATCGATTCGTAGCGATATTCTGATTTCTCGCTTTGTGGCGAGGCGACTGCCTAGACATAGCCTAGACCCAGGGCCATGTAAGTGAAATATTAAAAATGGTCCCAGCAAAAGTTTCCCAATTATGACGGATGATGGCGCTGATCGTCAAATTTTTGGACAGTGATTTTGCTTACCGACAATACGACGTGAGCTACGACCGGACCAGGACCAATCAGAATGATCAGTCCATAGAATAACTAACTGAAAGAAATGAAAACTCCTATGTTAAAGCCTGGAAACACGCGCTCGACGCGATCCAAGCGGGCTACTGGCAGAACTAAAAGTTCGCGCCATATTTTTAAATGGACCTTTAATGCCAGTTCATAAGTTTTTTACTTATATTTGGTAATTTCAATCTAGATTATGAACTTATTTGTAACAAAACATTTTACAAAATAAAAATAATGTATTTTGATACAAATAAATTAATAGTCTAGGTTGAAATTATCCCTGAAATTAGAATAAAACACGAAAAATTTGTAACTTGATTATTTTATTTTATAACATTGTTAATAAAATTACATATAACACATTCAACACTATAGAAGTATATATAAAAGTTATCAGAATTTATACAATCAGTTATAAGTAATTATAAAAAAGGTTATAAATTATAAATAAATTATTCATTCTATAAAAGACATATAGTTACCGTGAATATAATTTGGTATAACTTTAATCTCAACTTTAATGACCTATTCAAATAGAAACATCTTACAATTCACATTATATAATACACAAAGCCAAGGGACAAAATTGTTATTAAATCTATTCTCGATGACTCGAAGCATTTTTTTTCAAATAAAACAGGACATATAGGGCTTATAAACAATACAAGGGTATAGAAAATATATAAATAAGTAAATACAAATATATTTTCAACCTAATGATTAATGATTCTACTCGTTTAAATAAATAAATGATCTTTTTAAAATTACTTGTTTGTCTTTGCAAATTTGTATATTTAATATTTATCTAAAAGCGTACACTTACATAAATTACTGCACAACCTTTAAAATTAAGCGTTTAATATGTTATACAAATTCTTGATTCGATATAAATACACTTAAATAAAACTTTTAATGATCTTCCAAATTTCTGAGACAGCCATTTTGTTGAAAGAATTTGTTTTGATTATGAGAAATTTCATAAAAATTATCACAGGGATTAATTAATATTATATATTAAACTACTTGGCTTTTAAATTTCACAATCCTATCGTCCAAAATACTCTAAATTCGCAAAAATCCGTAAAATATTCCCATAAAAACAAATCACAATTCACTTCCACTTCACAGAAACTGACAGACATTGCCAAATATGGAATGACGTTTGTTTCTCAATTTATTTTACTGATCTAACTGATCCGGGTCACTTAGAAATTAAATTTTTATTAAATTATTTAATTATAATTGTTTCTGGTGAAAGCAACTTCATATTAATGTTTATTCATAGGGTAACAAAGCACATCACTGTTAAATTATCAACATTTTATATAAATATTTATATTTTTCAACTACTCCAACTACTCCAATTACTCCACAGAGAATCAAACGAATTGTTAATTAAACTATACTCTGTGGATGACTTGATAAAATCATGATGAAATTAAAGTCCCTAGATGAACATCTAGGGACTTTAGATGAAATTTCTACGCAGCGCCATCTATCCCTCTACTGGCAGAAACTCCGCCGTGTTTCCAAAATTCAAATGGCAGTTTCATCCGCCTGGATCAGTCTGTGGATCAGTCTTTCTTGGACATTTGCCGCGGAAATGTGTGTTAATTTCTGTTGTGATAAGTGTGGTTGTGTTTGCAGTTTGATTTTTCGGTTTTGATATTATGTTAAAATTAATTTTGAAGTATTGTATCACCTGTTTTTATGTAATAGTACTTTTTTTAGTTCTATGATTGTTTCTATGTTATGATTTGTTAATGTTTGTTTAACAATGTTATACCAAAGAGGTTATACTTAATATACTTATCAATTTGCATAGCCTAACTTTTTTATCAATAAACTTTGTAGATTTTCAGATTATTTAATTCCTTTTGTTTCCGTTTGTAATTTTATTTTTAAGACATATTATGTGATTGTTTCACATAATATGTTTTAAAAATAAAATTGCAAATAGCGAATAAAAATAATTAAAATAAAAAAGTGTATTTTACAATTCCCCCCGGCCCCGCACCCCTTTGGCTAACCTATAATGTCAGCTATGTCGAGAGATGGCGTTACGAAAATGGAACCGATTTATTACAAGGAACTTGGGCTTCTTTTTCGTTAGTATATTCTGTGCCTAGACCGTGTCGCACACGTGTGCAAGAGTGTGATAGTGATATCATATTTCGCAGCATTTGAGCGACAATAGTTTTGCAATGAACATAGTACCGATCTGGCTTCGACATCGCTTCTAAACGATCGGTTGCTAACTTGAACAAAGTTGCACCCCAGACGCTAGAGCGACATATTGCCATGGCCAGCTAGGTCATCGGATTCAATATGCCTGGGTTTTTCGGGTCGAATCAAGAACGAACGTTGATAAATAACAATTAAATGGCATTAAAATGAAATCAAAATATATATTTTGATGTAACCAATGTACGTCTTTTTGTTTCCTAGCCTACTACTATAATTTTTAGATCTTATAATTCTAGACGACAGCCTAATATGATTTATTTTCTTAATATCTCCCGTTAGAGAGAAGATAGAAAGCTGCGGTTTGCGCTGATATTTTTAAAAATTCTGTGCTCTATTTAACTGTGCAAAAAGAAACATAGCCTGCTTTTAATTTTTTTATCCAAACGCGCAATATTTGTTATGTCAAACAGCGCCCTTTAGCGACCATGTAGAAATTTATGGAAACAAAATTTATACTGGAGATCATTAAGGAAGAAAAGCTCTTTTAAACGAGCCCTAGTTTGTTTACATCGGCTAACCCAAACCAGAGTTAATCTTATTTAAAAAAAAACAAATTTAACCTTCCCCCACCACTTTATTTTATGAAATAGAGCAAAATACGGTATACTAAAAAAATTTCTCACTGATTACAGTAGCAATATTTAAAATACCGCTTCACCTGCATATTTTTGAGGAAAATCCTCTTTTCTGATTGACCATCACAGATACGCCCCCCAGCGGACATTTTTCGAACTTGAAAATGATTTCCAGCGATCTCTCTTGATCGATTTACTTATTAAATGTTTTTCCCAAAGTTATACAATAAGTAGTTTCTGAGATACAGCCAGCGTCCATTCTTGTAGGCTACCCGGTACATTATGTGTATTATGATTATGTACCTTAACAAACTTAATGAAAGTTAATAATATCCATCTATCAAAGAATAAAATCGAAATTATATAGAAACGCCTTTACTTTTTAGGAAATTCAACCATATTTTCATGTTTTTTTTAAATTTGTCTAAAACGGTATGGAAATTTGGAAAAGGTTAAACGGGATTAATAATTTTAGTTGCTATAACATCGACATTTTGCTATTGAAACGTCGATGTTTAATTTGCATCTCCAATTAGTACTTCATAATATTAGAACTTGTTTTCTCAGGACTTTAATCTATACTGATATATAAAATCCTAATTGAAAAAGTGACTGATTCACTGATTAATCACGATCCTGCTCCAACCACTAAACGTAAGAAGCTCAATTTTGGCATAAAGGTTGATTTTAGGGTGTAGAGGTTCGATAAGAAGGGATTTTTAGAAATTCCAGTCTCAAGGGGGTGAAACCACCCCTCAAATATTACAATATTTTTTATTTGAAAAACGGTCAAGTTTCCGAAAAAAACCTTAAATACGTATATTTTATTTTGTTTTTTTACATATTTTAAGATTTTTTAAAAATATATACAGGGTGTTTCGAACAATCTGGTCATTGATTGATCACGATCCTGCTTAAAGCGCTTGACGTAAAAAGCTGATTTTTGGAAAACGGATTGACTTTAGGGTGTAGTGGTTCAATAAGAAGGGATTTTTCGAAACTCGAATTCTAAGAGGGTGAAACCACCCCTCAAATTTTAAAATATTTTTTATTTAAAAACCTGTGAGTTTTTCGGAAAAACTTTTAAACACGTATATTTTATTTTGTTGTTTTATATATTTTAAGATTTTTTAAAAATTTATACAGGGTATTTCATAAAATATGACCATTGAGTAATCACGATTCTGCTTAAACTGCTTGAGGTTTAAAGCTGATTTCTGGCAAACGGATTGACTGTGGGGTGTAGAGGTTCGATAAGGAGGGGTTTCTCGAATCTCAAATTCCAAGAGGGTGAAAACCTTGTGAAAACGCCCCTCAAATATTACAATCTTTGTTATTTAAAAAACGGTTAGTCTTTCGGGAAAACGCTTGGACACGCATAATTTATTTTGTTTTATTACATATTTTGAAATTTTTTAAAAAGTTGGGTAACTGATTAACCACGATTCTGCTTAAACTGATAGCTTGACGTAAAAAGCTTATTTTTGGCAAACGGATTTTTCGAAAGTCAAATTTCAACGAGATGAAACTACCCCTCAAATATTACCATATATTAGTTATATAATAATATCGCATATCGCCATACTGTTTTTTCTCATGCTGACATAAATGTGAGGAAATTTTATCCAGTTTGTATGTTAATGGAAATTCTTGCTTTGCTTTATCACCATTACAAATGATTAATTCGACGCGAACGAAGTCGTGAGTACACGCTAGTAAATCATAAAATAATACTAATTTTGACTTTTGATAATTTTTAATTTACAAATATTTTTACCTAAATACAAAAGCTTAACTTTTACAATGCTTAACTTAAATATCACTAACAGTATTTCGTGACCTCCAATAATTTTTTTTTAATCTAACAAACATTTTTTCTAATAAAACACCCCATAATCCAATTCATTTCCTCCAATAAGCCACACCTTTAACCTTTCCCCCCAAAATCACCGATACCGAAAAAAATGGCCGGATTTCGAAAATGGGAGAATTTTTCTCTGCCCTAGACTCCTTATCTCCTCCTGGTTTTCCACCACAAGCACAAATAGCCGAGCGAATGGAAGGCGATCAGCAGAAAAATCATGTTCCATACGTCGCAGCCGAGATTAGCCTCGGAAAAAGAGTACTTGTCCAGGACTGATGGGCCGTCGGTCAGGCAGGGCAGAGTGCCGTCTTGGCGCGTCTCGCAACCTGGAAAAAATGACGGGATTAGGCTAGAGATGAGGCGGGATATCGATGTTCCTACAATAAATTAATAAAAAGCCCAATCGGTAATACAAGAAAATTTATTTTTTTCCATAGCAACTGTTAAAATTGCCTTATATCTATCAAAAATAGTAGATAAAATAGTACTTTAACCGCAAGGGTAGATTAAATGATACTTTAACAGCGAGGATAGATTAAAAACTTTATTTCTTCTCGAACGTTTTTTAATGGCTTCCGTTTTTGAAAATTTTTGTATTCCTTTTCATAAGTTATTCGGGATTTAAATGGAAGTAGTTTGGATATGACGTTTGTCGCCTCAACATGAATATCTGTTGGTAATTTACTTATTTCCGTTTTGAGTCATTTCTGGCTCCAATTCAATCAGCAATCGACATGAAAGAAAATTATAGTCTATAAAATGAATAACTTGAACTATGAATATAGCGTCAATACAATAAAAAATACGGAACGGATATGGAATGGATATGGAATGGAAACGGAAGGTATAGTCTATAAAATGAATAACTTCGAATTTTGACCGTTATTTTTTACCAACATGGCAAATATAAAATCCCTCTTTCAAAAAAGTTACTGATATTCTTTAAATTGAGTGCCTGAACGGATCAGATAGGTAACTCTTTTTACTTTCGTGAAATAGAAAAGGAAAATAATAAAACAAGTGACAGTTCTTCCTCTTCTTACAAAATCAACACGAAATGTCATAATTTTTTGACATTTCTAAATATCAGACCAATGCCGTCTCTAATAGGACAGGCTTGGAGTGAGATTTATGACGTCACACTAGTTAGATACTACGGATTAAAAAATATGTTGTAGACTACATCGAAAACATAATTCTTCCTCGTAATTTTGGTTTGTATTTTAAAAATGATATAGTTTACATGAAATATACATAATATACAGTTAATAAATACAATATATACACCTATTTATAGTAATAAATACTTTGGCAAATAAACCATACAAATGCAGCAAATGTTCTACAATATACAAATAATGAATAGGTACCTAGGATAATGGGTAAAATGTAAAATATATTTTAAATTTTGTGGTTTGAAAATCGATCTAATTTAACAAAAACATTCAATATCTACTAATAGTGATGTATTATTATTTGCATTCACAAAATTTATATGTATATTTTGCAAGTATCAATTTTCAAAAGTTATAGAAAAAGGCTATGAAATAAAGATCGCTGAGATCATTTTATAATATGTAAAATTATTTTAAAATTTTTGATTTTCTTGGGATTTCGGGAAAAACGCTGATTAAGTTTTCATTTGGTTTTTCATTATTTTTATTTGGTTTGGGCTAAACCTTTCGGTTAACATTATAGCCTACATCAGTGTTGTGTCATATGAAAAAATAGTGTCGAATATAATCCAAAAATTACATATAAAATATTCACACCACACACCACATAATGTTTACTGCAATTAATAAACTAATATAAACTTGTCAAAAGATGACCACATATTTTTAAAATTATTGTTCTTAACACTAAAACTATCAACATTGACTATGGAGTACGATTTCAGCAATAGTCAATGTAGATATCTTATGTACCTATTCATTATTTGTATATTGTAAAACATTTGCTGCATTTGTATGGCTCATAATATTATTAACTGTATATTATAGTTCGTTGTATTTATTAACTGTATATTATGTATATTTCATGTAAACTATATCATTTTTAAAATACAAACCAAAAATGCGCGGAATAATTATCTTTCTATGTATTCTACAACATATTTATTAATCAGTAGTATCTAACTAGCATGACGTAATAAATCTCGCTCCTAGGCTGTCCTATTAGAGACGGCATTGCGTCAGCATGGCCGCAAGTTGCTAACCCTTTGCTAACCTAATAAAATTAACACTAGAAAAGCCCGCGGAAACTGTCAAATTCAAAGTTATTCGTTTCACAGACTATAAAAAATATTGACTCAAAACTGACAACTAAAGAGACAGCTTTATTTATTTGTCAAATCACAATATTTTTTCTACTCGTAATAAATTCCTAGAAATAATAATTTCTGAATATTTTTTAAAACGTAACTCGCTCTGGAAAAAAATATTGTTTGATACACGACGATAAAATTGCATTATCGTCTCCCAAAATTAATTCGCTCGCGATTTCATCGCTTGTGAATTAATCTTCTCGGTCGACGATAAAATACCATTTTATCGTCTTGTATAAAAAATAACTATTTATCTAGATGGCTATACATCTAGATAAAATACCCTAGGCAGATATACTTATGTAAAATAATAAATAAACAACTTTTTTCGGTATGATGACTAAATAGTCAAATTTATTGAATTTTGTTTTAATTAATAATTTTTAAACAAAACAGTATGAATAACTCCCTTATTTGTTGAGATGGAATTATGAAATTGTAAATCCTGGAGACTTATTTACACAATTTTAAATGTCAAAAACTATTATTTTGGCATAGCCCGCTACACTTATTTTCTGACATCTTATATCGATATTTCTTAATGTTGGTCTCATCTCTAATATTACACTATGGATAAAAGGGAAGCTTTATGTTTGCACGTCTTGATCGATGAGATGAAATGATGCGTGTCCTTTACAGGAAGACCAAGAGTATTTTTTTTTGCTTTCGCTTGAAATATTATGAACGATTTTTGTTTTGTTACCAGTACAAGTCCTTAGAAATACTTTGATGCAGATATAAATGAAATAAATTTGAAATAATTACCAATCAGTACTTGAATAAACACTATTCAAGTACATATACTAAATGTTCAGGTTACTAAGTTTGGCAAATACCTTCATTTAAATATTAACTACCTGTTTATTATTATTATTAATTAATATTGTGTTATACATATACATTATACATATACCTACCTATAATTTAATTAGATTATTATAATTGTAAAAAATTGGATATATTCGAAATAATACTTACTAATATTTCTAACTCCTTTCCATTGCAAAATGCTTAAGGATTCTGTGGAATACATCAACCAAGACAGATATCTTGTCCAAGACATTAAAACGGGGATAGTCCTAAATAAGAATATAGTAAGTACACTAGCCTTAAAAATATTTCCACTTATTTAAGATTTACCCTGTATATATAATAAATTACTTATTTGTGTTAAAATTATTGTTTTAAATTATTACGAATAATGTTTTTCCGATTATTGTATAAAATTTTAAAGAAAGAAATACCGATTCAATAAATATAATATATTAAAAAATAAAAATTTTCGGCAAACAAAATACATATTGTAAGAATTTTTTTCTTTAAAGTTTTATTTGGATTAAATTACTAAAAATACTGCAAGATTTGCAAGAGTCTTGCAGGAAGAGCACTACTACGACTAAGACTGAACCCTGCAAGACCAAGACGAAGAGCAAAACTACTTATTAATTGCAAGACCAAGACCAAACGAGTTTTGGTCTGGAATAGAAGATTCAATCTAGAGGCTTTGTTAAAAACACTAATTTTTAATTAAGCCTTGGATAAATAGATTTTAGCATCTAAAGTTTTTCGTGTCTGGTCCTGATTTGTTAAAAATGCCTAAATCGTATTTTTAATCATATCTCAATTTTTTCAAATGGAATAAGGGAGGCTCATTAGCATATTTGGAAAAGGCAATTTTTACGAATAATTTGGTAGCACACACTTTTTTCGTGTCACATGTATTTCGAGTCATATTGTCGTTATGAACCGCCTGTCATAATTTCAAATAAACCATACGCGAAAACGTCAAAAGTTGACATACGGTATGTCATTCTATTGAGAGTGTCATCACAGGTGTCATTTTCTATCGAATAAAGTAAAAATGCCAAGAGTGTCATTTAAAAATCCAAAGTTGCAATCATTTCCGGTAAAACAGTAAGTGACCAAAAACAATTGAATACGTCAATCAATCCTAATTTATGTTATATACTAACATACCAAATCTCGTTATTTTATCTGAAAATATAAAAAAGTTATAGGAGGTGAGCCACGTTTGAGATGCACCCGGTATAGTGAAACAATACGTAAAAAATTTAATAAGATAAACTCCACTTATAATATAATATTTTCGCACTTATTCAATTACAACATGTACAGGGTGGGTCAAATTCGACGCTTTTAAATGGAAACACCCTTTTCTATAGGAGATAGACAAAAACTAATATCGGTGTCTGGAGCTCAATTTTCATCAAAAACATGATGGTGAAAACCGACATCAATATCTGTATTTGCATTTTTAACAAATCGCTGTAATTTTTTTGCTATCGAAAATTTTGTATTTCTATGAAAACATTTCCAAAGCACCTTTTTACGTAGAATTTAATGGTTTAAGTATAATTTTTTTTAAATTAATAATTTAAGAGTTATCAACAGAAAAAATGATTTTTTATTTGGGACACCCTCTATATTTTTAATTATCTGAAAAGAATTTAAAATTACCTTTTCAAAAATATAGCACACTTGATATTTTGTTATAATTCCCTTCGAAATACAGAATTTTTAAAAGTTCGCCACTTTTAACTAGTAGGCTTTGGACCCCTTATTGATGATATGCCCTTAATGGAACTCGAAAACATATTTTTCCAGCAAGACAACGCGCCGCCTCTGAACGCTGAAGTTATCAGCAAATCTTTGCAGCCACTTTCAAGAATAATTGAACAGCTAACCAAGATCCCAGCCGTTGGCCGTCGAGGCCGCCTGACTTAGTGCCCATGGATCTCATCCTATGGATATATTTGCGGTAGAATAAAGGTTCTTTATTCTTCCGTATAATCTAGACAAGAATTAGAAATACTTAGCAGTTATGAGAGGGTATTTTGGTATTGGTACTTTCACCTCCACTGAGTTAATAAATTCCGCGAAAAATGTTCAAAAACTGCCCCGTCTGTCTATAACAGAAGAGGGTCGATATGTCGAACACCTGTAGCAAAATCTCATGTCTTGGTTTGCTATTTATTTTTATTGTTATTAGATATAGTTTAAATATATTTTAAATTGTTATAAAATTTTTCATCTCTCATAGCAAATATTATTTTCGTTTTAATTGATGCTCACAGCTAGAATTTCTTTGCATTACAGCCGGTGCCGTTCAAAGCCTACCTATTTAAAGCGGGAATTATTAATTATATTTAGAGGAATCGAGCAAAATATCAAGTGTGTTATATTTTTGGAAAGGTAATTTTAAATTCTTTTCAATAAATTAAAAATATACAGGGTGTCCCATATAAAAATCAAATTTTCTGTTGATAATTCTTAAAGTATTAATTTTAAAAAAATTATACTTAAACCATTAAATTCTACGTAAAAAGGTGCTTTGGAAATGTTTTCATAAAAATACAAAATTTTCTATAGCAAAAAAGTTACAGGGATTTGTTAAAAATGCATATTTTTGAAAAACACGCCGTAACTCCGAAACGGTAACAGATATCGATATGCGGTTTTCACCATCATATTTTTGACAAAAATTGAGCTCCAGACACCGATATTAGTTTTTGTCTATCTCCTATAGAAAAGGGTGTTTCCATTTAAAAGCGTCGAATTTGACCCACCCTGTACAGTGTACATAAAAAACGTCATACATTATGTGTAAAATATACCTATGTTGTAATTTGTAATAAATGTCAGTTTTCAGCTGACATTTTTATATAATTTAAAAGAAAAATGTCTGAATCAACCAAAGATTACTTTAATTCAATTACTTACCCTCTCTTAACGAAAAGTCCAGACGTTACCATCAGCACATAATCGAAAGGTACTAAATAAGCCATGGCCCTTGGCACCGACTCAAAAGCATTCGAAAACATTATACCTGGAAAGCCAACCAAAATAAGTACACCTATACACATACGCGCGCCCGAAATGTCTATTCCAAAGAAGATTTTAAAATGGAAAATGCATTAGAGTCGGGAAAGATATGTCCTAATTGCATATGCATATGGAGAGATAGAGCGCGAGTCTAGTAGGTACATGTTTAGGGAACGTTTCGGGCGCACGTTTATGTAGAACAATGCAAAATATCTTACTTTCGATGTGAGCGATTTTTTGGTTCTTCGTTTCGTTATGTAAAGAGGGATGCAAATTTTTAATACCCATCGGCAATTCTATTCTAACTCTAACTGTATTTTTTATTGTCTAGTATACTGAGTGGAAAAAAAGGATAGCGCCCATATCTGTACGTACCCCAGAAGCAAACTATACCGGGAGCGATTCAAAAGTGGCTCACTCCTATAACTTTTTTATTTTATCAGATAAAAAAACGACATTTTGTATGTTAGTATCTATACTAATATATAAAACTTTTACGTGACTGACATACTGATTAATCACGATCCTGCTCAAACCACTCAACGTAAGAAGCTCAATTTTGGCATACAGGTTAATTCTAGGGTGTTCGATAAGAAGGGATTTTTCGAAATTCCAGTTCTAAGAGGGTGAAACCACCCCTCAAATATTACAATATTTTTTATTTAAAAAACGGTCAAGTTTCCAAAAAAACGCTTAAACGCGTATATTTTATTTTGTTTTTTTACATATTTTAAGATTTTTTAGAAATGTATACAGGGTGTTTCGAAAAATCTGGTCATTGATTAATCACGATCCTGCTTAAAGCGCTTGACGTAAAAAGCTGATTTTTGGAAAACAAATTGACTTTAGGGTGTAGAGGTTAGATAAGAAGGGATTTTTCGAAACTCAAATTCTAAGGGGGTGAAACTATCCCTCAAATATTAAAATATTTTTTATTTAAAAACCGGTGAGTTTTTCGGAAAAACTCTTAAACACGTATATTTTATTTTGTTGTTTTACATATTTTAAGATTTTTTATAAATTTATATAGGGTGTTTCATAAAATATGACCATTGATTAATCACGATTCTGCTTAAACTACTTGACGTTTAAAGCTGATTATTGGCAAACGGATTGACTGTGGGGTGTAGAGGTTCGATAAGGAGGGGTTTCTCGAATCTCAAATTCCAAGAGGGTGAAAACGCCCCTCAAATATTACAATATTTGTTATTTAAAAAACGGTTAGTCTTTCGGGAAAACGCTTGGACAAGCATAATTTATTTGTTTTTTTTTACATATTTTGAAATTTTTTAAAAAATCATACAGGGTGTTCCAAAAAGTTGGGTAATTTCTTAACCACGATTCTACTTAAACTGTTTGACGTAAAAAGCTTATTTTTACCAAACGGATTTTTCGAAAGTCAAATTCCAACGAGATGAAACTACTCCTCAAATATTACCAAGTTATATAATAATATCGCCATATTGTTTTTTTTTCATGCTGACATAAATGTGAGAAAATTTTATCCAGTTTGTATGTTAATGGAAATTCTTGCTTTGCTTTATCATCACCATTACAAATGATTAATTCGACGCGAATGAAGTCGCTGGTACACGCTAGTATGACATAAATTAGGATTGATTAGCATATTCAATTCTTTTCGGCCACTTCCTGTTTCACCGGAAATGACTACAACTTTTGATTTTTAAATAGCACCCTCTGTATTTTTTAGTTTATTCGATAGAAAATTTCATTCTGAACAGAATGACATATCATATGTCAACTTTTGACATTTTTCCTTAAAACAAAATTGAATTTTAAATTTCAATTTAGAGTGCCATGGCTGTTAAAAATACTAATTTTTAATTAAGAAGCCTTGGAAAAATAAATTTGATCGTCTAATGTTATTCGTGTCTTATCATAGCCGGTTAAAAGATGCCTAAATCGTATTTTTAATCATATCTCAATTTTTTCAAACGGAACGAGGGTAGCTAATTAGCATATTTGGAAAAAGCATTTTTTTACGAATAATTTGATACCACACACTTGGTATTTCGAGTCAAATTGTCGTTATGAATCGCATGTTGCAATTTCAAATAAACCATATTCGAAAATGTCAAAATTTGACATATGATATGTCATTCTATTCAGAGTGTCATTTTCTATCGAATAAACCAACAAAACACCGAGGGTACCATTTAAATATCAAAAGTTGTAGTCATTTCCAGTGAAACAGGAAGTGACAGAAAACAATTGAATACCTCAATCAATCCCAATTTATGGCATAAATTAATATACCAAATCTCGATTTTTTATCTGAAAAAATAAAAAAGTTATAGGGGGTGAGACACTTTTCAGACGCACCCAGTATTAAGTCACAAAACATAGTTTTGAGAAAAACGAATTTAAAGTTCTTTTTTGAAGTTATTTTCTAATGACTTGGTTATTTTTAAACCTATGATTGTAATTTTTGGTATATGGACGACTTATTTTGAACTTAAATGAAATGAAATGTAAAACAGTTTTTAAATAAATTACCAATACAATTACAAATTACAAATACCAACAATTTTTAAGTGACTTAACATATTTCGAATATTAGAAAAAGAAACATTTACAATACTTAACGTATATTAATTCCCTATTTATGCCAAAATGAATAAAGCTAAACCATTTTAAGTCCAAATAAAAATATGTTACTATATGAAATAACAAGAAAACATTTAACAGGAAATTGTAAAACAGGTTGGTATGCTGCAATTTGGAACCAATTTACTATCTTTATTAAGTTTAAATTGACTACCCTATAATAGTAAAACGATCAAAATCAGTATTTAATCACCACTGTGGACCCATGAACATAACATACTAAACTAGGTTTGCTAACATTCAAAATATAAAATAGAGGACGAGGGGGCAAAAAAGAGACCCAGGCGAAACATTTTTTGAAACCTTTCCCAAATGTCTAGAATTGACCAAAAAGTTATGTCTTGTCAACGGATGGTCTTTTTTACTTTAAAAATATTTATACTCAAAACTTGTTAAAATGAAACAAACCATTTTCAAAAACCTTTTTTTTCAAAACATAAGCTAACAGTAAGTAAACAGAAAATAGTTAAATATGTTTATCCAGAAACATTTCTTGTATATAAATATTTCTTCATTTTCTTTTCTGTACAAACGAGGGGAATTGCGAAAGACACAGATTAACATTTTTTTAAAGCATTGTGGGTATAGACGAATATTTTTTAGATTTTGAGTTTGGTATGTAAAAAAGAGTAGTAGTATGACATAAATCATGATTTTCAATACGTGAGAGAAAAGAGGACAGTGAGATCAAAAAGAGGACTGTCCTCTAGAATAGAGGACGGTTGGCAACCCTATACTAAACTAACCAAGAAGAATGTTTAAACCAAACTGCGTTCACGTGACTTAACCTCATTTAGCCCAGGTCTGATATCGGACTTAATATGATTTTAAACAGACTTTTATTTATTGATACAGATAGCGTAAAACGTATACTATATCTCAAATATGCCAATTTTGGACTTGTATCCAGAAATATTTCCAAAAATATATTTCCGAAAATTTTACAATATTACCCAATATACATTTGTCAAGTGTTTAAGTCCATCCTCAGAAATTCGTAATATCCTCTACCCCGATTGTGACGTCCTTTAGTCTCGTCCAATCTCGCCATCTATTGGAACTTTTAAAGTGATTTTACCCTGGAAACTTTGGCGGCCGTTATTTTACTTACCTACGTACGAACAGACCTAACTTTTATTTAAAGGAAAGTAGATTTCGAACAGTTGAAAACTCGTCGTCGAACACATTCGAAAGACTTCGAATCAATATAGGGCATAGTTTCGAAACTATTGAAACGTTTAAATTTGAAGAGTTTTGTATATTGTCTTATTTGAAACAGGGGTTTAGATTACATCAGAATATTGCAACTGTGCGATGAAATACATTAATAAAGAAATTAATTATAGATTTAAAAGAACTTAGTTCAATACCCTTGAAAGCTATAATAGATTAATTTGTTTAATATTCTTAGAAACATTTTATGACAATCTGTCCTTTTGTTATTTGTATACTTGCACACAGCACTGTAGTAGCACCATAGTAGAAGGAAAAGGGTAGTTGCACTCTCCCAAATATTTTCTGCCAGTTTTTACAATCTGTCAAATATCGGCAGATTGCAGAGCGTTTCAGTCAGGTGGTTCACTTCTTATGGGAGAACTGGCAATGGTTGAAAACTTGACTACAAGCGATTTTCTAGGAATCTTCATTACCGATAAATTATTGACAAGAGTGACAGATAAAACCTTGACGTTCTTTCAGTATTCCAGTTCATCTCTTTTTCTTTCTAAAGTGTGCGTTGAAAGGAGACAAAAACAATTTTTTGTGACCCATAATTTGTTATTCGAACACCACTTTTCTCCTTGTCGGGTCGTTGACGTTTGACGTTGACTTGTCGCCATTTTATTTCTTTTGTTTACACGCTGCATTTTGCTTTGCAAATTTAATACATAAAGTATTTAGGCAAATATATAGGTTTTTAATAAAACTCCTCGGACTAACGTGTAGGTAAGTGTTGATAATTTTTTGTTCATCTTAACATGCTCATTGTCGTTCTCCTGATTTTAGGTGACAGAAAAGGATCATCAAATCAAATTGAATTTTATATTTTCCTTCCTATTTATCCTTCCTAAATATCAACGAGATGAGCCATCGGAAGAAAGGGACCATAGTACAAAACAGAAAGGTGATCTTTTTTCTTTCCACTTCGGATATTGAAATTATTATATACTGTAGTCGTGTTCGGCATTATGCTCTGAGAAATATAGATAAACAAAGAACAACAGATATAAAGCATCCCAGAGGAAAAGAGAGGCAATACCTGTATGTACTCTCTCTGATATTTGTGAAAGTTACAGCAAAGTATTGTTGTAAATGTCATCTTTTTGATCGACCTGAAAACTTCGAGCAAAAAGATGACACTTTCAACAATACCCTGACAGATATCAGAGACGATACAGGTTTTTCCTCTCTTTTCCCCTGGAATACTTTTAATTTATTATTCTTTGTTTATCTAGATTTCTCAGAGCACTATGAACGAACTCAGCTTGTATGTTTGAAATAATCGTCCAGTTGGCTTAAAAATGATGATCGAAGACATTTCCCATATAATTTTACTTTCAAAATTATGATATATCTTTTATTTCTAAGCCATCTATGACGCCATTTTTTTCAGTTTTGTTATAATTAATTTTGTCTCTTGATCTACTTGTAACATTATTCTTTTAATTTGATTAATTTATTGTGGTGAAATTAATTTCTGTTGTATATTTGATATTGATATTAAACATATTTTTAAAAAATGGTGTATTTTTTGTGTTTTTGTGTATGTCATAATTAAAAATAAATAAAGAAATAAAATTTTTATTTTTTAAACTTCCCGCCATGCGTGACAATTTAGTCCGTAGTTCCTACAAGCGAAATTGGAGGCGCTAGTAGCAGTAGACTTGTCAACAGTGTCAAATTTAAACGTCAATTTCACTTTCCAATATTTAGCAAGGCGCTCGCACTTCTTCTTGTGTATGTGTTTTGTGGTTTCAGTTGAGTTCCGTCCATCGACCTGCGAGGTTCGAGCGTTGCGTCCCAGCACACAGACGGATTGATAAAAAATGAGTGCCTTATTGTGCGCCAGCTGCTATTGGTTGGAGTAATAATTCAAAAAATTGTGCTTTGAGTTTTTTTTTGAGAGTCCTAACTACTTAATAATTTGATATTATTTTCATTTAAACCTCAATTTTTTATCGATTTTACTTTTGACAACCATGCCTTGCTTGTTGTTTAACGAACTGCACCATCATTGAACAAAAATTTGCTAGTACCGAAAGTACCAAAAAAAAACTGGAAATCCCGGTTCCTTAGAGGCATGGTACCGAAATTACCGGTTCCGAAAAACAGCTCCGGTTCCGGAAACGCTATAACGTACCATAACCGTGAATCGCCCTATACAGGGTGAATCTTAAATAAGTGCAAATATTTTTAGGGGTAGTATATTCTGTGCAATTTTTTTTTGAAAAAAAATCTTTTTTTTTACTTTTTAGTTAAAAAACATAATTTCTTGATAATATGGTAACTACGGTTCAGAACCGGAAATTCCCGGTTCTTTTGAGATATCAAAGAACCGGGATTACTTACTCGAAATTATTAATTCCCGGTTCTTTCGGGACTCGGTAACAATAATTAAAAAATTATTCTTTTACTACGTGAGAAAGTGGTGATGCTATTTCTCATTGTTCTTGCTTCTTTTCTCTTTTGAAATTTCTGTAATGTTTTTTAGCAATTATTGAAGTTTAAATATGTTATTTTATTATTTGGTACAATGTGTTGAACGTATTAGTTATCCAATGAAAATCACCTAACCAATATATTACTACAAAACAAACACAATAATGTTAAAATTAAACTTGTTTTAAATTTAAAAAAAAGTTGTAGAAATTCTTTGAAATAGATTAATATAAAAATATGTCATTATATATTTTTTCCCATCAGAAGATTTTCAGATACAGAAGAATTGTTACTTACACGAAATGTGAAAATATTCTGTTTTCAAGCAAATTTTTACTCGATGATCAATTTTTTTTTAATTTTATTGTTAACTCATATTTTCCTAAATACATCTCTGTGAAACTATGGCGAGTGTCACGACTATACTTTGCCTAGTTATAGACCACAACTATACAGCTACGTCAGTGGTCACGGGACGCGAGAACAAGGTCATATAAAGTGGCAGAAATAGAACAAATGATTTGACAAGGAGTAAAGCTACTAGTTTCCTTATACTATGGTAATATCAAGTCTATAAAATAACACCCTATATAGTAGAATAAAAAATATATATTTACCACAGGCCGAGGCCACGTTCGTAGTGAGCGTAGCAATTAGGGACGTCATGAAAAATGCATAGGAAGTCCGGCGCAATCCCGATATCCAATAAGCGATCAACACGAAGAGGAGGGGCTCGATTATGAATCCGGGAAGCTGTAAAATTACAGAAATTAATTACAAAAGGGTCGCAAAGGGTGACAAAGGGGCGAGGATAGGGGTGAAGAGGAAAACGAACCCTTTAAATATTCGATGTCGATAGTGGGCCTTGATTCTAAGTCTTTAGAACAATAAAAATTATATCTCACCGACAATGTTACTCCTTAAATTTTGAGCTTAATTTATATTAAAAATAGATATGTTTTATACAAAACGATAAATGGTATTTTATCGTCGTGTATAAAACAATGTTTTTTTCCATAGCGAGTTACGTTTTAAAAAATATTCGGAAATTATTATTTCAAGGAATAATTTATTACGAGTAGAAAAAATATTGTGCTGGGTTGGCGTTGGTTTCTATGTAATTTGACAAATAAATAAAGCTGTCTCTTTAGTTGTCCGTTTTGAGTCAATATTTTTTAATTCTCTTTTTTGTGTCGATTGCTTATTGAATTGGAGCCAGAAATGGCTCAAAACGAAATAAGTAAATTACCAACAGATATTCAGGCTGAGTCGACAAACGCCAAATATCCAAACTACTTCCACTTAAATCCCGAATAACTTATGAAAAGGAATACAAAAATTTTCAAAAATGGAAGCAATTAAAAAACGTGCGAGAAGAAATAAAGTTTTTAACCTATCCTCGCTGTTAAAGTATCAATTAATCTACCCTTGCGGTTAAAGCACTATTTTATCTACTATTTTTGATAGATATAAGGCAATTTTAACAGTTGATATGGAAAAAATATTATGAGTAATTTCCCTTACCAAAAAAGTTCTGTAAGAAAATCTACAAAATAAAATAGTTATTTTTTGTAAACACTGCTGCGTTAATCCGACGGAGACTAATTATTGTCAGCAGTGGTTTACTAATAAACAAATTTTCCTAACGGACAAAAATATTCTTAACGGTTCGAAAAGTATATCTCTTTTCGTCGTTGAAAGCAAAAAACAGAAACAACAAATAGTTTAGTTTTTTAAAACAGTTAGAATGTAGAATATTTGAAGGGGAATTAATCACCGCGACCTTACAGATCTATTGTGTGTTCCCCTTTCTTGAGTTATAACGAGTTATAACTCATCATACAGTCTCAGGGCTTTAACAGAAGCCAGTATCTGAGACGTCTCCACAGAGGCCAGCTGTCCATCCTCGACATCAGCTAATCAGCTGTACAAAAGTTCATGGCACGAACGGTCGTCGTCTCGGCGCATTCAGTGGGCATCCAAGGTGTTCTGGTGTTTCCCCATTTTCTCCACAGAATCTGCATTTGCCGTTGTTTCTCAGCTTCAGCCTACTGACACAAATTAACTATAACAGATGCGAAAGAACACCGAATTAAGCCGTAGTCTCATGCATCCGAAATCCGATGACACGACGATCCGACGGTGCTCCTATTGGTCGAAATATTTTGACAACAATTTTTATCCGATAATTTTAACTAATCATCCGACGTCGTATAAAGTTAAATTTTGTTTAACTTTTGTACGATATCGTGTGTTTTTTAACCTCACTTTTTTTGAAAACATTTGTTTTTAAAAACAAGTTTAGTGGGAAGTGGGCAATTTCGGGATATTTGGCGAGGAAGTTATTTTTATAAGTGTTTCTCCAATAAAACATGACATGAATCTCTATTCAGCGCAGCAGAAAAATGTTAAAACTGTCAAATTTCGGAACGAACTTTCGGATGTATGTGACAGGCTTTTTTTATTTCACACGATAACTTCAAATTTCGGATGTCGTACCATCGGATTTCGGATGCATGAGACTCCGGCTTTACGCGTTCAGGTTTCTGTGACCTTCAGAAAGAGTTCATAGACAATCCGCATCAATGTATAGTTTGGGTTATTATTTGTTTGGGTGAAAATAATCTGCACCAATATGTTATCGAGGCATATAATCTCACAGTAATTTAATAGATTGCTCGTCATATTATATCAGTTCGTAGGAGATTAGGAAAAAAAAGATATTTATAGTATAAAAAATTAATTTATTTAACAAAATTTAATTAAAGATGTGACAAAATAGTTACTTTTCTATTGGTTCTATCAGATTTTTTTCGACTATATAAATCTTTATTTTTTGTAAACTTTAATGCATAAAATATTTTCAATCTAATAAATAATTTAATGATGTAAATAAGAGGAAATTTCTCACATGGCTGGTCAAATTCTATAGTTTTCATTATATCAAACAGCCTCTGAATGTTTTCTTCAGTGCAAAACTCATCAAAATTTAATATAAATAATTTTTCCATTTCCAGTAAATAAAATGAACAAATTTTTCCACTTTCATGATCAAAGGCTTTTAAATGGGTAAATAATTTCGAGTTATCCAGAGATTCGGATTCTTTTTGCAAATTTTAGACAAATATCACATAGATGTATTTGAAGACCCTTTTAATTGATGTAGTCAAACATAATTAAAGGCATTTTGAGTTGAAAACATTTCTCAGAGGCTGTTTGATATAATGAAAACTATAGAATTTGACCACCCATGTGAGAAATTTCCTCTTATTTACATCATTAAATGATTTATTAGATTGAAAATATTTGATGTATTAAAGTTTACAAATAAAGATTTATATAGTCGAAAAAAGTCCGATAGAACCAATAGAAAGGTACTATTTTGTCACATTTTTATTTAAATTTTGTAAAATAAATTAATTTTTTATACTATAAATATCTTTTTTTTCTTTATAAATAATGTATGATGAGTTATAACTCGTTATAACTCAAGAAAGGGGAACACACAATAGATCTGTAAGGTCGCGGTGATTAACTCCCCTTCTAAATATTCTACATTCTAACTGTTTAAAAACTTAGAAATAACAGTTCAAAAGACACATAGGTTTCCGGACTAAACGACTGGTGTATTTACACCACTCAATAGGCGTGTGGGGTTTGCCGAGAGGTTTCCGATGCAGTCGCTTTCTTTCGCATCTGTTATGGGTAATTTGTGCTACTGAGGTGTTCGTTGAGGAGGCAGTACCCTGTTAGCAATCCCGTGACAATCCGAAGATTGTTTTTACTTAAATCAAGGAAAATCTTTGATTTTTCTCGGTAGTAAGTTCATTTAAAACAGATACACGTCTACAAAAACCGTTGACGTCCTGTTAACCACTGCTGACAATTATTAGTCTTCGTCGAATTAACGCAGCAGTGTTTACAAAAAATAATTATTTTATTTTGTAGATTTTCTTACAGTGGCGAAATACCCATAGGACTTTTTTGGAGAGATGAATCTGCCACAGAGGAATAGACATTTTTTAATTTCCTTTATCTATAACATCTATTATTTGATTTGGTTTTGTAAGTAGTTCGAAACGAAACGAAACGAAACGAAACGAAACGAAACGAAACGAAACGAAACGGCATTTTTTCGGCATTTCTTAAAAATATCGTTATAAATACAAGAACCTGCCCTGAAATCAAAACTATATTAGGTATTTACTTTGGATGGTCTGTAGTTAGTTCGCTATAAATATGATAATGGTAAAAAATACAGGTTGTTCAAAATTCTACGCCAAACTTTCTAAAATTTTTTCTTCGTTTTTTTTAATGGAACACTCTGTATATTATTTTTTCAGTGGATAGAGGATTAAAAAATGAACATTTTTTGCAATTAGAGTATATCAAAATTTTTAACGGTTTCGCAAATATTTCGTTTTATATTTTATACGGCATTTTCCACTGTAAATTTTTATCCAGTCATCCAATGATTTTTCTCTCATATTTTACTATTGAAATTGAAACAGCTATATGAAATAATAGGGCGTGTATCTGCCAAACCATTAAAAATTTTGAAATACTTTAAATACAAAAAATATTCATTTTTTAATTCTTCATCAAATAAAAAAATAATATACAGGATGTTCCATTTAAAAAAGTTCCATTTAAAAAAAAATCGAAACGAAACGAAACGAAACGAAACTTTAAAGAAACGAAATAAAAAATAATCACTTAAACTAATAATAATCGCTTACCAGAGCTATTATTCTTGATATGTAATATGTTGCAGGGTGATACAAACCGCTTCGGTGTTCTCTTAAAAATAAGGGCGTGTTTTCTGGAAATGCTGCCAGTACGGAATACATAGGGTAGAAGGTATTCTCAGCGACAAAAATAAAAATACAGCCTTGCACTGCTTGAACACCTCTTTGGGTTAGCGGGTCTATACCATAATAAACTAATCCCACTATGAGAGCAATTATCTGTAAAATGTATAAAATAAGATAGTTAGTCGCATGCCATGGAAACTCCTATGGCGATGACAGTTTATACAAGGTTGTTCATCACAGACGACACGGAGTATTGTAGCTAAACGAATAGATTTTGACAAATTGTAAGTTTTGGGTTCATTGAAGGACTATTAGAGCTACAATTTAAAAATAATTTTACTAGAGTGTGAGTTTACAAGTAATAATATCTTTTAATAAGTATACAAATACTGACTGATTTGAATAGAGTTTTAAGCTTAAAAATTCCATTTTACAAATTCGTCCTGCACGGATGACAAACGGGAAAACTAATACGTTCGTAAACGGGGAACTAATCCGGCGATTAGGCCTCACTCTCTTGACCGTTGTTGGCAAAAATATGGCAAATTAAGCTCGGCCTCGTAAATTTGCCGGAGTTAAACTTTTCGATCGCGGCTCGCTGATGATTTATCGACTTTTCTCGCTTAATTTCCATTCTTTTTATCGGAAAACAGGTCCAGAGGGAAAGGGAAATGTATAATAGTTGTTTGTGTCAGATGGTTCTCAATATGTTTGCTTATACAGCTCGCAGAGATGAAAATTTGTACGAAATTATTGTAGTTTTTCTTATAAATGGTATAGAGTAGGGGATGAGCCATGCCGTTTAATTTTTAAATCACACTATTAACTTATTATAGTTGCCAAGTGTTCCAATTCTCTATACTTTAGGCTATCTGAACAAATTACTGAAAGAACATTAATGAAAGAACAACACTCGACAACAAAACTCTGTCTAGTGTATATTGAACTTACATTGCTATGTATGAAACAAAATTGTTTTCAATTTACGAAGGTGCGTACATACATAGGTTATCCATTGTCTCCATTTTTTGGCCAATTTATTCATGAGCAGCCTTGAAGTAGAGGCTGAAACTCAGGGATCAAAGGCTTAGTTTGAGCATTTTCCTAGAGTTTCGTTTAGGTATGTGGGTGATATATTTACCGATTTTTGACATACACATTTTACAAAAATAAAAACATTTTGAACTTTAAAACGAGGAAAAAGTTATGCGAATCACTAATATTACCTGTTATATCATACAGTCTTTGGTCATATTATCGCAGTCTGGATAAAACCACCCAGAATCGACTACAAATTATACAGAACAGCTGCTACAGATTTATTTTTGATCTCAAAAAATATGATATTTCAGACATGTTAAAGGAATTTAAGTGGTTGAAGATACAATTTTTGTGTAGATATTAAACAGTTTTGTTAACAAAAAAGGTTATTCAAAGCTTCAACGTAATCACTGCCAACTAAGCGTCTATATAAACAGTCAATTTGTAGATATTAGTTCAGTTTTATTCATCTGACGCTAAAATGGTTAGCGAAACGCGCATCTACTGCAAAAGTAAAGTGTTTCGGTGTATTGTAGTGAATAAGTGTTTTATTTTGCTGACACTATCAAATGATACCGTGATTTTTTAATATCAGTGTTGTTCCATGGCTATAGCTATTGCAGGATATCGTGACAACTGATACCGTGATTTCTAATATAAGTGTTGGTTGATCTGTTTCAATTGTTTGTTGATCTGTTGATTTAGTGAATGTGTACGTTGCTCTGGAATACATACCACTCTCTGTAATATTCTCATACGTTGTACGGAAGGATCTCTAAGAACTTCTTTCCACCATCTATAAGTAAGCCAGTACAATTTTTGCCACCAAAATGGTTCCTTACTAAAATAGAAATAATTAACTCTTTTTAGAATTATACAAACCAAATTTAATTCAAAATAAATGATACAACTTACAAATTTGATCTTAACTCGAACTCGCGAGGCTGAAAAAAATTCTCGGTAAATTAATAAATATAAATCAAAAAAAAAATAATACATGAACTTCTTGTATAGAAAGACTTCTTGATAACACAAATTTTTAAGTGTATATTGTATTTAAGTCTATAAACAAAGCGCATCACAGTCACTGTCATAGAAAGTCAAAAAAGTATTAGACGGTCCTTCAGTTTGAAAGATAGAAAAAAAAACAATGTTATTAATTAGTAAGAATAATTATTGTTGTTTATTTGTCTTAGTAAGTATAAAGAATACTTAAAACCTTTAAACCTCGAAAATCATATTGTCAGACATTTTTATTAAATTTGGCTTATTGGCAATTAATAAAATACAAATTTTGTTTAAATAAATACCGTATGATCGGAAAAAAACGGCGTCCAGTTGGCTTGGAACTTTGAAATGACGATCGATGACTTTCCCCATATAATTTAACTATAAAATGACACTGATCTTCATTTCATAGCCATCCCTGACGCCGTTTTTTTTTCGATCATGTTGTATAAAATAGCTTTCAAACAAAAGTTTCGGATACTGAATAATGAATCATTGTCTTGCACATTCATATAAAGTAGTTTCATAAGAATGCCAGTTCGAGAATATATACGTAACTAATGAATCTGAATCGGAAGAGAATATTAGATTTGCAAAAGTTATAACAATATTTATATAACCATTAAGTTCATGAAAACAAAATTACTAATTTCAACTTGTTAAAAGAAACTTGTGATGTTTAAAACATATCTTGAAGGACTAGTAGGCATATATTCTTCAGGCAATCAAATTAAACTGTCTAATATATGCAAACATACCTCAGCTCTACCCATATGAAACTCATACTGCACCACAACGTCCACTTCTTTTGCAAAATCACTGACAGCAAAATGGTCACATATCCTTTTAACAGCCATTTTACTGTTTGTTTCATATCCTGGAGTCGCTAATGTTTTAATAAAAAAATCTGCCGGACTGTATGATGAAGGACAAGCAAATCCCATACTAAAATATATAAAAACAAACTATATGACCGGTATATGTGGTTACCGAAATATTTTTATACCAGTTACGAAGCTTTTAATAGACAATACCATCAGATATCACATTGTGCATTTTAATCCGATCAAACAATCGGAGGTTGACTACGTACTGTAAAAACCAACTGAGATAGAGAAGGCGACATTGCCACATCTCAAATTTGGCCTATCTCAAATTTGCGCCTATCTACTTAGTTTGATTTGCAGAAAAGGTGACTTTAAAACCTTCACCGGATATCAATAAATCTCAATTTCTTAATTAAATTTATAGTTTATTTTTAAAGAAGCATGCGTAATAATATGTTATTAACCAGAGGATATATGCGTTACTATTAAAGGACATGTTTACTGTTTAATGTGCTGAAACGTCTAGAACTATTGGCAACGTCGCTGCTAGTCTTCCAGAATGAAATGAGCCGTCCGTCCCACCACCCCTCGCGACGGCCCTTGGTCCGTTATAGCATACTACGTTTAGCTTACGGTGTGTTTGAAGTCGGAATCAAGTCCGAAGTGAACTTTTCAGTGTTTTTCGTTAGTTTTTGTTTTTGTTTAACGTACTTTTGAATCTGCTAATTTTCAATATGGTAGGACAGTGTCAAATGTGTGGAAAAATAAGCTCAACTTACCCGAATTTGTCTTTTCACAGGTAGGTATTGTTTCCGCCGTAATCGTACATAGGCGTCCCACAAGGGAGCCTCTCACAATTAAAATAATTTCTAATTATATTTGTTGAATTTTGATCAATTAAAATAAGAACGTAGTAGCCAGTAATTGAATTATAATTCGTCTCAATTACCACCTAACTGTTGTAAATCATAACAAATTTGAATATAAATGGTGCATTTGAAACTTTATTATAAGCCAGAAAAAGTGACATTTTTTTTTAAATTGCGTCATATTTTGGTCATTATATACGATATTCTAAAGGAATTTTGCTCAACAAATAAACAAAGGTGTTTACCCGTCCTTTTTTACATATTATTGCTTTATTATATCTTATATCTGCCCCTTCGGTCTTGTTTAGACAATTTTTTACCACCGTACAATACAAATACCTCTTTCTAGAGTTATTTGTGCGGTGTGTTTACCTTTTTTTAGAATTGGACGAACTGTAAATAATTCTTAGGCTACTAGTTTTATACATACCTATATACAGAGTGACCCAGGCCTCCAAAAAAGCTTTTTACCTATTACGTTTTTGGTTTGTGATTTTTATTTCAATTTTTTACATTAGATCGGGGCCATTGTAAAGCACATTTTCAAAATATTTTTGTCAACATACAGGGTGATTCAAACAGCAATACATATGCTTAATACAGTTCATGAAGATTGGGACATTTAACTAAAATTTGATTGTCTCTGATGAAGCTACCTAAGTAATGGATTTGTAAATAAACGTAGTATTCATTATTATGCGACAGAAATCCCATACTGTAGCACACAGATTTGATAATTTTAATGATACATGCCTTCTATTGAGAGACTATAAGGTAATTGCCTCGTATCTGAGCCATCATAATACGAGAAGAAGACCGAAAGTCAAATCTTGTCTTATATTTTCACTTCCTGTCTTATTAACACAATTTTCTCATTAAAATAAATATTGATTTTAGGTATAGGAAGTTATTAATAATACAAGATTAAACAACTACACAGTACTTCACAGGAAGCTATCGATTGCGAACTAACTAAATCGTAACTAAGTTCTTTTTAGGATCAAAAAAAGTAAAACTCAACCCTAAACTATCAATTGAGATTAAACGGGAAGTTCTAAATAATGTTGCCTATTCTAAACAAGAAAAATTTATTTATAAGTTTTATAACATCTCTAATTAAATTTGGACGAAAAGAATATTTCTGTTTGCTGTAGGTAATTTTCTCAGGGAAAATACGTAAATAAAAATGACTTTTTAAGTCAAAAAAAGTCAAAAGGACAAGTTATTCCAAAAAAGGACTGTCCTTTTCAAAAAAGGACAGTTGGCAACCCTAGGTATTTCTGGAATGGAATTTAATGGCAAATCTACAACTTTAGTTTGAAAATATGTTCCGGCCACCTATGTTAAAATGTCTAAAATGAGCTTTACCATTGCCTCCATATTCTAAAAAAAATTGAAAGAAAAGTCACCAACCACAAACCTAATATAGAATTGTTTCGGAAGCCTGAGTCACCCTGTAAATATTCAAAAGTAACTGAAAGTTTATAGAGAAGTAACTGACAGTTTAAATTGAATATCGACGTTGGAGCGATTTTCGAAAACTATCTACTAACGTTTCAACATAAGTATATGTGGGATATTAATTATATTATTATATTAGACCTTATAACAAAACTCATCTAACGAAAAAGTGTTAATGTAGTATATTAATATGGAGTAAAAATTTTACTAATTATTTTACATTTACTTTACTACTTAAATTCGTTCCAAAAAACGATACGCCACTGGCCATTAGAACAATCCAAATGTGCCTAGTTGCCGGGGTCGGAAATTTTAGACTTCCCTGTCTCTTCTGTCCTTGTTCGACACATTGGAATGTTTGATACACTACCAACGAGTATTTATGAATGAGATGTTCGGTCTATTTGGACAATACAAATACTTTTTGATAAAAAAAAACTTTCAATCTTCAGAAATTGTTGTAGCACCAGTAGCTTATGATAATAATACAAGCTAATTACTTTTCAAAAAATTCAGTTGCTGTTGATCTTCCACCCATATATGCTATCCTTCCTTCAGTTACCAAAATCAGCTGAGTGAACAACTCAAATACTTCTGAAGATGGTTGATGTATGGTACATAAAATAGTTTTTCCCATTGTGGACATGCGACTCATAATTCTGACTAATTTTTGTGCTGAATATGAGTCCAGCCCTGTGGTTGGCTCGTCGCAGAATAGAATAGGAGGATCATTCAATAACTGTAAGAAAATAGAAGATTATAATTAAAAAAGATTAAATTAGACGATAATAGTCCCAAAAATAGGTCTTTAAATATGAAGTTTTGGTAAAAACTTGAATTTTTGATATAAGTTACTTTGAAAGATCTAAAAACGAAGAGTGAAAGATTTTTTTAAATTCACCCATTCGAAAAGGGGTAAAATAAATAAATAAAATTAGTTTTTTTGAAATTTCGGAGAAACGGTAAAAACTAGAGATAAGAAGTTCAAATAAATGTTGTAGAGCGTCCAATTTTACATAAAAATGGTCTATATACTTTTTTGCTCAAATCAAAATTAACCGAGATAGGGTGGCTAGAAGCTAGGGGATGATAGTGGAAATTTAAAAAAAATATAAGTTACTGAAAAAGTCATAAATTTAACATTTTTATTCAATTTGGAAAATTAAATTCAGTCCGAGAAGGGGTGAAAAATACAAATAAAGTGTTTTTTTTTTCAAATTTTAGATAAGCGATAAGGACTTATTTAAATTATTGATGAATATCGATTTACAGGGTCCGGCAATAGTGCGTCGGCCAGTAGCTCCTAAAATAAAAAAGTTAGCAATTTTGTTTAAGTGCAAATCTAAACTATGTATTAGTATGTATTTCAGGAAAATAAATTAACCTCTACAGGGTGACTCAAGAAAGTATTAGTGGATCAGGATGATTTATATTAAATGAAACACCCTGTATATTACTACATTTTTGGCTTTCTTTCTGATCACTTTACATAATCTTAATATATTTTTAAATAAGTTTTGATAGTTTCAGAGATATTAATAAATAAATAAAAAAAAAAATTCAGCAATTTTAAAAAGAAATATTAAATACAAGAACGGTCCTGAAATCAAAACTATATTAGGTGTTTACTTTAAATGGTCTGTACTTAGGTTAGGTTAGGTTGCTGGGGTTTGGGATCATATTTGATCCCTCACTCGGAGGCCTTGGGCCCATTGCGATACCCCTGTATTGTTTTACCAAACCTTCCTCTCATTCTTTCTTTGCGTTAAAGCACTTCCAGCTCTTTGCAAAGTTCCCGATGTCGCTGATGTTGGCTTCTGCTGCTTCCTCTAGTCCCTCCAAAAAACCTTGCCCTAAAGTTTTAATGCGTCGGTATTCCAGTGCCGGACAGTGGCACAGCAGGTGCTCTATGGTTTCTTCTTCCTCTCCGCATTCTCTGCAGTAGTCGTCGTCGGAAACTTTCCATCTTACGAGGTTTACCCCCGTGGAACAGTTTCCAGTGACGACACCTACAATTATGCGTACTAGGTCCTTTTTATGCTCTAGTAGCTGTTTTGTCTTTTTGCTATCTACCACTGGCCATAGTCTTCGAGCTGTAGCACAGTCCTCACGGTGTTGCCACGTCTCTTGCTGCTTGGCCTTGATGGCAGTTCCTATAGCCTCCTTCAGTGTGTTGATCGTCAAAAGTGGTGGGTCATCTGCCACGGCCTCTCCCCTGGCCCCGTCTTTGGCGAGTCTGTCTGCTTCCTGATTGCCCACCACATTGCTGTGGCCTGGCACCCAGCACAGAGTAGCCCCACCCCGACGCAGCCAGGACAGTGCTTCTCGGCATTCCATCACAGTTTTCGATCTCACTGATTGCATGGTGATGCTTCTTAATGCGGGCAAGCTGTCAGAGTATATCACTATATCCCCTATTGGTCTATCAGCAATTTTCTCTCGTATACAACTAGCCGCTTCCTTTATGGCGTAAACCTCTGCTTGTAGAACATTACAGCCATCCGATAGCCTCAAAGATCGTCGGATGTCTAGTTTCTCTGAGAAGATGCCCACACCTGTGCCCCCTGAATTTGCGGAAGCATCTGTGTAGACTGCTATCTCTTGAGTGTTCATTACTCGGTTGCTTTCCCATTCTTCTCTTGTCGGAATGCGAATTCTTATCTTTTCTCCAAAATCATGTTTGGTGAGCATATAGTCCGTTTTCTGGTCTAGCAGATGTGGACTCGGTTCACCATGATTTTCCCTATCACTGGCAATATCCTCGAGTGACCGTAGTTGGTCTGGTTCCACAGATTGGATTCCCTTAATCTTAGGGCACCCTTAGCGGCCAGATCCTTTACGAGCCAGTCGATTGATTGCAAGTCCAGAATTGCTTCTAGCGCAGCTTGCGCTGTGTTGTTCCTTGCTCCAGTTGTACCTAGAGCTGCTAATCGCTGTACTTTTGTGAGGCTTTTCTATTAGTCTCTTTAAGTACCGCTTCCCACCATACTAGTGCTCCATAAGTGATGATTGGTCGAACTATAGCAGTGTACATCCAGTGTATAATGTACGGTTGCAGACCCCATCTCTTTCCAAATAGTTTTTTACATGCATAGAATGCATTTATTCCCTTTATCATCCTTTCCTCCGTGTTCCTTTTCCAGGAAAGCTTCGAGTCCAGAATGATTCCTAAATATTTTGTCTCCTTAGCAAGTACAAGTGTTTTCCCTTCCAGCTTTGGTAGCGTGAACTTGGGTATCTTGTATTTTCTTGTAAACAGAATGAGCTCGGTTTTGTCTGGGTTGATGCCCAAACCATTCCTTTTTGCCCATTCCGTTAACTTCTTCAGAGCAGATTCCATGATGTCACTGATCGTCTGCAAGTCTTTGCCAACGATCAATATTACCACGTCGTCTGCATATGCCTTTATCCTAATTCCCTTCATTGTCAGAGAGGTCAGGATCGGGTTCATTACAATCAGCCACAGCAGAGGTGATAATACCCTCCTTGTGGCGTGCCTCTTGTTGCACACTTTTTGGCTGAGCTGTTTCCCATCTCCGATGTGATAGTCCTGTTCTCTAGCATTTCTAACACCCAGTTGATGGTTAATTGCTCTACCTTTAGTTCCTCCATGGCTTTTTTGATCGCCTCTGTCTTTACATTATTGAAAGCACCCTCTATGTCTAAGAAAGCCACTAATGTGTATTCCTTATCCCTGAGGAATTTTTCAATTGTACCTACTACCGAATGCAGAGCACTTTCGACTGACTTACCTTTAAGGTATGCGTGTTGCGCAGCACATTGCTTCTCAATATCTGTAGTCTCCTTAATATGTAGATCTATCAGCCTCTCTAGTGTTTTCAGTAGAAACGATGATAGGCTAATAGGTCTGAAGTCCTTGGGTAAAGAGTGGCTTGGTTTACCCGCCTTAGGTATGAAGACCACTTTTACCTCTCTCCACTTCTTTGGAATATGCCCCAAATATAGGCATTCCCGGAAGATCCTGGTTAGTAGGGTATTGATGCTCCTTGGACTTGGTCTGTACTTACTTTACTATAAATATCGTAATCTTAAATCATATAGGGTGCTCAAAATTCTACGCCAAACTTTCTAAAATACAAAACAATTTTTCTTCGCTATTTTAAATGGAACACACTGTATATTATTTTTTTTAACAGATGGAGAATTAAAAAATAAACATGAATATTCCAAAATTTTTAACGGCTTTGCAGATACTCGCGGTATTATTTCATATGGCTCTTTCAATGGTAAAATACGAGAGAAAAATAATTGGGTGGCTTTGATAAAAGTTTACTCTATGGAAAATACCATATGAAATATAAAACCACGAACATCTGCAAACCGTTAAAAATTTTGAAATACTCTAATACAATAAATGTTCATTTTTTAATTCCCCATTTACTAAAAAAAATATAAAAAAACGAAGAAAATTTATTTTATATTTTAGAAAGTTTGGCGTAGAATTTTGAACATCCTGTTTGATTTAAGATTACGATATTTATTGCAAAGTACGTACAGACCATTTAACGTAAATACATAATATAGTTTTGATATCAGAACAGTTCTTGTATTTTTAATAATTTTTTAAGAAAGGCTGAAAATACAGGGTGGCGCCGCTCATACGCCGCGGAAGCTCCAAGGAGAACGGTAGTTTATATCAAAATGAGATTCTGGCAGCATATGTAGGTTAACTGAAAGCATTTTATAAAAATATATAGAATTATACAGGGTGTCCCCAAAAAAAGTTACACATCAAAGTTGTGTTTTTTCTAATGGAACACCCTATATATTAATTGATTTTCGGATTTTAGGAAAAACATAAAGCTGAGTTTTATTAAAGAAGCATATACCTAAAATCTAAGGATTTTGACATATTTCATATTTTGTGAAAATAAAGAGTAAATTTTAAATTTCGATAACAGCTACCTAAATTTTAGTTGACCTTGTATAGCCTGATATTTAATTACAGTAACCATTGTATGTTAAACGAAATTGAAATTTAACCCGAAAAGTTATACAGGGTGAGACAAAATTAATATGGAACATTAGTACTTTTAAAAGCAAGTTACTCCTTAATTTTAAATAGAACACCTAGTATTTTTTTCCGGTGTTCAATGGAAAATATCTTCAAAATATTATTAAGGTTGCCTACCCCTCAGACAAATATTTTCCCAGATATTTTAATTTTTATGATTTTGCAGTAAATCTGTATTATTTGAAAAAATCTAGGTGGCTTTGTGGTATACCTTTTTTTAATTTAACAAAAATTAAAGATTGTGGAGTAAAATACTCAAGGATAATAAAAAAAATACACGTTTAAAACATATTTTAATTATAACAGAATTAAAACTAGATATAAACCTATAATTATGCGACAAAAATTAGCTGGATGAAATCAAATGCTCAGAATGCTTCCTTTCCTGTTAACTGCATAAAATGATTGTCTTTTCAAAAGGATCTTTTCATTTTAAAAGGCATTATGTGGAGTTCTACCTGAAAAAGCAGCTGCAATAATTTATCTCATGCTCTCAACACTAGTTGGTCGAGTTTTTTAAACACTGTCTTTAACATATCCCCATAAAAAAACCCAGACTAGATAAAATCAGGAGCATTTAACTATTCTATTAATTGGTGAATGCACACTGCATTCACCAACTAATAGAATCATATCAATTCTCTCTGATATAGGATAAATTTGCATTTTCGGCAAATTCCTGAGAATTTTTTTTTGTTTTAACTGACAAAAAATTATAACTAGATATTAAAGTTGAACTAATTAGACAACTATGTTGAAGTAACGTCAGACATATCACAGCCACCTAGGTTTTATCAAATAATAAAGATCTACTTTGATCAAATCATGTAAATGAAAATATCTAGGAAAATCTTTGTTTGAGGGGTAGGCAACATTAATAGTATTTTGAAGAGACAGGAATTCTCCATTAAATATCGGAATAATATACTGGGTGTTCTATTTAAAATAAGAGAGTAACATGCTTTTAAAGGTGACCAATGTTCAATATTAATCTTGTCTCACCCTGTATAACTTTTTGGATCAAGTTTTAATTTGATTTAAAGTAGAATAGCTAGTTTAACTACATATTAGGCTACACCGGGTAAATTCCAATTTAGGTAGCTTTTATTGTAATTTAAAAATTGTTCTTTATTTCTAGAAAATGTTAAATATGTCAAAAACCTTACATTTTAGTCATATACTTCTCTTATAAAACTCACCTTTATTTTTCTCCTACAATCCGAAAATCAATTAGTATATAGGGTGTTCCATTAGAAAAAACACAACTTTGATATGTAACTTTTTTGGGGGACACCCTGTAGAACTCTCTATATTTTTAAAAAGTGCCCTGAATTAACCTACATATGCTCACAAAATTTCATTTCAATACAAACTGTCGTTCTCCTTGGAGCCTCCGCGGCGTATGAGAGGCGCCACCCTGTATATATATATATATATATATTTTATTTATTTATAAATATCTTTGAAACTATCGGAATATACCTACTCATGTTTTATGATTATGTAAAGTGATCTGAAAGGAAGCCAAAAATGCAATAATATACAGGGTGTTCCATTTTTAAAAAATAATCCCGATCCACTCACACTTTTTTGAGCCACCCTGTAGAAGGTAAAATATTTTCCTGAAATGCATCCTAGTATATACTTTAGGTTAGCACTTAAACAAAATTTCGAAGTTTTTTATTATAGGAGCTACAGATGCCCGACACACTGTTGCCGGACCCTGTATATTATAGAAGCACTTATTTAAATTCAGCTTTTGTAGTGAAAGATTTGCGAGACTACGCATTTTTTACATTTTTTGTTTTTGACGGGATATAGCTTTCCATAGCCTGAATAATGGATAGGTTGTTATTCTCAACTTAGTTTATAAACTAGCCAAGTAAAGATTGATTCTCACTATACCTTCCGTTTCCCTTCCGTTTACATAAAAAATTATATCATGTTAATGAATAGGACCATGCACACTATCCCTTCCGTTTCCCTTCTGTTCCATATCCTTTTCTTCCATACATTTTTTGGCGGACGAACTGAAGCGAACATTTGTACCAGCGAACATTTGTACCAGCTCTGTTGACATTTTGCTGATATTTATTTATTCTTTCACCTCTTAATTAAATCTATTACCTTTTTCAAAAGATACACATTTTTAAAATAAATCGTAACTTTCGTAATGATATAAATTGTTCAATAAAAAATATGGAACTGATACGGAACGGAAGCTTTCGTATAGCGTCAATACAATAAAAAATACGGAATGGATATGTAATGGAAATGGAAGGTATAGTGAGAATCAACATTAAGTATCCTAAACATCACATAATATGAACTACATTCATTTCAGGTTCCAAACATAACATTAATAATAAAAAAATATATCTTTTTTAAATTTTCAACCATTAATCTGATAATTTTATATTTTATTTAATAAATGCATCAAAAAATAAAACTCTCCCGTCTCCAAACGACGGATACACCGCCAAAAACAGTTAAGCCACTCCACTTCGACATATTTATCGATAGAAATTGAGACAAAAACTTCTTGTCCCGATATGGCTTCATAAAAGGCTCATAAAAGTCCCTATCTCTATCCCGAAGCCTTTTTTCTCTTCCTTTTTCGCTCCTCCTCTTCCTCAATCACTCTCTCCTTTTTTCTTCACAGCGTCGGGATCAATTTGTCCGGTAATTCATCAGTCATATCGGCACAGGCTGGGAATTTATCACCCGGAGCCGAGACAAGGGATCTATCGAGTCCCGCTGATGCTTTTATCAGTTTTCTAGTACGATAGATAGATACTGTTAGGGCTTTCTTCTTTTATTAATTCTTAACAGACGATGATGCCATTAAAATTCTATTTTTATGCTATTCTACTATATAGGGTGGGCCAAACTGGATGCTTTTAAATGAAAACGCCCTTTTCTATAGGAGATAACGAAACCTAATATCGGTGTCTGAAGCTCAATTTTTAATAAAAAATGATGGTAAAAACCGCACATCGATATCTGTTACCGTTTCGGAGTTACGGGATGTTTTTCAAAAATATGAACTTTTAACAAATCGCTGTAACTTTTTTGTTGTGGAAAATTTTGTATTTTTATGAAAACATTTCCAATGGTCTAAGCAGTATTTTTTAAAATTAATAATTTAAGAATTATCACCAGAAAATTTGATTTTTTATATGAGACACCTTGTATATTTTTAATTCATTGAAAACAATTTAAAAGTACCTTTCTAAAAATATAGCACACTTGATATTTTGCTCGATTCCTCTTCGAGATATAGAGCTTAAAAAAATCGCCCACTTTGAATAAGTAGGCTTTGAACGGCGCCGGCTGTAATGCAAAAAATAATAACTCTAGCTGTGAGCAGCAAAAAAATTATATTTACAATGAGAGATGCAGAATTTTATAACAATTTAAACTATATTTAACAACATCAACACATTTAAACTATATCTATAATAACAATAAAAATTAATAGCAAACCAAGACGTGAGATTTTGCTACAGTTGTTCGACATGTAGACCGTCTTCTGTTATGGACAGACGGGACGGTTCTTGAACATTTCTCGCGGAATTTATTAACTCAGTAGGGGTGAAAGATTCCCTCACTTAACCGCGAAAGGCGCTAAGTACTTCTAATTCTTGTCTAGATTATACGGACAATTTAAAAGTAAGAACCTTTATTCTTCCGCAAAGATAAAAATAGGCTAATGATAACAGGCACTAAATTCGCCGGCATCGACGGCCAACGGCTGGGGTCTTGGTTACGTATTCAATTATTCTCGAAATTGCTGCAAAAATTTGCTGATAACTTCAGCGTTCTGAGGGGCGCCTCGTCTCGCTGGAAAAATATATTTTCGAGTTCCATTAGGGGCAGATAATAAGGGATCCAAAGCCTGCTAGTTAAAAAAAGTAAAAGTAAAGTAAAGATTTCAGTTAACGTCTCCTTTTTGCTGCCAGGGCTAATCTGGACGGGGCCTACTTTGTTTACGCGGAATCCGAACCGCGGTCCTAGGCCATATCATGGTCATTAATAACTGTGATTGACAGCGTCCAGCGTCAAAGCTTCCATTGATGTGGATGGTGAGTCGCACCCTTCAAAATATTGTAATACGTATTCATTTAAAAAGTCACTGAAATTTCCGCTCCCACGCCCCCTACAAGAAGGAGTCATATTGACATCGAAATCAAATTCCTCATGTTAAAAAAATACAGATACTAATTTTCAGCAAAATACCGAATTTAGTTCAGAAATTATTAGGAAAAAATCGAAATAAAAATGAAACTTCTCCACCCTGTATCTCCGAAACGAAGCATTTTAGGACACGTTTATACGAACTTTTTTACTTATTTTATGTACAGAATATCCCGCCGAAGTTCGGACCACCCCGTATTCAAGCATGCAAATGTTTAACAAACCGTTTGATTTGACAACAGACTTAGTATAATCCTTTTTAATGGTTGAACAACGTTATTGACGTAGTTTCAGGAGACAGATTTTCATAAAACAGAAAACGCGTACTAAATTTTTCTATGTCGCCAAAAGCATTTAGAAATTACATAAATAGAAGCTAAATGACATAATATCATAAATGTACCCTACAGAAATATAAATGGAACAGTAGGTATGCAATATCAAATTTAATTTATGTCATATTTTTATATGTGTATATGATCCAGGCACGAAATACTGGCCGACTTATTGCCAACGATAAATCATTTTATGATCGGTAAATCAAGTGATAAAAGATTTAAAAGTAAAAAAAAAGAAATAATATGCTATAAACATGGAATATACATATGTACATATCAAAATCACACATACATAGAAGTACAGCCTACTTCCACTCTGAAGCTGATATTGTAGAAACATGGTTTTGAAAGTCTTCAACAACTTCTTGAGGTGATGAATGTTCAGTTGTTTGACATGCTTTATGGGAGCTGGCATTGTCATGATAATGATGCGACGTTTTTTGTTCTTTTTTCTTTTAGAATTTAACTAATTTAAATATTTCTTTTTTATTTCATAGAAGAGCGTTGGCAAACAAATTGTTGTAAACCATTCGGCATTTTCTTTTTCTTTCTCTTTTTCTTTTTCTTTTTCTTTTTCTTTTTCTTTTTCTTTTTCTTTTTCTTTTTCTTTTTCTTTTTCTTTTTCTTTTTCTTTTTCTTTTTCTTTTTTCAGCATCTAATGGAATGGTAGCGACGTGTCCAGCAGCGAAGAAACAAGCGATGGTAAAAACTTAAAAGGCAACCTATATATTATGGATTATTCATAGAGAAACAAATAAACATTATTTAGCAAAAAATGAAAATCTATAAATCATTAAATTAAGAAGGTATGTGTTTTAAGATATTGATATAGCATACTAATATAGCAAATTATGTTTATAGTGATGTTTACTTACCTCAGTAGCAAAAGCTAATCGTTTCATCTCTCCACCAGACAAAGTTTTACTTTGTCCAACAGCTCCAATTTTCGTATGCATACACTTCGTCAGACCTAGCTGTTTCAAGATATCTTTGATTTTCCTATTCTTCTCACATGAACTAGTTCTTCTATCCAGTTTCAAATTTGCCTAAAAATATACTGTAGTATTTATTGTGTGCACACTGCTGTAATTTAAAAATAAATAACGGAACAAAAAGTTTTGGTAAATTTATAAAAACAAATTACACAGTAATTTACAAAGTCCTCCTATTTAGACTAAAATTAAACTAGGTTATCTCCGTAGTAATTTAATAAAGAAAAATTAAATAAGTAAATGTTGTATATATTTTTCATGTGGTTTATTTCATAAATACCATTACAACCATGTGCTCCAGAACAGTCAATGATGGAACGAATATATCCTCTTGCGGCATGTATCCACTCATGTACTTCATGTAACTTCCAATTGGTCTTCCATTGATTAGTATATCTCCATCTACTTGCAAGTCACCTAAAAGTACTTTCAATACTGCTACAGAATTTTAGTACTGCACTATATTTACCTGTTTGTCTATAAGCCAATGCAGTCATTAAGGTGCTCTTTCCAGCCCCGCTATAAATATAATAATAATTAGTAGAGTCTATAAATAATAATAATAATAATTAGTCTACCCACCATTTATAGAAAAATAATAAAATCCTAAGTAATAGAAAATGAAATAGAAAAAGAAAAAGAAAAAGAAAAAGAAAAAGAAAAAGAAAAAGAAAAAGAAAAAGAAAAAGAAAAAGAAAAAGAAAAAGAAAAAGAAAAAGAAAAATAAAAAGAAAAAGGAAAAGGAAAAAGAAGACTGGTGAGATTTTATTTTTAATTACCTGGCTCCCATAAGTGCTGCAAGACTACCTGGTTTCAAGGCTCCTGTAACTAAAAGATATATGTTTTAAAACTAAAATTTTCATTCATTTTATTGATATAATTCTTACCACAATTTATAATTCTTTTGAATCCAGGCGTTCCATTATATTTAGTTTTTGCAGAAACTGTTAAATCGTTCCAAGCCAAAGTTACTCCTTCTTTCATAGGTGACCATTTAGAGTAACTTCTACATTTGGTGGTAAAATATCCACTAGTTTCTATCTCAGAGTCTTCCTATGAATTTAAAAACTATCAAGCATTTTGATTTTACTAAAGTTCATATTTTTTATAATATATTAGATGTAAGTTTTACTATACATTTTAAATACTTATTAGCCTAGTTTTAATAGTTGTTTTATACAAGACGATAAAATGGTATTTTATCGTCATTTTTTATGTTATCACGAGCGATGAAATCGCGAGTTAGTTTAGTACAATTTTATCGTCGTGTATAAAACAATATTTTTTTTTCATAGCGAGTTACGTTTTAAAAAATAATATTCAGAAATTATTATTTCAAGGAATTTATTTCGAGCAGAAAAAATATTGTGCTGGGTTGGCGTTGGTTGCTCTTTAGTTGTCAGTTTTGAGTCAATATTTTTTAATTCTCTTTCGCGTCGATTGCTGATTGAATTGGAGCCAGAAATGGCCCAAAACGAAATAAGTAAATTACCAACAGATATTCAGGCTGAGGCGACAAAAGCCATATCCAAACTACTTCCCTTTAAATCCCGTATAACTTATGAAAAGGAATACAAAAATTTTCAAAAATGGAAGCAATTAAAAACATTGCGAGAAGAAATAAAGTTTTTAACCTATCCTCGCTGTTAAAGTATCATTTAATCTATCCTTGCTGTTAAAGTACTATTTTATCTACTATTTTTGATAGATATAAAGCAATTTTAACAGTTGCTATAGAAAAAAATAACGAATCTCACCAATTAGATACTTAATAAAAATAATACCGCTAAAATATAATCTCACACTAGATCTTTGATTCAACTCTATGAGAAGAAGTGCACTGTATTTAATAGATGTGTAAACGATGTGTAGGTAAACGCACTACAGAGAATTATTAAGAGCAAGAACATCTCAGGAACTTTAAAAGACTGGATGTACCAAACAAGGATACGACCAATAGTACTATATGCATGTGAAACGTGGATGTTCAATGCATCGGATAATTCAAAACTAGAGATTTGCGAAATGAAAATACTGAGGAAGATTGGAGGAAAGAAGATAGACAACATGTGGACCGGAACCGACAGCGGCGTAGAGTGGCCAATATAAAAGGATGTAATAAATAACTGCAATTTACATTTTACCAACCACAATAATTTTTTTTTCTTTTTTTTATTAAAGTCTTTAATTTTGAAGTTACAGGAATAAAATATACAAAAAATGTAATAGGTAAAAAAAAATAATCAAATCTCCAAGAACAGCAGCTTCCAGTACTTTTTCCATTTTTCATAAGTAAAGAAAATGTTAGACAAGAAATTAAGAATATGCCAGAAATGTGAACATAAACAATGAGAATTGGAGAATGTGAAGCTCTCTTTATCCCTCAAATACCGTACTTATTACGTTACCGTATTTACTTAACGTTACAGGCACGAGAACTTTCTATTTATCTTTTTTAATACGGTATCATGAGGTATATGCTCACTGGCACAACAACCAAAACTGTTATTTCGGTCTTTCCGATATTCCGGTTCGTCCGGTCTTCCGGTCCAACCGGTCTTTCGATCCATCCGGTCTTCCGGTCCAAACGGTCTTTCGGTCCAGCCGGTATACCGGTTGAGTAGCGGTCCCACCGATCTAATTGTTGGAACCGGTATACCGGTTGTAAGACCGATACTTCGTAGTACCGGACACCGGTATTGAAATCTTAGGACCGAACATCCCTAGTAATCGCGGCCGGGAAGTTCGCTGACACCGGCTAGCATGCACCGGTTCAAGATGTAACGAGGACAGTCGCATCATCGCGCTGTCGAGATATTTTATTTTTAGCGTTTAGCCTAGGTCTTAGCGTTATCTATAAAGCTCGACCAATACACACATTAAATAATTGAAATTGAATTTCAATATTTCGATAAATTTACTGAGAATTTAAATTCATTATAGGAGATCTCAGTGACTTTAAATAAAAACGTATTACAATATTTTGAAGTGATGCGCCGCATCACCCGCATCAATGGAAGCATATGCACCGAGTATAACGAGAGTAGCAAGAACACACAAACTGAGGTGGCTGGGTCATATTGAATATTGAAAGAATGGCCGAAACAAGAGTTTCTATTTTTTTTTGTTTTTTAAACAGAATGTTTACATAACAACCCAGGAATTTTCTCTGTATTTTTCTTTATTCTTAGCTAGATATGTATTTTTCTTTATTCTTCTTTCTTTTATTTCATTATTAGATACATTTTCCACTCTGCTTCATCCGTTTTTTTTTTTATTTTCGCTTACGAGCCATCATCTATTATTTACCTAACGAAATGTTATTAATTCTCGCTGGGATTTGCAACCATTAAAATTTCAAGCGCGTCGTAGTTGTGCCCTATCCCTAAGGGCCGGTCCACGTAATGGCGGCCGGCGGATTTAACAAAGCGCGCGATTTTATTAAACGCCGAGCGGTCGATAATTTGTCGTTTTGTTATTGCGAATGCATTTCTCCAATTAGGAGGAAAAAAATCACGTGTTTGTTTTGAAACCGGCCCGCTCCGCGTCGACTAAAATAAATAGCTCGAAATATATCGTAATTATTCGAATAAACAAAAAGGGCGCGGGTCGCGGTATAAACCCGATATTAATTAATGAATTTTCTACCCCGGCCGGCTCAGAGCGACAAATAGATATTAAATATTAATGTTTCTCAACTAAATAATAAATTAAGCACAGGAAAACTGTTTGTACACTAACGACCAGCACGAAAAAGAATAACACTTTAAATTTTTCATATACAGGGTAGTCCGAACTGTATTCCGGAAATTTCGGCAGCATATTCTGCAGATAAAAATAAGTCAAAAGTTTGTATAAATGTATGTCCTAAAATGCTGAATTTTGGAGATACAGGGTGTAGAAGTTCCATTTTTATTTCAATTTTTTCCAAATAATTTCTGAAGTAACGTCAATAATAACAATAATAAATAAATGCCTTTATTGTCAAAAATTTTTTCAGTTTGTAAATAAAGGTAAACTAAACAAACAAAGTAAACAAACAAGGTACACAAACAAACAAACAAAAGATAATACAAAACATTATATAAATAATATTGTAAGTCTTATTGTTTATGTTTTCAATGTCAATGTTTACAATGTCAAAGAACAAAAAAATAAAAATAATATTCAAAAATATTTAGTTTATAGTAAATATCAATGACCTCTAAATAAATTTATTATATAAGAGTTTCTTGCCTTGAACTGCTAATATAGAAATTAATTCCACGCTGTGTTCGTCATAATGTGGATGAACCTGCTCTCACTACCGGTTTCGGGGCCCTACCCCATCATCAGGTGAGCTCGGGTATCTCCACAAAACGACGAGCACAGCGCAGAGTATATAAATACGACTTGTCGTAAAGTAGCGGTAAGATATTACGTCCCGCATCGCGAGATAGCGGCCTGCGTGCAATGGTAGTACTTTCGTACCACCGAGGCACAACTATCGATAGTAAATAAAGGCTTTTTTCGGCTAGCCCAAATTATATAATGGAAAATAAATTTCTTGCAGTTTTTAGGTATATAATAAAACTAGCGTGTACCCGCGACTTCGTTCTCGTCGAATTAATCATTTGTAATGGTGATGATAAAGCAAAGCAAGAATTTCCATTAACATACAAACTGGATAAAATTTTCTCACATTTATATCAGCATGAGAAAAAACAATATGGCTATATTATTATATAACTTGGTAATATTTGAGGGGTAGTTTCATCTTGTTGGAATTTGACTTTCGAAAAATCCGTTTGCCAAAAATAAGCTTTTTACGTCACTTCCGTTCGGTCAGTCGTCGTGGCAACATCGAATACTGTCTGAGGGTTGGTTGTTCGGGAGTCAATTTTTGTTTCTTGTTTTCTGTTAATATTCTTGTAATCGTTTTGTAAAAGCTTAATATTTTTTGATATAAAAGTTTTAAAGTGGATTCGTGTCCCATTCAGATACATATTTTTGTGAAACATTTTTAAAGTTCGCCTACTATAAGTGCCATGAACATTTTTATACAAGTTCGCCTACTTTGAAGTGCCATGAGAAAATTTATTTAAAGGACAACTCTTTTTTCACGTTGTCACGGGGGTAACCAGGCCCTAAGTAGCCGGATGCTACCAGCGTGAGAGAAGCTTTCGAAATGATCATATAAGGACCTTTTTTTTTTGTTTTGATTATTGTGGAATGGTAGATGGCCCCAATATGGTGTACAGCCAGACAACATTGAGGTCATCATGAAATTGAGCTGGCAATTGCCTAGTAGCAGAGCCAAAACCGAGACGAGAGAGAGACGAGAGAGCTTTTTACGTTAAACAGTTTAAGCAGAATCGTGGTTAAGAAATTACCCAACTTTTTGGAACACCTTGTATGATTTTTTAAAAAAATTCAAAATATGTAAAAAAAACAATTAAATTATGCTTGTCCAAGCGTTTTCTCGAAAAACTAACCGTTTTTTAAATAACAAATATTGTAATATTTGAGTGGCGTTTTCACCCTCTTGGAATTTGAGATTCGAGAAACCCCTCCTTATCGAACCTCTACACCCCACAGTCAATCCGTTTACCAAAAAATCAGCTTTAAACGTCAATCAGTTTAAACAGAATCGTGATTACTCAATGGTCATATTTTATGAAACACCCTGTATAAATTTATAAAAAATCTTAAAATATGTAAAACAACAAAATAAATTATACGTGTTTAAGACTTTTTCCGAAAAACTCACCGGTTTTTAAATAAAAAATATTTTAATATTTGAGGGATAGTTTCACCCCCTTAGAATTCGAGTTTCGAAAAATCCCTTCTTATCGAACCTCTACACCCTAAAGTCAATCCGTTTTCCAAAAATCAGCTTTTTACGTCAAGCGCTTTAAGCAGGATCGTGATTAATCAATGACCAGATTTTTCGAAACACCCTGTATACATTTTTAAAAAAATCTTAAAATATGTAAAAAAGAAAATAAAATATACGTGTTTAAGCGTTTTTCGGAAACTTGACCGTTTTTAAATAAAAAATATTCTAATATTTGAGGGACGGTTTCACCCCCTTAGAATTCGAGTTTCGAAAAATCCCTTCTTATCGAACCTCTACACCCTTAAGTCAATCCGTTTTCCAAAAATCAGCTTTTTACGTCAAGCGCTTTAAGCAGGATCGTGATTAATCAATGACCAGATTTTTCGAAACACCCTGTATACATTTTTAAAAATCTGAAAATATGTAAAAAAAGAAAATAAAATATACGTGTTTCAGCGTTTTTCGGAAACTTGACCGTTTTTAAATAAAAAATATTGTAATATTCCACCCCCTTTTTACCCCCTTAGGGGATGAATTTTTAAAAATCCTTTCTTATCTTACGTAAACATCATAAAAGGAACCCCTGTGCAAAATTTCAGCTTTCTAGGGCCAAGGGTTTGGTCTGGGCGTTGATGAGTCAGTATCAGTCAGGACAGTCAGATTTATATATATATATATAGATTATATAAGAGTTTCTAGCCTTGAACTGCTAATCAAAGAATATCTTAATACCCTAATATTCTTTGTGCTAATATAGAAATTAATTCCACGCTGTGTTTGTCATAATGTGGATAAACCTGCTCTCACTACCGGTTTCGGGGCCCTACCCCATCATCAGGTGAGCTTTGGTATCTCCAGAAAACGACGAGCACAGCGCAGAGTATATAAATACGACTTGTCGTAAAGTAGCGGTAAGATATTAAGTCCCGCATCGCGAGATAGCGGCCTGCGTGCAATGGTAGTACTTTCGTACCACCGAGGCACAACTATCCCGAGCAGGTTTATCCACATTATGACGAACACAGCGTGGAATTAATTTCTATATTAGCAGTTCAAGGCAAGAAACTCTCATATAATTTTATTATATACCAAAAAATTGCAAGAAATTTATTTTCCAATAAATTTATTTCGATATATTTGGATGAAAATTAGTGTTTGGGAGTTTTTTGACATGAGAAATTTGATTTTGATGTCAATATGACTCCTACTTGTAGAGGGCGCCACCTAGATTTCTTTAACTGGTTTGAAGAGTAATAAATTTTCTTCCCTACTTGTATCAAACTACTGAGTAAAAAAATATACATTTACGACGTTTTTACGTAAAAAAGGTCTCTTTAAAGGTTATCTAAATTATCGATACCTGTCATTATTGACATAAATTAAACATGTTGACTAAATTATTATTAAACTGAAATCATAAATTTGAAATGTCGTGCCAAAAGTTCAACAAAAACTGTTTTATCATCATTTTTTTTGAAGAAAATTTTATGATTAATTTAAAAAAATAGTTCCCAAATTTATAATTTCAGTCAAATAACTATCTATTCAACATATTATGTTGATTTTTTGTCAATAATGACATGTATTGACTATTTCCATTTTAAATATCCTGAGAACGGTTGCTAGTAGGGATTTTTACAAAGACACATTTTTACGTAAAAAATCACGAAAATGTATATTTTTTTACTCAGTAGTTTTATACAGGTACGGACGAAAAGTTATTACTCTTCAAAACTGTTAAAAAACATGTAATTGGTGTCCCCTACAAATACGAGTCATATTGACATCAAAATCAAATTTCTCATGTTAAAAAATCCCCAGCCACCAATTTTCATCCAAATATTGACGTTACTTCAGAAATTATTTGGAAAAAATCAAAATAAAAATTAAATTTCTACACCCTGTATCTCTGAAACTAAGCATTTTAAGACATACATTTATACGAACTTTTTTACTTATTTTTATCTACAGAATATGCTGTTCTGAATACAGTTCGGACCACTCTGTCAAATGTGGATAAAACAATAAAAAGTATCAATTTTACGCTTTGAATAAAAATCTTTTTATTCAAAAATTTTACGCGAATTTCATAACCTATTCTTGAGTTACGTCAACCTATTTTTCTGTGGATATGTCATTATTCTTATTATACGAAGGAAATGTTGAAGACGCATCTCAGCATTTTCGATGTTTTGAACAATATTAATATATTATAAGCTGCCTAGTCGTAAATTATCAATTACTTATTGAGGAATTTATAAAAGAAGAAGTAGTTTTCACTAAAGAGCAAAAGAACGCACAAAATCGCAATTTTTTCTATTTTTACTGACAGTTCGACAAGCAAAACGATCCTTTAAGGTAACCCAAAGAATAGATAACCGTTTTCGAATCGCTTAGCTCAATCAGTAAAGACGTGAAGTGCGTCAGATGAGAATACCCAAATAGTTAAGTGCGCGCTTAGCGAAAATTAACGTCATATACACTGAGCGTCTAAAAGCGCTTAGCGTTTTCTAACTTACGGAATTTGGGATAGAGGTGTGTAGTTCGTGAACGAACTAGTTCCAATGAACTATTCCGACCCCGGAATGAAAGGAACTAGTTCCTGGTTTCTCAAAGGACTAGTTCCTCAGGACCTATTCCGGGATCGAGACTGTGTCCGATATAGAATAATATGCGACGGCGACGGATCGGCTAGCGCGCGTAGCCCGATGGTAGGCAGGAGTGGGGAGTGCCAGACGTACGTTATCGGATCCGGACCTAGAGGAACTAAACTAAATAAAAGACTAAAGACTAGTTTACGTACGAACGGATCGGGCCAGCGCGATCGATGCTAGGCAGGAGTGGGGAGTGCCAGCCTTATGCCGTATGTTATCGGATCCGGACCTAAAGGAACTAGAGGAACTAAATAAAAGACTAGTTTACGTATGGATCAGCCAGCGCCATTGATGCTAGGCAGGCGTGGGGAGTGCGAGCCGTATGTTATCGGATCCGGATATAGAGGAACTATTAAAAGACTAGTTCACGGGAATCTATTCAGTCGGCAGATCCGAGATATAATACAAGGCGACGACGACGGATTCAGTCTTGTCTATTGCCGCAGCCGGCGCGGCGTAATTACCACAGAAAATTGTCGTGGATACTGTTTTTGATTTTCAGTTTGTTTTTTAAATATTTTATGGGAATGTTTCACTTTAGATCCCTAAAATTAAGAAATATCTTATAAAACGAAGTAGATATTCTGAATTTTTAGACAAAAACAAAAAGCTTGAAGTGAGGAAAAATGCAATTTTTCGTAAAGTTTTTGTAATATTTGCTCCAATTGATTTGTGATATAGTCTTTTAAATTCTGATTTGAGTTTTTTTTTATTTTTTTTTATCTGCTATAAAACTTACCTATATGTTTTTAACATACACAATTACACGTCTCCTATATCTCCGTACATTATAAAAATTATACAGATCATACTGTGAATAGTTCTGACTGACAACGATACGCATTAGCAAGCAAGGGGGATGTCAATGTTAGTCGGGAACTATTGTGAACTAAAGACCTAGTTCAAGGAACTATTCCTCTGGAGGAACTAGAACTAAGGAACTAGTTCCTCCCAAGGAACTAGAATTCCCACCTCTAATTTGGGATGGTTTTTCAAAATAGTAACAGCACTCGCGTTTTTATTACTCTGAGGTACATAATGTCTGTGCCTATTTCATAAATTAATGTCCTTGCGGTTTTAAAACGAGTATGAAAAAAATACATATAGATGGAAATGTAATATACCTACTCGTTGTTGGGAAGTATTTACATTATCCCGCAAATCATCATTAAACGAAACGACAACAAAAAATAATGAACGTTAAAGCAGATTAAAAAATACACATAGAAATTTAGCCTGAAATATAATGAGCTTTTTTTATTATAATAAATAAAATAAAATCCTTTTTTAATTCATATAAGCCTTAACATGTAATCTTTGTTATGTATGTCCCCGAATTACCTTTACAAGAGGAAAAACTTTTTTATTATTGGCATTTTGAGAGAAATGCATTCTTCATAAAAATTTTTGCTTGTTCTAAAATGGTTAATCCCGTTTATACTTTTCCAAATTTCCATACCGTTTTAGACAAAATTAAAAAAAAACATAAAAATATAGTTTTTTTGAAGTCTTTAAAATTGAAACGCATTTCTATGACAACATAATTTCGATTTCATCTTAATGATAAAATGATTTTTAAATTCCTTAAATATAGAAAATTATAAATATTTTTTAAAAAGATTCATATTTTTTTAATTTTAAACATTTATTATCGCCTGCCCTAAAATATTCATTAATATCGATTATTAAACTCCTTGTACAAAAATCTTAAACACTCTGTATAATAAAATAAACAATAAATAAGAAAAAAAAACAATTTGTATATTTACGTACAAAAGGTTGATTTTTTACTTACATTATTTTCTGAAGTTCCAGCAACAGAAGTACGCAATGGTACCAATTGTTCAGTACTGCTAGATAACTCCATTTCCTTTAACTGAAGCATCAGTACTATCCAATCTTCCTCTATTTTACTATTTCGAAATTCTTCTTATCATTGCACTTTTTTTTATTTAATTTTTATCAATGCCAACGTGCTTAAATGAAGTTTCATTCAACTCTGTCTAATGGTGTCACTAGGAGTATTTTTAATACCTTCCATATAGTTATAGTAAAAGGGAAATAATGAAAGAAACCTATAGTATTTCGTGTTATTAAATTAACAAGGAGATTATTGTTATTAGGGCGATCGAATTTGTGTAAGTCGATACGGAAATTATTCCACTATTTCTCAGTGGCGTACAAATATTACTAAAAGAACAAATCAATGTGGTCTAGAAGCTTTTAAATCAGTTATATTGATGTATTATACAGACTAATTGTAGTAAACGGGATTGTTTTGATGTCTTGACATCGCAATTTGTATTTTTCTTTATTTTTTAATAAAATACTGGCACTAGCAAAATGAATAATTTAATAATAACCTATACATATACATATAGGATTATGTACCCAAACAGCATTTGGACGTCGGGACAACGTTGTGTCACGCGACCAAACGTCGGAGCGCAACGTCGGCACAACCTCGTACCAACCCTAGTCTGCACTAGTTTGGAGAATAATTTTTGGGTCGAAACGACGTTGGATACCGACGTTGGCTAGAAGCCTAATTTAGTACAAACTGCAACATTGTTTAAAATCCTAATTCACAGAAATACAAAACTAATATGGCGTCTAAGTCGCGTTTTATCCTAAATTGGGATAATTATAGTAAAAATATTATTTTTATGATTTAGTTAGAGACATATGTCAGATGGCAGTGAAGGAAAACAAAACAAAAGTATTTAAGTGTGGAGGATGTTTGAAGATCATAATTATTGAAACACTTTAACCAAGGCAAAAAAGTTAAACGCAAACAACTTTATTGATAAATGTATTGTTTCTACTTTGAAAAATACTAATGGGCCTTAAAATTAAAGAAGTTTTAAAAATTTTCTTGAATTTTTTTTTTTTAGTAAAATGAGAATAATTTATTCGCAGTCGAAAAAATTGTTTCCGCGTGTTTTTTAGGGTCAAATATTTCAAGTTAATGTATTCAAAAAGCAGGAATTGCTATTTTAGGAACGAAACATTTTCTTATTTAACAACATGGCGGCTTTCACTTTGTTGTTTTGGGAGATTAAGATGGAGTAGTTCGAGTAGTCGCATACTGGACTAATAAAGTCGCAGTTCAGCCTTAACAGGTAGTATACTAGTCGCAAGATTGCCTAATTTAGTCATCCTAGAGTCTAGCTTGTGCCGCCCTCTATAATCTAAATAAACGAGGGAGTGGATAAACTATCGGTAATATATGCCGATGTATATTTAAATTTAGTTTTATATGTACCTTTCTTATGTCCCATTTTAAATAAGTTTTTTTTATAAAAACAAAAACAGCACTGAACTGTCTGACTGAACAGAACAATGAAGTGAAAATTTAAGATTTAAGGTTATGGTTCAATACAGTTGCAAAAAGGTAGTGCCTCGACGTCCTACCAACGTAAGAATAAGGAAATCTAAACAACGTTGGAATAAGTAAAACAGACGACGTTTGCATAACGTTGGAATAGGTCCTGAAACTGACGTCGGAAAACTCTATATTGTCCAACGTTGTAACTACGTTGTCCGAATCACCTAAAGATCACTTAAGCAAAAAAGGTTACAAGACAACGTTTATTCGACGTTGCAGAAACTTCTACTTTGCTGTAGTACTAGTCCAACGTCGGCACAACGTTATAAAAACGTTTAAATTTATTTTAATACCCAAGGTAGGGAGCTAACTATTTTTTGTAACTAATCCAACGTTGTGTTTAGTAAACATGTGGTCGCAAGTCGTGAAAATGCTACTTGGGTAAAGCGATAATAAAAGTCAAAAAAATAATAATATACAAGGTGGTATCCCTTAAAAAATATCCCTAACCCATTCACATTTTTGGGACACCCTGTATAAGTCATCATCATCATTTTCAGCTTATTCAACTATTTCCAATTATGGTGTAGCCTCCCTACCATATTTAGATACTCTGTTTGTTGGGCCCATTGCATCGTTGTCTATTGTTGTATGCGGGCCCAAGTTATCCCTGCTAATTTCCTAATATCATGATCCCATCTGAGGTTCGGTCTTTTTCTAGGTCTCTTAATTCCTCGTGGGTACCATGCTGTAATTTTTGTGGTCCATCTGTTGTCCGTTCTTCTTGCCAGGTGTTCTGCCCATTGCCATTTGAGGGATTTGACTCTGTAGATCTACATCTATTACCTGGGTCTTTTATCGTATCGACTCTATTCTTTTACGGTCTCTTTTGGTTATTCCCAGCATATTTCGTTCCATTGAGCGTTGTGCGACCTACAGTTTCAGGGTTGCCACAAGAAAATTTTTGATTGTGTAGAACTTGACCATAAAAATGTGTAGCATTGTGTAGCCATCCATGACCAATAATTGTAAACTATCCAATAAGACCAAGAAAAAGATGTACGTTCGCCAAATTTTAAAGCATGATTACGAGTCTCACTTCCACTCGTTTGTATACGTCAATATATTCATCCCCCCCCCTCCGCAACTCCGTTAAAATTGATGTCACGAAAACGAAACTAACGATTTTATGGACAAATTAGACCGGTTAGTCTGTTTAAAAATTGTAAACAATTCAGGACAGTTTAAGCGGCCAAATTTGTCTATATAAACTGCAGTTCTTGCTGATATGGGAGGAAATGAAATAGGAATTGAATATTATTCACGTATGCTACGAGTGGAAGTGTGATGTAACGATAACGTAATTGAGCAAACCTAACCAAAGTAGGTACGTGTTATCAGAGGTGTTATGTATTATTTAAGGAATTAAACAATCCTGTCTCTTTGATCCTGTCTATTTACCGTTTTTGACTCGACCAATAGACGGTCCTTGATTCATGATCCAGTTCATACTCTGACATTTTACTGAACACCTGAACACTGATGACTGATGACGGAAAATGATATTTGTCGGTTCAAAATTTAAAGTTTACTTGCGGCCTCTTTTAATGTAACTTAGATAACTTGATTTACTGTTTTAATATTATTTTTTATAAGAAATATGTAAATTCTCAAAATGTGTAGCACAGGCGATTGTGGTGTAGCTGTGCAATCATGGTAGCAAATGTGTAGCAAAATACACAATTGTGTAGCTTGTGGCAACCCTGTACAGTTTTCTTATGATGTCCGTTTTAAGTGTCCAGGTCTCGCATGCATAGGTCATGACTGATAGTACATATTTTAAGACCCACTTTATTGCTGGCTGTATTTAGTTCATTAATTTGTGCTTGAAGTTCTTCAGGACTATTGGCAATTAGGACTATGTAATCAGCGAATCTTGGTTGTTTGTAATTGTTGCTGTAAACAGCTTTGGGTACCGCTTCGGGGATATATTTGAGGTTTTCCTGTCGTACCCCTTTGACAGTTCGAACAACTACAAGTAATATTATATTTTCTGAAATAGCTCCTAGAACACAGTATAGCTCTGTACTTAAACAAAATTTCTAAATCCTTTGTTTTTTTTTGTTCTCTCTATCCCAATCGGCTCAATTTAAATGTTTGGCAAATTTTTATTTAAATCAAAAAATTTCAGAAACATTTAAATCAAAAAACAAATTATCGGTGTATAAATGGTAATAGTGCATTATCGGGCTTAACGTAATATAAAACAAGGAAAAAACCTGTTACAAAAATATTAGCAATAAAATAAAAAACTAAGTTTAAAAAAATCGAAATATGGCTAAACATTTTCAAAAAACGAACCCGCTACAATGCTATAGATATTATTTAAAATAAATTTATGTTAAACAAATCTATTTTTAGTACATTCAATAGCAGATATTAGATATCAACATTCAGTAATTTTACACTTATGTTTCAGATATCTTAAAGAAAAATTCTTTCAACCTTCATTTACTGGACAGTGGCAGTCATTTTAATTCACAGAAAAATTTTGTACCACGATCGAAAAGAAACGGCGTCAAAGACGGCTAGGAAATGACAATCGCAGATAATTTTGATGATGTCAAGCCCTAGACGTCATTTACTTGGCTTTTGTCCTTCCCTATATCTTAATAGCGCTTACTGCCAGTTGGTCTTAAGAAGGTTGAAATATATTTTCATAACGAGTAAAAATGATTTTTAAATGGTGGAGATTAAAATTCGAGAGAAAATTATTCTTTGGAAATAGATTTGTTTGTCTGGAAACGTTCTATCCCTTTTTAATTTTTATATATTAATTAATGTTAATTTTTGACAAGTTTTATGTCAATTTTTTGGTAAACGGCGTCTAAAGATTGACCTCGCCAAAATTATCATAGATAGTCATTCTCCAGCTGTCTTGGACGCCGTTTTTATCGATCATACGGTATTTTGTCCCAGTTTTTGATGTTGCCTGTTGAATTTTTTCCTGACTTGTTGAATAGATTTTCGACATGCTTTATATACCTATTTACTTCATCACGCCCAGTTCCGAAATCCCTTATAAAAGATCGTGTATAATTTGTTTCATAACGACAAAGCAAGTCAAATTAATTTAGATTGTTTTTCTACCAAAAAAGAAAAGAGTCCAATCCTATTTATTACAGACATTGTTTTGTATAGTTCTCATTTTTTTGTTCTCTATCAGTGTATAAAAGAGACTGTGCAAGTTCATTATAATCTCTAATTAATTGCGATAACGGCGACACGATCCCATTGTTGCAGAACGGCTCTACTACGCTGCGCCCTGCAATTTAGCATAGAGACCGAAATAAATATTCATTCTTGGATGCGAATTCAAATCGAACTTGTTCCAATTATCCCGTGATCGCTCGTCAAATAGACGAACACGACGATAAATTATTTATTTAGATATACGAGGTGTTACGAATATGCACAACGACTAATTACTCAAGATAAAAACTTTTTAAATCTCTTCTAATATATAAAATCCTTAAGTGACTGACTCGCTGATTAATCACTATTCTGCTCAAATCACTAAAGTAAGAAGTTCAATTTTGGCATACAGGTTGATTCTAGGGTGTAGAGGTTCGATAAGAAGGGATTTTTCGAAATTCCAGTTCCAAGGGGGTGAAACCACCCCTCAAATATTACAGTATTTTTTATTTAAAAAACGAACGTTCCCGAAAAAACGCTTAAACACGTATATTTTATTTTGTTTTTTATATATTTTAAGGTTTTTTTTAAAAATGTATACAGGGTGTTTCTAAAAATCTGATCATTGATTAATCACGATCCTGCTTAAAGCGCTCGACGTAAAAAGCTGATTTTTGGAAAACGGATTGACTTTAGGGTGTAGAGTTTCGATAAGAAGGGATTTTTCGAAACTCGAATTCTAAGGGGGTGAAACCACCCCTCAAATGTTACAATATTTTTTATTTAAAAACCGGTGAGTTTTTCGGAAAACCTCTTAAACGCGTATATTTTATTTTGTTGTTTTACATATTTTAAGATTTTTTAAAAATTTATACAGGGTGTTTCATAAAATATGACCATTGAGTAATCACGATTCTGCTTAAACAGCTTGACGTTTAAAGCTGATTTTTGGCAAACGGATTGACTGTGGGGTGTAGATGTTCGATAAGGAGGGGTCTCCCGAATCTCAAATTCCAACAGGGTGAAAACGCCCTTCAAATATTAAAATATTTGTTATTTAAAAAACTGTTAGTCTTTTGGGAAAACGCTTGGACACCCATAATTTATTATGTTTTTTTACATATTTTAAAATTTTTTAAAAAATCATACAGGGTGTTCCAAAAAGTTGGTAATAAATAATTGATTAACCACGATTCTGCTTAAACTGCTTGACGTAAAAAGCTTATTTTTGGCAAACGGATTTTTCGAAAGTCAAATTCCAACGAGATGAAACTACCCCTCAAATATTACCAAGTTATATAATAATATCGCCATATTGTTTTTTCTCATGCTGACATAAATGTGAGAAAATTTTATCCAGTTTGTATGTTAATGGAAATTCTTGCTTTGCTTTATCATCACTATTACAAATGATTAATTCGACGCGAACGAAGTCGCGGGTACACGCTAGTTTAGAATAAAGGAATATAGGGATTGTCATCGATCGTCGTTTCCAAGCCAACTGGACGCCGTTTTTTTTTCGATCATACGGTATTTAGAACACTGACCGGCACGAAAAACGTTATTGACACCTTGAAGTTTTCATGTACACTCAGATGCAAAAAAACGTAACGGAAGAATTTTTGATCAAGTTTAAAATGTGATATTTACTTTTTTGTGCGATGTTTGTTTTATTTTTAGCCCTATTTCCATGATTTTTTTAGTAGATTGTATATAAATATATCAACTTTAATTCGCAAACTAAGTTTATTATAAACTTTAGTATTTGACTTATTATACAGGATTAATCAAAGAATATTTTTTAACCTATCTTTAATACACCTTGTACTATAATTTCGTAAGCAAATTTCCCTTAAACGTTATTTTTCGGTCAGAACCATGTCTCCTGAATATTTTGTTTTTTGACTCATGTCAACACATGCCTTGGTTAATTTTTAAGAGCAAAATGAACTTGCCACAAACATTTTACAATTTTTTTAATTATCATTATTGTTGTTTACGAGGTGGCTTTGGTTATTATTGTTGTGTACGATTGAATATGGTTCTTAGTGTCGAAGAATTAACAATATGAACCGACGTCTACAGAGGGTTATAAAAGGCGGGGGAGGCAATACAAAACATTAGAGTATTTTTTACTAGTTTTTTGTTTGTTCGGACACTTAATTATTACCGTTATTTTTTTTAATATCCTTAGATCTGTTAGTGTTACTAATATTTGTTAAAACCAAGCCTGTACCGGTACTTTTTAATGTGTGGTCGTTGGTATGATATTTTTAAATTTCTAAAAAAGAGTTCTAATCAGTGTCGATATGACATTACAACAATAGTTACCAAAGCCACCTCGTGATTTTAATATCACGAGGTGGCTTTGGTGACATCATTGAATGACATAATAATTAATGATACTTAAAAAAAATGCAAATTATTGTGGGTGCAAGTTCATTTCGCTCTTAAAAATTAACCAAGGCATGTGTTGACATGAGTCAAAAAGCAAAATGCTCAGGAGATATGGCTCTGATCGAAAAATAATGTTTTAGGAAAAGTTACCCCCCAAATTATTCCACAGGGTGTTTTAAACTTAAGGTAAAAACAACCCTTCAATCAACCCTGTATAATAAGCCAAATACTAAAATTTATAAACAACTGAGTTTATGAATTATATTGATAGATTTATATCCAGTTTGGTCCTGGCTACAGGATGACTTCCTCGACGTTTCGAACCGATGCCTCTAAATAGACGAAATTATGAGAATTTTTCTTACTTGTGGGTCGATTGGAACTAAACTCGACACGTGGATAGAGGTACCTGAATGGAGTCCTCAGACGGACAGACAGACAGGCGGAAGTATGGTTAGGTTGTGAAGTTTCATATAATATGCGCACCTAGTGCACAAACAATTTTTTTTATTTAAAATGTAAGAAACTCGTACTAAAATGTTACAGAAGGTATGAAAGGAAATAAAACACTACAGTCAGATAAAAATTATTATCATTAGTAATAGGTAGTTTGTATTTAACATAAACACAAGTAAAAAATGTTATATATTACAAAAATTACATTAAACTGTTATACTCTTTTCACGACTTATCTTTATAAGTCTTCCACAAAAGTACCAAATAAGCAATCATTCGAAAAATCACTATCAATCCAAACAGAGAAACCAAATCAGGAATAAGATTAGCCTAAAATACAGGAAAAAAATAAATTACGAACTACAGACAAAATTAATAGTATAAAATTTACCTCCTTAAAATTATAAATTTCCAAAACTACATGTCCGTCTTTCGGACAATTTGTACTATTAGAATTACATTGGATTCCGGTAACATTCTCCCATTGGTTGACCATTAAGGCCTCGTTGCCATATTTAAACCAAGAAAAATACGACAGCCACTCGAAATAGACAGGTATGGAACTAAAAATGCGGTTTTACAAATGTGCTAATATACAGGGTGTCTCAGATATAAGTAGAGATATTTTAACTGGTAGCATTTTTCTACCCCAGAAACACGCCTATGAGTTTTTTTCCGCGAAAACAATTTTTAGGCAATTTGAAATTTTTTGAAAAATTTTAGGAAATTTTAGTTTTTAGTTAAAAATGATTATAGAACACAGGTAGTAGATTAAATTTACAAGAAAGAAAACCCAGAGAAGATCCACTGGTTCTCAAAATTTAAGCAAAAAATCATTTTTTTTTTGGAAATTTTCAAAGTAAAATAACTCTTATTTGAAAAACGGTAAAGAGAAAATATGTTTCTTTTATCGATATCTACCATTCCTTAAAATATCTGTACTTATTTCTGGGACACCCTGTATATTTGAAATAAAAATATGTATATATACTCGATATTCAAGAAAAATCCTCCAAACAGCAAGAAGGGCATTATCAGAGGTGGTCCAATGGATAGGGCCATGGATACAGTGGATGAAATACTGGATATTAAGTAGCCTATAAAGAAAATTGTCGATTTCAAATTCTAAACAGATTCCCCGGGTGCGTCTTAAAAGTGGCTCACCCCCTATAACTTTTTTATTTTTTCAGATAAAGAAACGAGATTTGGTATCTTAGTATATGACATAAATTACGACTGATTGACGTATTCAATTGTTTTTGGTCACTACCTGTTTCACCGGAAATGACTACAACTTTTGATTTTTAAATGACACCCTCGGTATTTTTTTTACTTTATTCGATAGAAAATGATACTCTGAAAATGATGATATTATATCATATGTCAACTTTTGACATTTTCGCATTAAGAAAATCGTATTTTAAATTTCAATCTAGAGTGTCATGGCTGTGTTAAAAACACTAATTTTTAATCAAGGAGCCTTGGAAAAATAGACTTGATCGTCTAATGTTTTTCGTGTCTCGTCCTGGCCGGTTAAAATATTTCCAAATCGTATTTTTAATCATATCTCAATTTTTTCAAATGGAACAAGGGTGGCTCATTAGCATATTTGAAAAAAGGCATTTTTTACGAATAATTTGGTACCATACACTTGGTATTTTGAGTCAAATTGTCGTTATGAACCGCATGTTACAATTTCAAACAAACCATATGAGAAAATGTCAAAAGTTGACATATGATATGTCATTCTATTCAGAGTGTCATTTTCTATCGAATAAAGTAACAAAATACCGAGAGTGCCAATTGAAAACAATTGAATACCTACGTCAATCAATCTTAATTTATGTCATATATTAACATACCAAATCTCGATTTTTAATTCCAATTATTCGATTATTAATACCAAATCTCGAATTTTTTTCGATAGGAATGAGTCTCTTTTGAGACGCACCCGGTATATAGTAATACACAAATATATTTACCAAAACTAGTCGCTGCATTTGCAACCAAAACCACTATACCACATGCTATGAAAAACCTGGGAGTCTCGCTGTTTAAACCAATGAGGAAGTAACATATCGACAGAAAAACTATCGGTAAAAATACGAAAAACGGAATTTCTGCTATGGTTTTACCCAGAAAATATACTTCGGTTCGGTACATTCCGTTCTTGTGCTCGCGTAGAAATAGAGGTAGTTCTGCTGAAAATACCTAAAAAATAATTATAAAATAATAGTATATTACATACCGAGGATAGGTGTTTCATTACTATAATATCAAGAGATTAACTAAATCTCAAGACAATAATGAAAACTTTCCTCGGATGTTTGTATACTATTTTATTTACAACCACATCATTAACTAAAAAATAGGGACAGTATTTTATTTTAAAAAAAAAATGCGAAAATTTGTGTTTTCTGTTTTGGCATTTCCATATCAGTGGTTGTTACGGCGCAAACCATGCTTCAACGGCTAAACAAACAACTAAGTGACAGTTTTGAATTTCTCGTTCCCTTTTTCGAATTTATGTAACACAGAAAGCCAGAATGTTGTCGGAAAGTTCTGATAATAAAAACTACTTTAATATTGGTACTCCACCAGAACTTACAGAAGCTGCAAAAAGAGCAGAAGCCAGTTTACTTCCAGAGAAAAGTATGGCGATATGAAATAGCATTGAAAGTATACGAAAAATGGTGTGCCGAAAGAAATTCTAAGAATATTGCTTCGGAGACCTTGGAGTCTTGATGGCATATTTTAGCGACATGGCAAGGCAGAAAAAGTAATCTACTCTTTGGGCTACGTACAGCATGATACGGACAATGCTAGAATTAAGGGAAAAGACTGACATGTCAAAATAGCACAAACTCGTCGCTTTCTTTAAAACGCCAGAATGTAGGTTTTAAGCCAAAGAAGTGTAGCATTTTTACCAGGCAAAAATAAATGTATTAAAATCTTCAATTATTATTGTTAATCTTCTTGTTTATTTTTGTTGATGTTAGATAAGTATTTAATAAAGATATTACAAGAATATTTTGCTTAATTAAATGAGGCGAGAAATAAGCAAACCGAATGAGAGAAATGGGTGAGGGAAATGGGATGAAGGAAATGGGTGAAAAAGGAGGGAAGAAATGTAGATAATTTGACACTTTCAATTTTTTTAAAAGTCAGTAATATCAGTATTACATAATATGTGGTTGTAAATACTTGTGTCTAGCCCTAGCAGGCAACTATTAAGCCCGACCAATCACATTAGAGTTTTTGACATACACAACTCAATGTTGATATTTGGTGAATGACTGAAACACCCTGTGGAGTATGTTAACAATGCAAGGAATTTAAAAATCATTTCGTCATCTAGGTTTATCTTTTCTAAATAGTTTGTTTTTTGGTTCATCTCAATAGCTCTATTTTCTGAGAGATATTGGCTTTTGAAGAAGACACTACCATTTTTTCGTATTTTTTACATTAAAGCCATAAGTACCTTTGCTTTTGGCCCGAGTAATAAGTCCTAGTAATAGTTCTTCTGTAATGTTTGTCTTTGAAAAATCATATTGTTTTGCCTGTTGGGCAGTTTACTCTAACAGAGACAGTTTTAAATTGAAAAAGTTGATCTCTACCATGATCAGTTAAAGCAGCAATAACTGATACCTACTTCAGAACATCTCTACTAGATTCATTAAATCAATAAACAATATTTTTCTTTCACTGCCTATCCTCTATGGATGTTGGCAATCATGTTGGTCCATATAATCTGATATAATCCTTTGAATAAGAGGACTAAGGAAGGAGCATAATGCTATCCATGTATTCATGCATGGTGGGCGGAAAAAGCTCTCTAGGGTGGGGATCCTTGACAGTTCTGTTTGACGATTCATTTGACACATTTGAATTTGATTTGAAATTTTGTGGATTTGTCAGTCTTTACGGAGCTTATTTTATGTTATTTATTATTTATTCTACTACTGATAGTTGTATAAAGGTAGTAAATCTAGATGGAAATTGTGGCAGAACTTAAATTAACAGTGACATTATCGCGATTTATCGAAAAAGACTCTAAAATAGTTGGTTGTGTAGCGTGCGGTAGATCTCGGCAAAAATTGAGTGAAATAATGGAACAACTTTTCGCTAGTAAGTAACTATATAATATACATACGTGTAGTAAACCGATCATTTACGAAATTCACTAAAAATAATTAATGTGTTTTTTTTTTCTATAATAATTATTAATAATGAGCACTGATAAAAGATTAAATTTAACATTCCTAATTTTTGAGTAGAAATTTGTCTATGAATTTATAAATGTAGAACTATGTAGAATGTGGATAACATAGGAGGTTGCAACACTGCAAGGTTTAGATACACCGTAGAGAAATCTCAGGTGAATAAACAAGTGGCACTAAAAAGTTTTTTCAAATTTCCCGGAAAATGCCAAGAAAATTTCTAAATTTTCAACATTTTTTTTTCGCAAAAAAAACCTCATAGGCGTGTTTCTGGGGTTGAACTATACTACCAGTTAAAATATTTGCACTTATTTCTGGGACACCCTGTATAATTCGATTTCAATCAAAATTTTAATGATAAGAATATAATCAGAATAGGTATTGTTTATGCATTAGATTCAATTATTTCAATAAATTTACTTAGAAAAAAAAATAAGAAAATCAAAAAATTTAAGAGGAAATAACATTTTAGTAAAGAATTTACTAAAATTACTAAAATAAAAAATTAAAAGCAACGAAAAAAAAAGGGTAAAAATTTTAGTATTTTATCTACAAAACACAATACAGAAGGTTTCACAGTAATTGAATTCCGAGACAAAAGTCTCTGGACACTCCACTAAGAAGAATCTATTTAAGAACAAATTTACAGAAAATTCAGGTCCAATTTATAGGAAAAATATTACTTATAAAATAACTAATATGCTATCGTCTTCCTGTCTTTCCATAGGAAAATATTGTGAAGAGAGAGACACTGTGAGACATTTGCTGTTTAAATTTATGATTTTTATCCCCCTTCTAAAGACCACGACACTTCACACTTTGAAAAACGATATTCTAAAGTTAAATAATGTGTGTTTCGCATAAAAACAAGAATAGTAGTCGTTTATTACTCACACTTATAACGGCAAAAACGTTTTGAAACGTCATGCTGGTGAGAAAAATGAACAGCACGCCGTTTATGTTCATAACGCCATCCTGGTTTACGATCTGGCCATAGTAAATAGATCCCAATATTAAAGACACCAACTAAAATAAAATAATACGATAAACTTTTATTAACAACTAACAATAAACTAATGTTACGGTTATTTAATGTTTTTATAACAACATAAAATGGCTATATAACAGTTAACTTTACGGTATTTCACAGGATTTCATACTAAGGGTGGTTTTAGTAAAGAGTAAAAAAGTAATTTATACAGGGTGGTCCGAACTGTATTCCGGAAACTTCGGCAGCATATTCTGCAGATAAAAATAAGTAAAAAAGTTCGTATAAATGTTTGTCCTAAAATTCTTAGTTTCGGAGATACAAGGTGTTGAAGTTTCATTTTTATTTCGATTTTTTCTAAATAATTTTTAAGGAAGAGCGAAACGCTTGCCCAGCAGTTAAAAGACCATACCATAACTTGGTATACTGATGTTTCCAAAACCAATACGGGAACAGGGATCGGAGTGTTTGGGCCGAGAGCTAAATACTCCGAACCAATGGGCACTTACCCTAGTATTCTACAGGCAGAAATCTACGCTATCGAAAGATGCGTACAACTTATCTTAGATAGGAACTATCGGAAACAAGAAATAGCCATCTTGTCTGATAGTCAAGCAGCGTTAAAAGCGATCAACTCAGTATCAATCAATTCGAAATTGGTCAAAGAATGCATAGAGAAGCTGAATAAATTAGGCAAAGAAAACAAAGTCCTCCCCACTCTGGGTGCCTGCTCACCAAGGGATAGAAGGCAATGAAAAAGCAAATAATCTAGCTAGAAAAGGAGCGAACACTCCACTAACTGGACCAGAACCGTTCTGCTTTCCAAGTGGTAACCAACTTAAGGCGGAACTCAAGAACTTGGAAGATTCCATCCGCAACCTGGAATGGAAATCTTGCAACGGTCTAAGACACTCGAAGAAGTTTCTGAGGGCTTATGATCAAGAAAAATCACAGATCTTCCTGGGTTTAAGTAAGAACAATCTTCGGATTGTCACGGGGTTTTTAACAGGACACTGTATCCCAATGAACACCTCAGTAGAAACTAAGAAGAAACGGCGAATGCAGATTCTGTGGGGAAGATGGGGAAACACCAGTACACCTCATCACTGAGTGCGCCGAGACGACAACCATTCGTGCCATGAATTTTGGTACGACTGATATTGGAGATGGAGTACCCTCTATAAAACCGTCCCAGATACTGGCTTTTGTCAAAGTCCTGGGACTGTATGATGAGTTATGACTCAAGAAAGGGGGACACAATGGATCTGTAAGGTCGCAGTGATTAACCCCCTCCCACTCATTCTAAATTCTAAAAAAAAAATTCTAAAATAATTTTTAAAGTAACGTCAATATTTGGATGAAAATTGGTGTCTGGGTGTTTTTTGACATGAAACATTTGATTTTGATGTCAATATAACTTCCACTTGTAGGGGGCACCACCTACATATTTTTTAACTGATTTGAATAGTAATAACATTTTGTCCGTACCTGTTGCTGAGTAAAAAAGATACATTTGCGACATTTTTTACGTAAAAAAGGCCTCTTTGTAAAAATCGCTACGAGTAATGGTTCTCGACATATCTGGAATCGAAATTATCAATACCTGTCATCATTGGCATAAATTAAACATTGCTAAATAGTTATTAGACTGAAATCATAAATTTGAAATGATTGAATTTGAAATCATAAATTTGAAATGTTTGTGTTCCCAAAGTTCAATAGAAACTGTTTTATAATAATTTTTTCGAAGAAAAATTTGTGATTAATTTAAAAAAATTAAAAATACCCAAATTTATTATTCTTCTTCTTCGTCGTCTCTTCATATCTGAAGAATCGTGACATTATGGCTATGTGCAGCTGGTGATTTTGATCTTCCAGCGTTTCCGCCTCTCGGAGATTTGATTGAAATGGATCACCTGTAATATTTGCTATTTGATTAAGCCATCCTGATGGTGATCATCCTCTGGGTTTTCGACCTTCTACTTTGCCTTGTACTATGAGTTTTTCAAGGTTGTCTTCACGCGAGTGATATGACCGAAGTGTTGCAGGATGCGGCTACGGCAGATGGTGGATAATCGATCTGTTATTCCAATTTTATTATTTCAGTCAAATAACTATCTACTCAACTCATGTTTATTTTTGTCAATAATGATATGTATTGACTATTTCCATTCTAAATATCTTGAGAACGGGTTGCTCGTAGCGATTTTTACCAAGAGACATTTTATGCGTAAAAAATTATAAAAATGTGTATTTTTTCACTCAGTAGTCTTAAACTCTTCAAAACAGTTAAAACGCATGTATGTGGCGGCCCCTACAAATAGTAGTTTTATTGACATCAAAATCAAATTTCTCATGTCAAAAAACTCTTAGGCACCAATTTTCATCCAAATATTGAAATTATGTGGAAAAATCGAAATTAAAATGAAACTTCTACACCCTGTATCTCTGAAACTTAGCATTTTAGGACATACATTTATACGAACTTTTTTACTTATTTTTATCTGCAAAATATGTTGCCGAAATTTCCGAAATACAGTTCGGACCACCCTGTATACAGGGTGGCCCAATATTCCATGGACATAGAACTATAGTCTATAAAATGAATAACTTTGAATTTTGACCGTTATTTTTTACCAACATGGCAAATATAAAATCTCTCTGTCCAAAAAGTTACTGATATTCTTTAAAATGAGTGCCTGAACGAATCAGATAGGTAACTCTTTTTACTTTCGTGAAATAGAAAAGGAAAATAATAAAACAAGTGACAGTTCTTCCTCTTCTTGCAAAAATCAACGCGAAATGTCATAACTGACAAAAGTAAAATGTCATCAGCCTTTGACATTTCTAAATATCAGACCAACGCCGTCTCTAATAGAATAGCCTCGGAGCGAGATTTATGACGTCACGCTAGTTAGATACCGCGGATTAATAAATATGTTGTAGAATACATGGAAAACATAATTATTCCTCGTATTTTTGGTTTGTATTTTAAGAATGATATAGTTTACATGAAATATACATAATATACAGTTAATAAATGTTTTACAATATACAAATAATGAATAGGTACATAAGATAATGGGTAAAATGTAAAATATATTTTAAATTTTGGGGTTTGAAAATCGATCTAATTTAACAAAAAACATTCAATATCTACTAATAGTGATATATTATTATTTCCATTCACAAAATTTATATGTATATTTTGCAAGCATCAATGTTCGAAAAATTATATTTGCAAATAATACAATATCATAGAAAAAAAGGCGTCAGCGATGGCTATAGAATAAAGATCGCTGTCATTTTATTTGTAAAATTATTCTCTAAAATTTTGATTTCCTTGGAATTTAGGTTCGGGAAAAACGCTGATTAAGTTTTTATTTGGTTTTTCATTATTTTTGTTGGTTTAAAAACGTTATAGTTAACGTTTATAGCCTTCATCAGTGTTGTGTCATATGAAAAAAATAGTGTCGAATATAATCCAAAAAATTACATATACGAGGAACAATTATGTTTTCCATGTATTCTACAACATAATTAATCCGTAGTATCTAACTAGCGTGACGTAATAAATCTCGCTCGGAGGCTGTTCTATTAGAGACGGCATTGCATCAGCATGGCCGCAAGTTGCTAACCTAATAAAATTTACACTAGAAAAGCCCGCGGGAACTGTCAAATTCAAAGTTATTCATTTTACAGAGTATACTACGTATTTTTAGAATAAAAATAAGTTCATTGGACATAATTTACCTCTATACAAAAGTGCTTCGTTTGTCCGTTAGAGGGCATCAGTCAAAAATAAACGCCAACGTTAATTAATCTAAAATTTATTATTTTTTTTTCAGCCTTTTATGAAGCTTATTATCAAATATAATTTGTAAAAACCGCTGAAAGTTTTAAAATACTTTAAATACAAAAAATGTTTGGTTTGGTCATTTTTTAATTCTCCATCTAACGGAGAAATAATATACAGAGCGTTCCATTTAAAAAAAACGAAGAAAAACTATTTTATAATTTAAAAAGTTTGGCATACAATTTTGAAAACCCTGTATGGTTAAAGATTACGATATTTGTAGCAAAGTAAGTACAGACCCACTACAGTAAAAACCTAATATAGTTTTGATTTCAGGACATTTCTTGTATTTTTAATTATTTTTGTAAATAAGGCTGAAAAAATATTTTTTTTACTTATTTATTAATATCTTTGAAACTATCAAAACATATTTAATAATATCATAGGATTATGCAAAGTGATCAAAAAGGAAGCCAAAATGGCAATAATTTACAGGGTAAAAAAAATCATCCCGATCCATTCACACTTTTTTGAGCCAGCCTTTTTTATTATAGGAGCTACAGATGCCCGACGCACTATTTTCGGACTCTGTATATTACAAAAATTAAAATAAAACCCTTTTACGATATTTATCGAAAAATATAAAATTGAAATACTCTCTACCGGTTTTCATGATGGCATTAACTGCAATAAATCTCTCTCTGAAAATTACACCTCGCGATAATAAAGCCATTTTATCTATAGCATCGTCTCCGGCGACTGGAAATATGCCACTTACGATTGTTTGCAATAAGCGAACTCTAACCAAAAGTGGCTCCTTCAAGATACTCAGCCACGATCTCCATAAAACGGCTCTGAACTGCGCGCACCACGACGCCCTGTAAGGACTTCTGTTTCCGCTGTCGATTCCACCGATGCCGTTCTGCCATATTTCCGTCTCGGTGTTTTTTAAAAACTCGCCTATCTGGAACAATCAGTAGAATCATTTTATTATAATATTTCAAATAAACGATGCAAAGTACATTTTTATTAATAGTTGGAAAATAATTATAAAATCATACTTTTAGTTTAGCATTTACTCCGATATTAATTAGTAATAAACGTGTATCAGACACAATTAAGTTATGAATATACGAAAAAATATTTGAAGAAAAACCTTGTGTCCATTAATTACTTTAGTATTATTATTTTAATCTAACAAAAGCTTGTGTAGAGGAATCTCAAGTGCAGTAAAACTTGAAGGAAAACTATCGACCTTCCTTTTAATCAACAATGGCCTCAAACAAGGAGATGCGTTATTCCCACTTACTGTTTTTTAGTTGTAGTAAAAACCAAACCAAGCCAACACAAAAATGTTTCTCTTTCGAAATCAAGGTCCTCGCACTTTGCTGGCTTTCTCTGATGATATAGATATAGTAGGAAATACAACTATTAATGTTAAGGAAGAGTTCATAAAGTTGGAGAATGCTGCAAGAGAAACTGGTTTACGAATCAACAAAGATAAGACAAAATATATAACTACAACAAGAACAGAACGACGCGACGAGACAGAATAGGACAGAATGTGACAATAGATCAATACGATTTTGAGAGTTCAGCAGTTCAAATATTTGGGAGCTACGATCATCTCTGATAACAACATAACACAAGAGATTAACAACAAAATGCAAGGAGGAAATCGCTGCTGGTTTACACTTCAAACAATAATGAAATCGAAAAATGTATCCCGCCGTACGAAAATAAGAATGTATCAAGAAGTTATAAGATCGATAATGACATATGCAAGTAAAACATGGACGATGACAAAACAAAATGAAAACCGACTAAAAATAGCAGAAAGAAGAATTATAGAGGGATATACGGACCAGTAAAGAACAACGCCACAGAGCAATATAGAATAAGAACAAACAGGAAATTGGAAGAACTATATAACCAGCCAGATGTAGTGAAAATAATAAAGTCCGAAAGACTGAGATGGGCCGGCCACGTTAAGAGACAACATCAACGTCTCGTCAAGCTGGTATGGGAAGAAATCCCGGAAATAAAGCGGCAGCTGGGAAGACCAAGAATGCGGTGGAGAGATAATGTTGCTACGGACATACGGACCCTAAAGATTGAGCGAGCAGAAGAACGAATGATGGACCGCAGCGAGTGGAGGCAGATTGTAAAGTCAGCAAGGACCCACCCTGGGTTATAATGCTACAGAGAGAAAGAGAGAGAGAGTCCATTAATTTCTTTCCTGTGGTGAAAAAAACACTTTTTTTCAAAAAAGTGTAGTTGTGTTTTATACAATTTATTATTAGCAACTAAGAATCATAGCAATTTGGAATAAAAATGTAAAAATTAACTTCTACAAAATTAAACATTTAGATAAATATTTTGGTACAAATAATGAAATTATACCTTTATATAAATATATTTATATACTCTGTTTTTTTTTCTCAGGTAAGATTTCGACAGACGATGACAGAAGAAAAGCAGATGACGTCCCATACCAATCTATTTATTTTACTAAAAAAAGTTTCTAATAATTTTTAAGTTAACTATGGATGGGTTTAAATATAAATCCGTCATCCGTCGTGCGGTTTTAACCAGTTTTATTGGTTTATTTCAAAAATGACAGTTTTTGAAATAAACCAATAAAACTGGTTAAAGTCAATACAATTTTATTGGTTTGACGAAACGATGAACGACAAACGGACGCCGATGCGTATGAACTCGCCTTTAGATTTTTGACGCTTGTCCACGCTTGTCAAAGTCTTGCCAAATTAGAGGTTATAATTTTGTGTTAACTTTTATCAGTTTTGTCAAATACCCTGCGTTTTTGAAGATGATGCATTTTGATTCGTGTTATTACGTGTGTCTTTTGAAGTCAAGTGGAAGAAAAATCGAGTGAAAATTAACTGTAGACCCAGAGCACAGTTTATGGTTAATAGTCGCTGCCCAGGCAAAAAGTCTTATACACCAATAAAGTTACCATCATTAAAGTTCGTATACCATCTAGTCGTAGATAAGTGCATCTCGAATATGGTAGAAGGACCATACTAAACACATACTAAAAACTGGAGTAGCTGTAAAATATCGACATTACACGATACGTAAATAATGGATTTTAGTACTGCACAAGAAAAATAATGCAAAAGGTACTGGTTTAAAAACTTAAGATTAAAGTTAATTAATCAACCTTTAAGGTACCTCTAAAATTTGGTAAGTGTTATTAATAATACAATAGTTTGTTTTATTTATGTTGTTTTATTTATTTTTGCGGAATATTACAAATTTGTATTTGTACATCATTTATATTGATAAATATAATCATAAATGCGGGAAGTTTCATAAAGTTTTGTATTAACACATGCCGTTTTTTATTAAATTAAATAACTCGATTACATTTTTTCAGTTTTATACAGTTTTTTTCACAATATTTTGAAGTAATCACTTGTCAGTCAAATTTTAAATATAATAATTTCCTGCTATGCTTTCCAGTTGTACCAACTTATTTCTTTGTAAAATAAAATAAACTACTTTGAAATTAAAATTACAGACACATCTATCACTGTCAAGGATCTTCTCGTTGGACAGACTATATAATGTTTTTATTGCTAATTAAAAAAAAATGTGTATCATAAAAAATTAAATTATGAAGATATAGATTTATTGTTACTTAAGGACCAAGTTAATGTATGTAATAATTGATATTTAGACAACGTTCATTCGACACAGATTTAAGAAAATTCCTTTAACAATAGTATTACTAATTTATACGTATTATCCCGGTAAAATGAGTATATATTATAATAAGTAGGAAAAAAATAAAAAAAAAATAATATTAGTTTAAAAACTCTATAACTGAACAATTTTTTTAAAAATAAATTTATTCCTTCTCTAAAATCAATTTATTAAACAGCAGTATCATTTACATTAATAATACTAATAAAAATGGACAAGATATTAAATTCTACATACCTTAGTACTAGATTCTAAAGTAACGCTCATTCCAGTTTCTGACCTCTCATATTTGTCACAAATCATATTCACAGCGTGTTTGCAAGACTCTTCATTCTCGGGTACAATTGCCAACAACTGTATAAAATAATCCGCTGGGTTATAATTCTTCGGACAAGGTGCTTCTAATCTAAAATCCAAAAAAGACATAGAAACTATTTTTTAGTATTATAAAATACGAATCTGCTGTAACTTTTATAAATAAAAAATTGGCCAAGTGCGAGTCGGACTCGCGCACGAAGGGTTCCGTACCATTCATTATCTATACAACATTAGACACTATATTATTACAAACTTTTTTTTCGATTCAGCTGAAATTTTGAATGCGCGTATAAGTAATTTAAAAAAATGAAGAAACACATTAGTAAAAATTGTATTAATCAATAATAAATATGTAAAAAGTAAAAATAAATATGTAAAAATATGTACAAATTAAAAAAAAATACGATTAAAAAAAGGCGCCTTGACTAAGATTCGAACCTGCCTTACTACAGCTCCAACGTCATAGCAGCGTAAAGTCCTAACGCTTTAATCACGCGGCCACCGAGGACTTGAAAGATTCTATGTAAAATTCTTACTTAAAAGATAATGTTTAGTGAAAGTACTTTTTTATTTATAACATTTATTTAATTCTGTTTTTAGTATTTGTTCTTTTAACGGCATCATAGATACATTATCTGTAAAAATTTCAACTGTCTAGCTATAACGGTTCATAAGATAAACCTTTGTGACAGACGGACGGACGGACAGCAAAGTCTTAGGGTTCCCGTTTTTACCCTTTGGGTACGGAACCCTAAAAACAATATCAATATAGCATACAAAAAGTATAAGGTGCAACTATAGATGACTAATATAATTAATTAAATATAAAACAAATTTTAATAAAAAACCTTACTCCCTGAAAAATATATCTGCTTCTTCTGGCGTTCCTAAAAATGCTATTCTTCCTTCGGCCATCAACAGCAATTTGTCAAACATGGCGTATAACTCAGACGATGGTTGATGTATTGTGCAAATCACCGTTTTACCAGCAAAAGCCATCTGTTTCAGAATTTGAACAACGTTCATTGCCATAAATGAATCTAACCCTAAGAATAAATAGGAAATATATTTTCAAGAGGAACTGTTACTATTTTTAAGTAATTTAAGTGATGAAAAAAATGTAAAATATTTTATAAATAATATTGAAAGTACGTTCCAGATCAGGTACCTACATATAAAAAATAAAATATAAATTTCTGCTTTACCTGACGTTGGTTCATCGCAGAACATTAACGAAGGGTTAGTGAGTACCTCAGAACCAAATGACAGTCTTTTCTGTTCACCCCCTGATAAACCTTTGAGTCGACCAGGGATTCCTATACAGGTGTTCTCGCATTTGTTTAACGACATCTAGTAAAAAACAACATAAAAAACATTGGCCCAAATAATTTTTTTTCAAATTAATTTTCAGTTTTTTTTTCATGTTACTACAGTTAATACACTGTTTTATTTTCACAAAAATATACCTACCTCCGATATTACTTCTTCCACCCTTTGCATTCGTTGTTCATAAGTAAAATGTTTATCCATTCTAACCAGTGCCTAAAATATAATTTATATCAAATACTATAATAAACCACCTCTAGTATCGAGTTCTATAAAAAGGAATAAACGATTATCTTTGACAGTCTCATGATTAAAAGAAATTCTATGAAATAATTTTACAGTTCGTTGTAAAGGTTACGTCAAGAGAAAAAAAATGTTGTTTATTTTGATATAATAGAACTCCAGCTAATGTCTACGAGTATTGTAATAAGGCTTTAACCGTCATTTTTTATTACCTATAAAATCTACATATAAATATCATGTTTTTCATAGAAAAATATTCTAGTGATATATAAATTTAGCAAAATATGTCGTACTTATAGTAACGTTTACCCTCAAATATTCATTCGAATCGCTAAAAGCACTTGGAGAAAAATTATAATAAATCGAAAAATAATGAAGATTTAACTCCCTGTAATCCGGTGTTTAACCATAGTAAATTTTTGTTATTTTTAATATAAAATTCAATTGAAGTGATTAAAAAGTACTCCCTCAATACAAAAAGAAACACAATTAAAATTAAGGAATAAATAATAAATCAAATTCAATACAAATTTCACTGGTTTGAAATGACGCGTAGAAAATTGTGACGTCACCTATCAGCATTTGACTGAATAGTTGACAGAGGGCGCGAGCCTCTGAAGAATAATATTATGGCGTATCTAGTTTTCTGCTACCGTATATACGATATATGTTAGATTTTTCTATTTTTATTAAGATCGTTAAAAAATACGTTTTTATGTGGAATTATTCTTTATTACCCCAATGTTAAATTTACTTTTATATTTTTTACTATTAGAAATGTAAACTTAAATTTTTATAATTAACAGGTTACTGCCATTTTTATCGAAGCACTAAACACTACCAAAGTTGTTCGGATGTTCGAAGCGTTCGAGGGTTCGATGTTAGATTTGTATTTTGTGGATTTTGCGTTTGGCGTTAAATACTTTGAGTTTTCAATTTTGTTTTATTGTACCCTCTTTATTATTTTTGTAATGAAGGGTGTTAAAGTTTGTTTTGTGAAGGGCTGTCTAAATAACTCTAAAGGCTCTCCAGAAAAAGTTTTTATAACTGTTCCTTTGGATGAAAGCCGCCGAAGAGCCTGGTTTGAAGCGGCAAGACAATAATATGTCAACAAAAGTAAGATATTTTGCTGTGAAGATCATTTTAACGTAAGTTCCTTAAGTTTTATTTTACAATTAATTTTATATCTACTTTAAAATACATTTTTAAAAAAAATGATTTTTATTTACCTTTCTACCTGGCAAATCGTGACACTTTTGATAGGTGACGTCAGAGATTGCAAAAGTGTAAAATTTGAAATTCTTAATATTGATTATTTTTTTTTTTTTAAATGGGATGAAATTGAAGTAAAATAAAAAAGTACGGGTGTCGTAAAATTGTATGAAGATTAATTATTTGCCATGAAAAAACTATGGTTAAACTCCGGATTACAAAACAAAGTAGAATCGCGCCTATGTTGATATAAAAAATAAATCTTAATTTTACATGAAGAATCTTCCCACGAGAGATAGCACAATATGTTTTTTGAAACACCCTGTATAATCAGAATTGTATTTTTAACAATATTGCAATAAAAAAACTATGGTTAAACTCCGGATTACAAAACAAAGCAGAATCGGGCATATGTTGATATAAAAAATAAATCTTATTTTTACATGAAGAATCTTCCCACGAGAGATAGCACATGTTTTTTGAAACACCCTGTATAATCAGCAATATTTTGCATTCTTGAAAAAAAAATATAGAACTGTATATCATACTCTAATTAATTATGTATGATATAATATATGACTAACTTTTTTTAAAGAAAAATTTAAACTAATTCAAAAATACGACTTTTTACTACTAAATGATAAAAAATTCACCTGAAATATCAAGTGTTCTTTGACAGTGAGTGTCCCAATAAACATATCAGTCTGTTGAACATACGCTGAGCGACTAGCCAAAGCAGTCGAATTCACAGGAGTACCATTAACACATCTTGTCCCAGTAATTGTGATATTTTTACTAGAACGAAACGTCAGAGCGTTAAGCAGTGTTGTCTTGCCCGCTCCACTTGAGCCTAAAATTGCCAGTAATTCCCCTGGTCTGGCAATACCGCTAACTAGAAAACAAGAAAATACATTAGAATTAACACTTCCTCTTCTTTCCGCATCTAGTTTATATAAAGTGGAATAATGAATGTGTTCAGTGCATCGTGTAATTGTTAATTTAATGTCGGGAAGTTTGGAATGAACAAAGTGGGTCAATAAAGAAAGTTAAATTAGCAAGTTTGTACTGGAACTAAAAGTACAAAACTTCGAATTTATGGTGTTCTTAAGAGTATATCAGTACAATTATGTTCAGTGTGTTCAAGATTATGTGGTACACAATGGAAAATAGCTTATTTTACTTATGAGTCTATTACGCTGTACTGTTCCTGTACCCGATCCTGTCGTATTAAGCCACACCCAAAAATCGAAACACCATCGTTACAAAACCATATAAATTATATATCACTGTAATCACAAAACTGCAATCTATTGCCGCATTGTAATGGAATTTTAAATTATGTCTTTATTTTCGAGAAAATTTAGTCCAAACCTAAGGAATATTTTGTTGATGTTTGACCATAAAAATCTTAAAAATAAAGAAGTTGTCTAAAAATGTGCTACAATACGGATATAGTATCATCCTTTATCTTTAATTTCCTTCTTCATTTGTGTAAAAATACCTAGCCAGTTTTACGTAAAACGTTAAATGCCGAACGCTTATTTTGCTACTTTTTCGGACTAGTAAAATGGACTCTTAAATATTGATTACAGTTGAGGGTTGGAACCTTTCGTGTTACACAGCAAAATAAAAAACTGAGATTCAGATTCAGTTTATAATTATCTGCTGATGATGCTAACATGGTTAGCGAAACGCGCGTCCAGTGTAAAAGTAAAAGTGTTTTGGTGTATTGTGGTGATTTAGTGTTTTTATTTTGCTCTTAAATATTGGTAAACAAGTCGGTACGGTCGTCAAATTCACAAACTTTTTAATATAGTGATTTATATAAATAAACCAAATAGTTTCGGGATCTAGTCAAGTAGTTTCTAGTTTATCATCAAGCAGATAAGAGTCGTCTATAAGATATAATAATGTCTTAATGGCAATTAAGTTTTTTAAGATCATCCCGAAAGAGGATGCTAAATTTGGAGGGCGTTATAAAACTGGTCTGTTGCCGTGCAATTGCCAAGTCATTATAATTATTACATAATTAAAGATGTCTAACATTAATACAGTCACTATAATGTTAATAGGTAATTGATTAGATAACAATTTGTTATAAATTTGTTGAATTAGGTGCTTCCATAGATACTAAGGCTAGGCGCTGACGTGCAATTTTGTGTCATCCGGTTATTGACATAAAACTTCTTTACGCGCGCTGAGAGTAAAAATTGAAGGCCGTGACACGCGAGCTAGCGTCACGATACGCGACACGTCATGAAGAGTGGTAATGATAGAACCCATCATGAATGGCGAAAAAATTGTCCGATTTAAATAAAATTTGGTAAGTAGATAGACTGGACCAAGACCATCTTAACCAATGACTTAAGAATATAAGGACATGTAACGCCCATATACGGGCTGCAGCAGAATTTGTGACCTTAAAGGCCATTCTTTTCATGGCAAACAATGAGTCATCATTTGGTCACCAGCGACAATTTTAGCGATTTTTAATAGTTTGTGTGTAGTAAACTTTGTATAAACTTTATTACAATGGTGATTAGTTGTTCAGCTTTCAAGTATAAAAGCAGCAGCGATAAGAAAGAGCCAGGACTTACGTTTTATAGGTAAATAAACAGTCCACTCCAACATTTTAGCGTTTTCTTATTGAATTCGATATTATCTTATTCTTCAATTTCAATTAACATCTACCTATATGTACTTGATATGTGCTATACGTCGATACTAGTTTAGTACCTTTTGTTAACATTTTAATACCTTTTTTAATAATTAATTAGTATGATACACCATAGGCGTAGTCAAAACAATTATCAAAAAATATAAATATTGCTTCAAACAGCTAGGTTAAGAAAAATATGTGCCACGGCACTGTTTGGTGACATCGGCACAATTTGCTCTCGGGTGTTAAAGTTGGATACGACGTTTCGTTTACATCTTCATCAGGGAGGAACTAAGGATTTGAAATTGAAGAAAAATTGTGGATAGATTTCGGCATAATTGGGGAAGAGCTACAGGATAATGCCCTCGACGTTTCGAACAGATGTCTCTAAATGGACAAAATCGTCAGGATTTTTCTTAATTATGGGTCTATTGGAATCAAACTCGACACATAGATAGTGGTATCCGAATGGAGTCCTCAGACGAACAGGCGGTCATTTTGATTCAAATTTTGTGAAAGTGAAGCAAATTATTTATTAATTTTTAATTTATTACTTTTTCAACATTTCAAACTACACTTTTTCAAACATCTTCAAATCCTTCAATTTGATAGCTCTCTCTGTTAGTAAGAAGTTTCACTTCAAATATGGGCACATAGTGCGCACACAATTTTTTTTTAGTTGCAGAATTGTAACCAATATATTGTTATGAAGTTGTGCACATATTATGCAATCAAATAGTCGGCAAATATGTTGTTTTCACTTCCGCAACTATTTAATCGGCAGATTCAAAATTGCATGTCAGTACCTACTAGCCTAACTGAAACAACTGACTTGGTTTTAAGTGATGATATATGAGAAGTGGATGAACCGCCTTGCAAGATTTGACGTGTTCTTAAAGTTTATATATTTTGAAGGGATAAATATTATATTTTATAGAAGATCCTTATTGAAGGTAGGATAATTATACTAAGAAACTTGTTGCTTTATATTCAAGAACACTGAATGTATTCAAGAACACTGAAAATTAAAATGTTGAGCTCTAACTTACCATTTTTCAATAAATGTTTCTTTTGTTGGTTATTTTGTTCATCCTGTCTGCAACACCAGCAGCAATAGTTTTCACTTTTGGGTACGTTGGTATCGGCAAACACGTTTATTGAGTTCCAAGAATATGTAATTCTTTCTTCAGGTGGTATGGATTTAGATGGAACTCCTCTTTGATCTATAGCCGTACCGTAAACTGGGATTCTAAAGGTAGTGAGTTCTTCTCCCGAAGCTGAAGAACTTCCATTCTAAAACAATTATTTATAGTTAATACTTTTTAGTTTTCTTTAAGTGCAGACCGAAAGTATGTTCTAGGATGTATCTCAGGAAAATATTTTAACTTCTATAAGGTGACTCAAAAAAGTGTGAATGGATCGGGATGATTTTTTTTAAATGGAACACCCTGAATATTATTGCATTTTTGGCTTCCTTTCAAATGACTTTACATAATCCTAAGATGTAGGAGAGTAAATATATTTCGACAGTTTCAGAGATATTAATAAATAAAAAATATATTTTTCAGCTTTTCTAAAAAAAATATTAAAAATACAACAAATGTCCTGAAATCAAAACTATTTATTTAGGTATTTATTTTAGATGGTCTGTACTTATTTTGCTATAAATACCGTAATCGTAAATCATACAGGAGGTTCAAAATTCTACGCCAATCTTTCTAAAATATAAAATAATTTTTCTTCGTTTTTTTTAATGAAACACCCTGTATATTATTTTTTCAATAGATGGAGAATTAGAAAATAAAAATTTTTGGTATTTATAGAATTTCAAATTTTTTTACGGTTTCGCAGATATTCGCGGTTTTATATTTCATATGGCATTTTTCACAGTAAATTTTTAACAAAGCCACCCAATGATTTTTCTCTCATATTTTACCGTTGAAATAGCCATATGAAATAATACTGCGTGTATCTGCGAAACCATTAAACATTTTCAAATACTTTAAATACAAAAGTTGTTCATTTTCTCCATTTAATAAAAAGAGAAGAAAAATGATTTTATATTTTTGAAGGTTTGGCGTACAATTTTGGACATCTTGTATGATATAAACAATTAACTTTTGAATTGTAATCATAAAATAATAAATACAAGAAGAAGTGTCAAGTCAATGTTAAATTATGGAAACAGCGTGGCTGCCTGGGTAACTAATTTTCAGATATGGCGGCTGGGACATTTGACATGACATAGACAATGACATAGACATGACAATTTCAATTTTATGAAATTTATTTCCGTTTCCGGTTTTTAATGGCGGGCTGTTCAGGAGGTTTAAATCAGGGTTAATATACTTTTTACTTTTTCTAGTAGTAAATAATACAACAAAATTACTCAAAAATATTTATTTGGAATTTAGAACAATGTAAATATGCAAATCAACACAATTAAAGAGCTATAAACACATAAACTACTGTATCAATATCAAAATATTTAAATAACATCAAAGATTCTGTGTTAAGTGAATTAGTAAAGTAACAGTGCACTGACTTACAGAAACATGAAGATAAATAAATGTTTTCACAGCTACACGGGCGTAAAACTAACTAACTGGAAGCAGGAAAAAGACAACAGGAACCCACGCTAAACCTGGAACCAAAAAAAATATGTAAAAAAACATAAATATAGGTACATAAGACTTTTGTGAATTAAATCAAACAGGACTTGAATGAAAATAAAATGAATAAAAAATATGATACATATACATCTAATACCTCATTTGTATTTTAAAAATAATCTACAAAAAAATAATCTCATACATAGATTATTGCTATGAAAATACATAATAGGTACCTATGTGATATGTAATTACGCATTTCTGTTCATCTTGTAGATAATTAATGTAGGCTAATAATATTTCAATAATCATAATTTACCTTGTGTAACTTGCTTTCAATTGCTCAAAATCTCCGATCAGTCTTTAAAGTAGATATACGGAAAAATCCTTGGCAAAGAATATCCCAAGATCCTTGGATCTAAAGCTAAAAAAATATAACAGTTAATATATTACCTATTTTTACATATAATATGGCCCATACCTACTACACGCAGAAACGTCGATTTCATCATTTTCTTTATGTAATTAATATCATATATACTTTATTAAAGTGTTAACAAGGAACTTTATATCAAAAAACATCTTTGTACTTATAAATTTCCGCCGAAATATCATAAACAAGCTTCTAATCAAATCTAAACGGCAAAAATTAAAATGGCGCTCGACCTTGCCAGAGGCCTCGGGAGTTGACACATCGCTGACACACAGACAAAAGAAGAGGACGCCGACGTGCATAAAAATGTTCCGTAACAGAGATTGACAGAAATCATATAGAAATACTCAGATTTTTGTCTAGGACAGTCTAGAAGGCCATGCTTTCTGCCTGGGTAGGACCGCGCCAGAACTGTTTCCAATTTTCCGGTTTACTGTCACCCCCCTGATTGTAATAACAGACCCCAACTGTCACTCTCATATATTCTTTTGCTATACAGACTTTACCTAAAATTATGCAAACTATCTTAGATTTCATTATGTTTTAATTATTTGTTTTATAGATCAAAAGAATAATTTAGTTCCACTGCAAATTAGAAATTAAAAAATTTAATTTTAATTATTACTGTTTATTCTAAAATAAAAAATAAACTAGGTGAGTAGCAGAGTAAAGGTAATTAAATAAATGCAAATATTTTTAGTAGTGGTATCGTAGTAACTCGTCTATGAGATTTTTTTCACGAAAAAATATTTTGAAAATTTTGTATTTGTCAAAATATTAGATTTTTTTTTAATATTAAGACAACATAGGTACAGTCTATCCAACGGTCGGATCCCTGACAGTGACAGTTGTGACCAGGGGGGTGACAGTAAACCGGAAAATTGGAAACAGTTGTGGCGCGGTTCTACCCAGGCAGAAAGCATGGCCTTCTAGACTGTCCTAGACAAAAATCTGAATATTTCTGTATGATTTCTGTCAATTTCTGCTACGGAACATTTTTATGCACGTCGGCGTCCTGTTCTTTTGTCTGTGTGTCAGCGATGTGTCAACTCCCGAGGCCTCTGGCAAGGTCGAGCGCCATTTTAATTTTTGCCGTTTAGATTTGATTAGAAGCTTGTTTATGATATTTCGGCGGAAATTTATAAGTACAAAGATGTTTTTTGATATAAAGTTCCTTGTTAACACTTTAATAAAGTATATATGATATTAATTACATAAAGAAAATGATGAAATCGACGTTTCTGCGTGTAGTAGGTATGGGCCATATTATATGTAAAAATAGGTAATATATTAACTGTTTTTATATTTTTTTAGCTTTAAACCCAAGGATCTTGGGATATTCTTTGCCAAGGATTTTTCCGTATCTCTACTTTAAAGACTGATCGGTGATTTTGAGCAACTGAAAGCAAGTTATACAAGGTAAATTATGATTATTGAAGTATTATTAGCCTACATTAATTTTCTACAAGATGAACAGATATGCGTAATTACATATTACATAGGTACCTATTATGTATTTTCATAGCAATAATGCTATAAATCTATGTATGTAGATTATTTTTAAAATACAAATGAGGTATTAGATGTATATGTATTATATTTTTTATTCATTTTATTTACATTCAAGTCCTGTTTGATTTAATTCACAAAAGTCTTATGTACCTATATTTATATTTTTTACATATTTTTTTTGATTCCAGGTTTTGTGTGGGTTCCGGTTGCCTTTTTCCTGCTTCCAGTTATTTAGTTTTATGTCCGTGAAGCTGTGAAAACATTTATTTATCTTCAAGTTTCTGTAAGTCAATGCACTGTTACTTTACTAATTCGCTTTAACACAGCATCTCTGATATTATTTAAATATTTGATATTGATACAGTAGTTTATTGGATTATAGCTCTTTAATTGTGTTGATTTGCATATTTACATTGTTCTAAATTCCAAATAAATATTTTTGAGTAATTTTGTTGTATTATTTACTACTAGAAAGAGTAAAAAGTATATTAACCCTCATTTAAACCTCCTGAACAGCCCGCCATTAAAAACCGGAAACGGAAATAAATTTCATAAAATTGAAATTGTCATGTCTATGTCATGTCAAATGTCCCAGCCGCCATATCTGAAAATTAGTTACCCAGGCAGCCACGCTGTTTCCATAATTTAACATTGACTTGACACTTCTTCTTGTATTTATTATTTTATGGTTGTGACTGTCATTTTAATGCCCAAGCAAATTGTATTTTCTGCATTTTTTATCTCTGTGTCTGTCGAAATCTCCCCTGTGTCATTGGGCTGAATATGCTAAACAGTAGCAGATGGCAGACTATAGTAAACAATGTAGAGGGAAAAAAACATAGAAAAAATCCAATGGTTCTCAAAATTTAAACAAAAATATTATTTTTTTAATTTTCAAAATAAAATAACTCATTAAAGTTGAGGGTTGCACCCTTTGGTGTTACAACAGCAAAAATAATACACTAATTCGCCACAATACACCAAAACACTTTGCTTTTACACTGGACATGCGTTTCGCTAACCACGTTAGCATCATCAGCACATGATGAAAACTGCTCAGATGATTAAAAAAATGTTTTAATCATCTGCTGATGATGCTATAACATGGTTAGTGAAGCGCGCGTCCAGTGTAAAAGTAAAGTGTTTTGGTATGTTGTGGTGAATTAGTGTTTTATTTTGCTAAAATAACTCAACTATTTTAGGATTATTTGAAAAACGGCAAAGAGAAAATATTTTTTTTATCGAGATCTACCGGCCCTGAAATATTTGCACTTATTTAAGGCTCACTCTGTATATATGTAGTAGAGAAATTTATATGAGTGTTCCATTAGTATTAGAACTATATTTTCTAAAATTTAAGGACATACCTACTTTAATTTAATATTTATTTACTAATCACCACAAACTTACCGAATTTTCGCCATTTTGTAGTCCATTTTTTGGAAAAAGAGGTATCCTCTCCTCACTGCTCATCCTAACTCAAAATTTTTGGAAAAAATCACAACAGAAAACAACTGGAACACTTTTTATAAATCGTTCTAATTTGTACGCTACTTTTTATTACATATTATCTTAATTTCTACGCTAACGACTGCAGTTACGTTAAGTAAACTTTTGCGAAATGAAATTCTCTATTTCAAAAACCAGCTACCAAATATTTATTTATTCATAAAGATATTATTTTATCTTCTGTGTTATATTTGTCTACGCGTTGCAATGTCTTGGAAAGTGGCAAAATGTACAGTAATGAGATTATAGTTAATACCTCTAGTAAATAAAAATACTTAGGTAAAATGATACCGTGCCTTCGAGTATACGACATTGATCGTGTTGAAATCGATAGCTTAGGGTATGTATAGGGTGTCACAAATTCAATGATAAATTTGAAAAAGCTAATTTTTAAACTTTAGTATAACGGGGCGACCCGTCTACTCTTTTTCATATCTCTAGTTCGTTTGTTCAAAAGATAGAAAATATGAACTATGTTGTGATATTTTAAACTTAAAAACGTTTACTAGCAAGCCTTGCAGTCGAACATTGTTCTTTTTAGAACCTCTTTTAGTGCGAAGTGTCTAAGATAGTTTAATAGCCGTAGAAAACTCATCGCAACTTTATTAGAATATTTTGAACGGGAAAGCAGTAGTAGTGGCCTTTTATGTCCCTTAAGTGTTGTTAAGGAGGTGAGTTTTGTTGATGTAAATAATAACTGTTTATATATTTATAATTAATTTTTGTTTCCTAAAATATTGTGATTAAAAAAATATATAAAAGTGGGCAACGCTGTGCCGGTCAAGCTTAATCACGTGACTAAAAGTTTATTTGATATGAACTATAAGTACATTTTTTACCATGTTATTTTTTTCTGAAAGTGTTATAAAGTTTTGATAAGTTTATCCAATTTTAACAACTCTTCACCTGTTTTTTTTCTATCAAAGACCTTTATTTTACCTCTCATTACAATAACTAATTTAACAACATATATTAAACTTTTCTTCCTAATAGGCAGAATCATAAAAATACAATGTTTTGGGGTTTAATATAATGTTGAAAAAATATTTTTAATATACACACATTATTTCAGAAATCAACATCAAGCGATTGTAGACCAAAAAAAACTTTTCTTTTTTAAATGTTTATTTTATTTAAATACAAAACATAAACAAAAAGTGACTCCTATAGACAAAATTTAAAAAATAAACACCTAAAAACAAAATTAAACTTTTTTTTTCTTCTTTAAACTTTCATTATTATCATTGTTCATTTTACTGCTATAATCTGTATCATTTAAACTGTCTAATTTATCTACTTTACGCTTTTTCTTTTTGAGTTTATCACCAAGAAAATTATCTTCTGCCACCACTTCATTTTCTACATTGATATCTTTACTCTTGTGATTTTTCTTCTTTTTTGTAGTAACAAACGCATCAGTTATTTCAACCTCATTCTTTCTCTTATTTTTTGACACCTTTTCAGTGTCAATATTTTTCTCGTTTTTATCTTCTTTAATATTTATTTCAGTAATTTCAACATCGTCTGTATTTTGTTGTTGTTCTTTATGTTTCTTATTTTTCTTTTTCTTCTGATTCAAATTTAATTCTAATTGTTCTTGTTCAAGTGTCTCTTCAGTTGTTTCATATAATGTTTCCTGATTTGAATTTTTATCCTTTTTCTTCTTTTTAATTTTTATTCCTTCAGTTTCATTCTGATTTACTAATTCAGTACTGTCTTTTCTTTCTTCAATATTTTCATTTATATGATCTAGATTTTTCTCTAATTTTTCCTTCTTTTTCTTCTTTTTAAATTTTATTCCTTCATTTCCATTCTGATTGACTAATTCAGTACTGTCTTCTATTTCATCAATATTTTCATTTATTTCGCCTATATTTTCACTATTATCTTTTTTCTTCTTCTTTTTAATTTTTCTTCCTTCACTTTCATCCAGATTTACTAATTCAGTACTAACTTTTGCTTCATCAATATTTTCCTTTGTCTGTTCTAAATGTCTTTCCTTCTTTCTTTTTTCATTTCTTTCATGTTTCTTCATATATTTTAAACTCCTCCCATTGAAAAACTGATTGTACTCTCCTTCCTTGCACCTTTCAAGAACAGCAACAAAAAATCCATTGGTTAGATCTTCTTCTGGCTTAGCGTACAAACAAAATTTTCCTATATCTCCAAAATCAGGCGAACCGAAATTTTTCCATGTTTTATTGATAAAAGTATCGGCTGGTACTAATCGGAACTCATTGTTTGTCTCTAAAACTTGCCTAACTACGTCTTCATTTTCTTCTGGATACAAGGAACAAGTAGAATATACAACCTTCTTAACATTAGGGTATCTAGTTAATGCGCTTCTTAAAATTTTGATCTGAAATCCAGCCAACTTCTCCAATCTTGCATTATTTTTGCTTAATGTCATTTCTACACGATCAACCATTCCTAAACAAATAAGGTTGTAAAATATATCTTAAGAATGCACCTTTTAATGTTTTACCTGATCCAGAACAGCTTGGATCGACTAAAATATATTCAACATCTGGAAAATCAGAACTGTTACACTCCAGCACATCTTTATTTATCGCCTTAATACATTTTGAACCTGAAAAAATATATACAGGGTGATTATTTAGTATTGCAAAAAGTTAATCACAAAATAGGCTTAAACAAAAATAATTCTGCCCTTTAAACATTCAACAAAGATTTGAAATAACTATTTGTCATCAGTGGCAAACATAATAAAGCTCTAACTGAAATCTTTTATTTCTACGGCTAACGTGACATCGTTTTAATGCATTCACACGCATTTATTGTATTACCTGAGGTTTCAACTATCTTATTTAGTACGTCAAATCGTTTGGGGTCCCTTTCAACGGCATAGATGGTGCCTTCATCTTTCATTAATGCAGCTAACTGTGTAGTCTTCATTCCAGGTGCTGCACACATATCCAAAATTATGCTTCCTGGTGGTGGGGATAAGATATGTACGGGTATACAACTTGCCTGTAACATTATTCAAACCAAACATTAACCCCATACTCACCATGCGCTGATGCGGTTCTTCGATGCGATAGGTTGTGCGGTAGTATGTTCGATTTTTGGGCGAGCCATCAAAAGAAGTGTCATAAAAACACAAAGCACGAATTTCCAAAGAACTAACTAATCACATCGACGAAACGCATCATACTCTTCGACGTATCAGCGCATAGTGAGTATGGGGCTTAACAAAACGATTTTTCCAAAAAATTATATTACTTCAATATACAGGTTGATCCAAATTATATTCGGAGAACTTTGGCAGCATATTCTTCAGATAAAACTAAGTAAAAAAGTTCCTATAAATTTATAGTAGTGGGAACTATTGAATGAATACTATCGAAACATTCGATAGTTGCAATTCATTCGAATAATTCGATAGTTAGTAAGAAAACATTCGTTGAAAACTATTCGAATAAAAATTATCGAATAGATCCGTCATCTGCCTTGAAATATTGTATTCTAGCAATTCGGCAGCAAAAACCATTCATTTATAAAATTCATTCATTTATGAAATTCATTTATTCGTCAGGATCGATTATAATAAAATATTAACTGAATTTTAGTTGTCGCCCGGCGACGTAGGTTTCTTTCTGAGAAACCCGACAGCGCAGCGGTCGGGGGCAATGCTATGAAAGAAGCCGGCATCTTTGATTTTTTGCGGAGTCAGATATAGATAAGGACACATTATTTTTTTTATTGAGGTGCAAGTATTTACACAGAAAATACATTATGAAGGGCGCTGTTGCCATATTTTGGTATTAGTTGATATTAGCAAAGAATATTATTGTTTGACTTTAGTTAGTTAAGGATAGTATGTCTATATATTCTGCATTTTTTTTATTAATATTCTGTTGTTACACTGCAATAATACTTGTTATTTTGGATGTAGGAAAATGATTTTTAATGTTTTTAAGCAATGACTGGTTTAATAAATAATAATAACAGTAATAATTTGTTATGCCTATTAACAACAAAATTTAAAATCATTTAATATAAATATTTTTTTTAAGTAGTAGCAAAATATAAACAACAAATTAGATGTCAAAATTATTTATATTAGATCCTATTTAAAAATAATATAGTCTCTAAATTTTTTGGGGAGCAACGTTGGTTTATTAAATAATAATAATAATTACAGAACTAATTTGTTATATTAACAACAAATTTTAAAATCATGAAATATAAACATTTATTAATTTTCTAAGCATACAGTGTAATGGAAGATAAATATAAATAAAAAATTAGAAATCAAAATTATTTATATTAGGTGCTTTATATTACTGTTTAAAAATTATATTTACCTTTACTGGCATTTACTTTAAAAAATAAATGAAATATTTCTTCGCAAAAAACTACATGTAAGAGAATTAGCATAACTTTTCGTTCAAAATACAAACATCGTTAACTTTTTTTTAAATTGGCACGTGTAAAACTTTCATTTTAAATTTCTCACCCCATAGTTTGAGTTCGATAACCATTTACTTAACCACATTACTTAAATATGATTATTAAGTTCAACTAATTCATATTATTAAAACATCTAAAATACAAATATGTATTTTTAAAATGTACCTAAATTGTAAAACTTACAATAAAGTTCATCTCATCTCTCTTAAAAATTGCTACTTCTTAAAATTTCCCATTAAAAAATAGACCATATATCATATAAAATTAAATAATTGAAAGATCGGACTACGGAAAACCACACAAATTTTCGGAAAAATTTTGACCACCTGCACATGCACACAATCGTCAATAAATAAAATTAAAAAATAACTACTATTTTAGTATTTTAACTATTTTAATAAACGCAAAAATAACACAGTATTTATACGGCGAAGTTATAAAAATTTGGAAGAACTAATAATGCACTGACGCAGACAAAAATCAAACGAATACTAAATTTCATTTATCAAAAGCATTCGATAGTCGTGGCTCAACGATAACCATTTAGTCGCACGGCGAGGTTGTCACATATGCTTTAGTATACAAATGAATGAATGAATTCGAATAAAACCATTCGATAGTTGAAATCATTCATTCATTAAACATTCGATAGTCTAATTCATTCGATAGTTCCCATCGCTATAAATTTATGTTCTAAAATGCTTCATTTCGGAGATATACAAGGTGTAGCAGTTTTATTTTTATTTCGTTTTTTTTCCAATAATTTCAGAACTAACGTTGATATTTGAATAAAAGCGAAATTTCAAAATTAATTCAGTGTCAATTAGTCCTACTTGTAGAGGGCGCCACCTACGTGTTCTTAACTGTTTTGTATAGTAATAACTTTTCGTCCGTACCTGTATAGAACTACTGAGAGGAAAAATATATATTTCCGTAATTTTAACGTAAAAAAGGTCTCTCGGTAAAAATTACTACGAGCAACCGATCTCAAGATATTTAGAATGGAAATAGTCAATACATGTCATTATTGACAAAAAATAAACATGATAGAGTTATTTGACTGAAATAATAAATTTGGGAACTTTTTTTTTAATTAATCATAAATTAATAATTTAATTTAATTAATATATATTAAAATAAAAGTGTTTCTGTTGAACCTTTTGGTATAAAAGTTAAATTTATTATTTTCAGGCTTATAACTATCTAATCAACCTTTTTAATTTATGTCAATGATGACATGTATTGATTATTTTGATTCCAAATATCTGAAGAACCATTACTCGTAGCGATTTTGATGAAGAGGCCTGTTTTACATAAAGAACTGCGGATATGTAATTTTTTACTCATTAATTTTATACAGGTTGGGATGAAAAGTTATTACTCTTCAAACCAGCTAAAAAATCTGTAGATGGAGCCATCTACTAATTATTTGGAAAAAATCGAAATAAAAATAAAACTTCTACACTCTGCGACTCTGCATCTCCGAAACTAAGCATTTTAGGACATACATTTATACAAGCGTCAGATAAGTATTTAATCGATTAATTTTTACGTCTTTTTATGTGCAGAATAAGCTAGGTACCGAAATTTCCCGAATACAATTCGGACCACCCTGTACACATTTTTGGTACATTTTAGTATATTCCTCCACTATATATTTATTCATCCATTTAAATTGTTTTATTTTAACCATATGTTTGTTTTAACCATATTTCTATTTTTTTATAATTTTGTTTAATTATTTTTTCATTTGTTGCATTTTTTCTCTGGCTTTAATTTATAGAGAAATATCACATGTAGTGTAAAACTTTAAGTACGTATATTCCTGATGCTTGTACGTGTAGACAAGAGTTATACAATATCTGACATAATTCCTCATTTTTTAATTATTAATTTATTTTTTCGCTTTCATTTGCATTGATTGTTTAAACTAATTTTGTACATTCTTTTTCATTCTAGCGTTAATTTTTATAGACATACATATTGTTGTGTATTCTATAATTTTTCATGTATATCAAAAAAAATTATACAATTTGAGGCATTCAGTGTTTAATTAATTTTTATTAGTTACTATTTTTTTTAGTACCTATTGTAGCTTTTAAAATACCTTTTTATGTATATGTATGTAGTATGTATGTATGTATGTAAATACCTTTTTCTTTTTTAATTTTAGTGTTTAATTTTTCTCTTATTTGTCTTTGTTTAAACTAATTTTGAGCAAGTTTTTACCTAATTTTTGGTATATTACACATGCATGTGTAAAATACAATGAACAATGTTGCAAATTACTTGAATAATAGTATTATACACTATATCCATTTATTAAATAGGTACTATTGATATTCGTGTAATGTTGTAATTTTATATTGTTAAATGTTGCAATAAATTTATTATTATTATTCAAAAAATACACAATTTAGAGAGAGCATTCAGTGTCAAAGTGAATTTTTATTTGTTACTGTTAATTTTAACTTAATAAGTTAATTTTAAGTATCCCTTTGATAATAATTTTTGCAGTATTCCAGCTTCTGGATACATTCAATTCTCATTTATATTTAAACTAATTTGGAGATATTTCTCATATTGTAAGTAATTTATAGAGACCATAAATTATAATTTATCTTATATCTATCATATATAATCAAATTAATACCTTATCTTGTAAAATAATCGCTCCCTGTTTATAGCCTGGATGGTTATAAAATTGTGTACCATGAGGAAAAATTAATAAATCAGAAATATGAATATCTCGAAGAAATAAGTCACCCTCCAACAAAGATACTTGCTCTATGAAACTATCATAATTCTGATGGTCTTTAATTTGTTGTAAAACCCACCCCTCCTCTTGAAAAAGCTCCAGTGATTCATTAAATGAAGTTAGCAATGTATTTATTCTCACATATCGTGGCTTCTTAACAATTATATTTCCTAGAATATAAATATAATATGTGAACAAAATTCTTAACCATACTAAGGTGAATTGTAACAATAAAAAAGTATTAATAGAATGAATTTATTAAGATTTATATAAATACATATAAATATCTACAGATACATACGCTTCAGTAAATAATATTAAAATGTGGAATGAAAGATACATCTATACATGTCTACACGAACTATAAAATAAAAAAATACTGTTTCAATCACAAAATCAATCTTCTTTTAATTCTAAACTTGATTTAGATGAACTAATAGTACTATCATTCACTATATTTCCATCATCATCATACTCTTGCTCATGATACGCTATATATACATACAATCCAATAATAACATTTACACTAATCACAGTAGCCACTACTGATACAATCATGTTTTCATTTCCATGAATGTGAAAATAATCTTCTAACGAATATTTAGTCCCAAAATATACACCAAATGGTATAGTGAACATTAAAAAACTAAAGAAAAGTAACAAAGCTAAAGCTTTGGCAGCTTGTTTTGAGTGTTGCGGCAATAGTGGGGCATCTTTAGGAATCTCAGATGCCTCAACTTCTTTATAGGAGTTAGTTCTTTGGGTTAGAATTAGATCTGTATTATCCATAACTTCCTAAAAAAATAAAAATCAATTTACCTTCAATATGGTTTACAGAAGAGTCACTGAGGTGGGCTTTAAAAGCTTGTTCATAAGCTAGTATTGTCTGAACTGGTTTAGCTTCACTTTTAGGTAATATTTTCTTGCCCCACATTAATTCTGATATGAAAACTTTTGCGAGCCATGGTTCTAAACGTGGTTCTTTCTCAAACAATTTAGTTCTCTTAAGTAACAAGTCAATTTCCTGAGCTCTCTGAAATGTTGTTACTACTAGAGCATAAAGAGCCTTTGTGTTCTAAAAAAACAGATAAATTAAGTTTAATAGGGGAACTTTAAAGAGTACAGAACCAAAAGCTAGCAAAATTTTTTGATAAACTCACAAAATGTTTTTTCTCATAAATCAAATGTTTTATACTGCCACCACCTCCAGCGACCTCCTGGCATATTTTAGCTGCACATTTATACAATTTAGGAACTTTAATGGAATGATTAAAATTGCTCATTGTCCAATGCACATAGTATTTTCTATTAAAATAATATAAAAAACTAACCAAAATAATTATTCAAAACTAGCCGATCACATGAACAAAAATAAACATAACCCTTTTAAAAAATGGCAAATGACAACTTTAAAAAATCCTAAGGAAAAATCATATATAAATGTCATATTTTATTACCACAGATTATAATCTAGAATTATTTCTTCTTTCAAAAAAATGGCAAAATTTTAAAAATTGCAGGTTTCTTTAATTCCTTTTAAAGTTTAAAAAGAACTGTCACTTTCAGTCAGTTGTTTTTATTTTTATTTAAATAATGTTGAATTATGGAATTTAACTATTATTTTGTAAAAACATTCTAATGTAGTGGTTTCTACCTAAGAAAATATATCGTAGGGTAATAATATCTATATTATAGATGGAGGTTTTAAGAATATCGATGCAGAAATAGCTTGATTTTTAGATATTTTTTGTAACAAAACAAAAAAAGTCGTTGATTAAATTCTTGGGTCTACATAAAGTATTGTAAGTTTTTGCTAGAAGGGCTTTTTCAGTGCAAAGTTTGTTCGTGTTGTCCAATTCATTAATTGTTTCCCTAGTTCAGTTATATAAAACATTGCACATTTCTTGTTTAAGTTTAAATAGGTAAATAGTTCCTTTTTTTCCGGTTGTAGATTTATAATGGAAACTACAACTGAAAAAATGTACAGTGGCTTATCTCCTAGCATAGATAGAGAACAGACCAATTCGGCAAGTGCAAATAAAACAACTTCAACATGTCAGTCTATGAAAATGATTCCTGAAGGTATAATTTCTAGGCTAGTTTATAAAATAATTAATTCTGTTCTTTGTAGAAACTGGGAGACCTTCTTTGGTGGATTTGGATTCCAATGATTTTTTATTCAGGGAATCATTAGGTAACAAAGTGAATATATATTTTTCATTAAAGGTGTATTTTATCCAGTTGCTTTTTAGGAGTATTGTCGGATTCTATGTTATTCAGAGATTCTCTTACCAGAGATCAGTTAAATCTACAAGCAAAGAAACAACTTGGCAATGAAGATATTAGCTTTAGAGACTCATTGGGGCTGTTAAATTTAAGTACTATCGATGTCGGTAGAGAGTCTTTACAAATATTTAATGTAAGAGAATCTTTAATAGGCAAGTTTTCATTTTTTTTTGTGATACAGATATTTGTTCATTGCTTTTTTTGTAGGATCAACAGATATTAAGAATTTATTGTATAGTAATAAGCCTTCTGTACAAGTCACTGTCTCAAAAACTAGTGATAACGTAGAATATCCATCATTAGGTGTCCTAAATGAAGCCTTTTTATATTCGGATTCAAGAAAGCTGTCAAGTGCATCAAGTCTATTATCATGTAACCCGAGTTTTAGCTTTAGAAGCTTTAATGAACCATCTCCTATTCTTCCTTTAGGCTCATTTGAAAATGTAAGTAACTAGTACATAACTGTATAATTTATATAAAATAAAAAATTCTTTTTAAGGATATAGACTCTAAATTAGTTATATCGGATCCTTTAAATGAGGCTTTTAAGTTTTCTATGAATAACAAATGTTCTGTATCTCAAGTTATTTCCCATAATACACTTGTCAGTGATTTAGACAACAACGAAAGCTTTAGGAAAAGGTTCCAATCGCTGCCCACTGCAGTAACATTTGAAGAAAATTTAAAAAATACAATTGAAGATGCAGTATGTGCTGTAAATATGAAATGTTTTATCACGTTTATATACAATCTCTTTTCTTTTTAGGATGATTCTGTGTTTTTAGAAGGTCAAAAAGTTGCAAAAGATATATCAAACTCTTTTTATATTGAAGGTAACAATAAATATCCTTTGTACATTGCTATACCTTAGAGAATAGCTGAAATAAAAACTTATTTTTTAGATAAGTCGTCAGACTCTAGCAAATACAATTTATTAGACTCAATTCCTGAACCAAATTGGCCTAATGATTTGGATCGATCTCAGAGTGGTTCTGAGAAAAAAATTAAATATGATAAAGAAACAGTAGCTAAAAAGGTATACTAAATAATTATGTGTTTTTTATTAACTATACAGCTTAATTTTTCAGATTGACCAAATGCTTGATTTGAAGCCAACAAATCTTGATGAGAAGTTAAATGATAACAATTGCTCAAATGATAATAATATGTAAGTAAATACATCTTCTAAGCGAATAAGAATTTGATATACAGGGTGAGTCAACAATAATAGAGCGAAGGTTATTATTTTGTTTATTTAGTGTGTTATGAAAAAAATGTTATATTTAATAATGTTTTTAATGTTAAAGTTTACAATTTAAATTTATTTTTCTTTATTATGGGACCACCCTGTACATCCTTAGGATATTCTTTTGTTACACTTTTAACAGGCTATTATTTAATTTTTGGATATAGAACATTCATAAAAAAATTATGGGGTTTTTGGTCAAAGTTATGTTATGTATTACCAAAAATGTCATACGCTGTCAAATTTCACAGTACAAACTATATTTTATTTTAAACGGGACACCCTATGTACCTTATATTTTTTTCTGTATGTACATATGTCAAATATAGGGCTTGATTCTCTCTACAATTTCCTGTCTCACAATTACCGTTTGTGTCGCGGAAGGGATCATAGTTTAATAGTTGTCGATTTTCGAAAGAAATCAGTACATGTATATTGTTTCGTATATTTTTCATTTTACTGATTTTATGGAAAGCACTGTTCATTAAAATGTTGTATCCTATGTTAGCGCTTGTTTCTCTCTAAAATTTCCTATTTCACAATGTACCGTTTGTGTCCGGGAAGGGTTCATAGTTTCATAGTTGTCGATTTTCTTAAGAAATCAGTACATGTATATTATTTCGTATATTTTTCATTTTATTGATTTTATGGAAAGCACTGTTCATTAAAATGTTGTATTCTATGTTATAGGGCTTGTTTCTCTCTACAATTTTCTGTCTCACAATGTACCGTTTGTGTCCAGGAAATGTATATATAGTTTCATAGTTGTCGATTTTCGAAAGAAATCAGTACATGCATATTATTTCGTATATTTTTCATTTTATTGATTTTATGGAAAGCACTGTTCATTAAAATGTTGTATTCTATGTTATAGGGCTTGTTTCTCTCTACAATTTTCTGCCTCACAATGTACCGTTTGTCTCCAGGAAGAGTTCATAGTTTCATAGTTGTCGAATTTCGAAAGATATCGGTCTTCTTCTGCTGCTATCCATTAATGGATGTTTGCGATCAGTTCTGACCATCTTTCTCTCTCTCCGGTGGCGTGAATTAATTCTCCTGTAGTTCTTATTCCCGTCCAATGTTTAACATTTCGGAGCCACGACATCCTCTTCCTGCCCAATCCCCTTCTTCCTTCTATCTTTCCTTCTATTTTCATAGTTTCATAGTTGTCGCTTTTCGAAAGAAATCAGTAGATGCATATTATTTCGTATATTTTTCATTTTATTGATTTTATGGAAAGTACTGTTCATTAAAATGTTGTATCCTATGTTATAGGGCTCGTTTCTCTCTACAATTTTCTGTCTCACAATGTACCGTTTGTGTCCAGGAAGAGTTCATAGTTTCATAGTTGTCGATCTTCGAAAGAAATCAGTACATGCATATTATTTCGTATATTTTTCATTTTATTGATTTTATGAAAAGCACTGTTCATTAAAATGTCGTATCCTATGTTATAGGGCTTGTTTCTCTCTACAATTTTCTGTCTCACAATGTACCGTTTGTGTCCAGGAAGAGTTAATAGTTTCATAGTTTTCGATTTTCGAAAGAAATCAGTACATGCATATTATTTCGTATATTTTTCATTTTATTGATTTTATGGAAAGCACTGTTCATTTAAATGTTGTATCCGATGTTATAGGGCTTGTTTCTCTCTACAGTTTTCTGTCTCACAATGTACCGTTTGTGTCGAGAAAGAGTTCATAGTTTCATAGTTGTCGATTTTCGAAAGAAATCAATACATGCATATTATTTCCCCCATTACCCCTCCCGTATATGCACCCCTGTGTCAAGTGTATGTCAGACCTGCCATATCTTTTTTTATAGTTTTTTATATGCATAATTTAATAAAAATATGTAAAAATGGTAGGTATATGTAAAACTCACTAGGTACATATAAGCAATAACAATTAAACTTTTATTTACGTAATCGAGGGCGCGATTTTTAACTTCATTGTTGCCCACCATGGATATATTTGGCGCCAGGCTGACTAACTGGAATTTAAATTTCCCGCTGAAACAAATTATTGCAACCTTATTAGAATATTTTGAACAGGAAAGTAATGGTCCAAAAAAAAAACCATAAAATTTATTTCATTTAATGAATCTTCTATCCTGAAAAATAGCCTGCCAAAAGTGGGATAATTTAAAGCGATAGCCATTGTACATTATTAAAGCCACTCAATAAAAATTACTATATCTCTAGGCTTCAGATACCAGATCTTCCAAAATTGCCTGAAGACAAAAGTCCAGCTAACCGAAGTAATATTAGCAATAATTTAAGTCATAACATCAGCAAAATCTCACAGTCTAGCAACGAGAGCATATTAAAAATAATTAGAAATTTATCAGATTTTGTAAAAGATAAGGAAGGTTTATCTATCTCTAGAAGGAGCGAATATCTACATAGTTTAAATTCTCTCGCCAGTGAAATATCCAGCACTAGAAGTGATGTAAGATAATAAAAAAAACATCGCCATAGTAGCCTTTTAGATTGACATAAAAAGTTATTGCTTAAGAGTCTATTACGCTGTACTTTCGGGTTGCTCTCAGGGGGGGTGTGGCTAAAGGAAATTTATATTATATTTCAGAAATCTGTCCAAGGCTTAGGGTACGAACATAACGGGGGCAGGTTTCTGCTTACCGGCAACCAGCGCCGTCTCAGGGTACCTATTCTTAACCATTCGCATCTTCAAATATCACTCACATCTTGCATCTCCGAAAATGCCATATAACAATACACGTGATGCGTAACTTTGCGTATATGCATCACGTGTATTGTTATATGGCTTTTTCGGAGATGCGAGCAGGGTTCGGAAGTACTTAATTAAGAGAAAATTTACCTGATTAACCAACCTAACCTAACCTAACCATATTCAAACGCCGCACATAGGGGATTATTTTCATTTTTTATCTTAACTGAATACAAATCTATAAATACAAAATGTAAGCACGTTTATTAGCTTTTTTTAAATCGTAAGTTGACTATCAAATAAATAATATATTTCAGTTATAAGTATGAATTATCTTGAGTGTATTCTGAATATTTCTTTTTTTGCAAATTGTTTATAATAACTGTCATGATGGATACAGAGCCAGCTGGCAAGTCCTGTTTTATGCCATATTTTTATTTTCAAACGTTTCCTTCTATTTCTTTATAATGTTTTATATTTAAAAAAGCAGAGGCATTTTTATAAGGTGTAAGACTATTCGGCAATATTCCGCATGGAAATTAGTATCCGTTCAATGCTTAAAGTCTCCAGCTTTGAAATATGTACAAAAATCTTGTCAATATTTGCCACTGCAAAAAAAAACATTGATTTAAATAGATTCTTAAAGGAAATATAGTCTTTACCCTATAACACCCATCCTCGCTCAAATATCGTCTATAATATACAAATTACTTTCTTGTTCTAGCATCCTCATCCAATTGCTTGGTTTTGCACAGAATGGCCCTATTTGATCGGTGGAAAGGGTTTCAGAGTAGAGGAAAAAATATTGTGTAGGAAAAACAAAATGGGGTTCCATATTAGCACCCTCTCCTCTAATAATTAATATTACTAGCAAAAAAATCATAAAACATAATTTTGGCCAACTTTTAGTACTTACTAACCTCTGTGCGCCGTCGGCGCGTGCAAAAGCAGAAATAAATAAATTTTCGTTCCGGTAAAAGCGAGAACGCCAATGAACACTGGTTGACGGCGCCTACCTACTTTCACTGTGAACTAGCCGATTTGATAACAGGCTTTAATTTTTCAAGGCTATAAGCGCGAGGCGGCGCTACTATGTACCCATATACAGGGTGTCCCAGAAATAAGTGGAAGTATTTTAACTTAACTGGTAGTATAGTTCAACCCCAGAAACACGCCTATGAGGGTTTTTTCGCGATTTTTTTTTTTAAATTCGTAATTTTTTTTTAGTTTTTATTTAAAAAAAATAATTTCTTGATAATATGGCAATATAGGTAGTAGATTAAATTTACAAAAAAGAAAATCCAGAAAAGATCCAGTGGTTCTCAAAATTTTAGCAAAAAATCATTTTTTTTTGGAAATTTTCAAAGTAAAATAACTCAGTTATTTTGGACTTATTTGAAAAACAATAAAGAGAAAATATGTTTCTTTTATCGAGATCTACCACCCCTTAAAATACTTGCACTTATTTCTGGGACACCCTGTTTATAACAATACACGTGATGCGTATACGCAAAGTTGCGAACGATGTCAAGAATAGGTACCCAGATTGGCGCCGACTACCGGTAAGCGGCAAACCTGCTTACACTGTGTTCGCACACTTAGCCTGATCCTGTAGTATTAGCCCCACACCCAAAATTCCAAACACACGTGCTTTGATTAAGGCTTGATTAAAATTTGCAGAGCTTCACCATTTGCCATAAAATAGCAAGTAATTTACTACAAAACTATATAAATTATATATCACTGTAATCACAAAACTTCAATCTACAGGGTGGTCCGAACTGTATTCCGGTAACTTCGACACCATATTCTGCAGATAAAAATAAGTAAAAAAGTTCGTATAAATGTATGTCCTAAAATGCTTAGTTTCGGAGATACAGGGTGTAGAAGTTTCATTTTTATTTCGATTTTTTCCAAATAATTGCTGAAGTAACGTCAATATTTCGATGAAAATTGGTGTCTGGGAGTTTTGTGACATGAGAAATTTGATTTTGATGTCAAAATGACTCGTATTTGTAGGGGGCGCCACCTACATGTGTTTTAACCTTTGAATAAGAAGACTATGGAAGGAGCAAAAATCTTAGGTACACCGCGATAGGCCTCAAATATGGCCGACTTAAATTCCGGTTTATCAGTGTCGTTCTAATTTTATTTAAAAAATGTAAAACTATGATGTAGAGTAGACGTGGGGTAGACTCAATAATTTGTTGTTTTATTTTATGTTGTGAATAAATGTTGGTAGTTATTAAAATTGTTATAAAAATATATAATTCTAATAAAAATAGATAAGTTATAATAAGTATTTATTAACACAAACATCCGATACGCTACTGAAGCAGGTAAGTCAAATTAACGTATCTAAATTCTGTGACATCTAATCTTTGACAAGTAATAAATAAAGCTAAAATGCAAGAAAAATATATAATTTAGTTAATTTAAGTGAATTTCATAAATGATCGGTTTACTACACGTATGTATATTATATAGTCACTTACTAGCGAAAAAGTTGTTCCATTATTCACTCGATTTTTGCCGAGATCTACCGCACGCTACACAACCAACTATTTTAGAGTCTTTTTCGATAAATCGCGATAGTGTCACTGTTAATTTAAGTTCTGCTATAATTTCCATCTAGATTTACTACCTTTATACAACTATCAGTAGTAGAATAAATAATAAATAACATAAAATAAGCTCCGTAAAGACTGACAAGTCCACAAAATTTCAAATCAAATTCAAATGTGTCAAATGAATCGTCAAACAGAACTGTCAAGGATCCCCACCCTAGAGAGCTTTTTCCGCCCACCATGCATGAATACATGGATAGCATTATGCTCCTTCCTTAGTCTTCTTATTCAAAGGTTTTAACTGTTTTGAAGAGTAATAACTTTTTTTTTGTCCGTACCGGTATAAAACTACTGACTGAAAAAATATACATTTCCATGACTTTTTACGTAAAAAATGTCTGTTGGTAAAAATCGCTATGAGTAACCGTTCTCATGATATTTAAAATGGAAATAGTCAAAACATTTCATTATTGACAAAAAATAAGCACACGTTGAGTATAGCTATTTGACTGAAATAATAAATTTTATTTTTTTAAATTAATCATATTTTTTTTTCTGCGAAAAAATGATGATTAAACAATTTCTGTTGAACTTTTGGCACAAAAAGATTTCAAATTTATGATTTCAGTTTAATAACTATTTAGTCAACATGTTTAATTATGTCAGTGATGACAGGTATTGATAATTTCGATTCCAAATATCTCGAGAACCATTACTCTTAGCGATTTTTACCAAGAGACCTTTTTTATGCAAAAAAAGTCTTGAATGTATATTTTTTTACTCGGTAGTTTTATACAGGTATGGACGAAAAGTTATTACTCTACAACCCAGTTAAAAAATATGTAGGTGGCGCCCTCTACAAGCAGGAGTCATATTGACATGAAAATCGAATTTCCCATGTCAACCAATATTCATCCAAATATCGACGTTACTTCATAAATTATTTTGAAAAAATCGAAATAAGAATGAAACTTCTACACCCTGTATCTCCGCAACTAAGCATTTTAGGACATACATTTATACGAACTTTTTTACTTATTTTTATCTGCAGAATATGCTGCCGAAGTTTCCGGAATACAGTTCGGACCACCCTGTATTTCCGTATTGTAACGGAATTTTAAATTGTCTTTGTTTTCGAGAAATTTTAATCCAAACATAAGGGATATTTTGTTGATGTTTGACCATCAAAATCTTAAAAATAAAGAAGTTGTCTAAAAATGTGCTACAATACGGATATAGTATAATCCTTTATCTTGAGTTTCCTTCTTCATTTGTGTAAAAATACCTAGCCAGTTTTACATTAAATGCCAAACGCTTATTTTGCTACTTTTTTGGGCTAGTGAAATGGACTCTTAATATAGAAAAAAAATGCTTAGGTATAAATATATAAATTGTTCAACTGTGTATCTGTCGATCCAATAAGTTGGATTATAATTTAAGAATTATACCACAGTTTAAAGAATACATACCAGTTGGCCCACTCTAAGGAATTCTGTTGTTATTTTGACTTCAAAGGCGGCCCGTGACCCTTCGAGGTGACAAAAAATTTGTACGTTTACCGGGTGCAGCGGAAGTGCTATTTTATCAGTCAGAACGCTGGCCGTATACGAGGGATCAACTAAAAATACTAAGGAATTTTAATATAGCAAGTAAAAAATAAAAATACAGTACTAGTTTTATTGATTAACAGCATATCTGTGGGATCCTATAAATCCTAGAGCACTTTTCAGGCTCCACACCTACAAGTTATTTTCTATCAGACTCTACTTATACATATTATGGTGAATACATTAATATTAAAATATTAGATATATTATTCTATCCTAATTCTTTGGAATATGGAATTGTCAATAGGGTAATTATTATTAATAATTATTATGGAAACCCCATATGAAAAATGTATACTAAATAAATATAATAAGTTAATTTTTTTTTAATATATATAATAATAATTTGGCGTATTTCTTAAATTATGGCATGTTTTGCTTTATAGATGTTTGCATTTTACTTTAATTACCTACCCGGAAAGCCCAAATTTTATCGTTAGGTATTAGAAGTACCTTTGCATAAAACTTGTGTTGCCATTGTCAATTTTTTTGGATTTTTTTCTAAATTTTATGATTATCATGAACAGTAATTATGACTGTTAGTAGTTAATTGAGTAATAAATTTTACTGTTCGATAAAATTAAATAAAAACTGAAAAAAAAAATGATAATGGCAAGACAAGTTGTATCCAAGTACTTTTTATTACCTTTTGATAAAAAGGTAGATAATTCAAGTTAAATGCAAACAGCTAAAAAGCAAAACGTGCTATAACTTAGGAAATATGCAAATATAATTTATTACAGTATTTACTACTAATTGAAGAGCACACGGGAAAAATAATGAAAGTACCAAAGGGGGGGGGGCTACACCTTTTGATACCTAAATAAACGGGAATATCGATAACGGCCACATAGAAACAGGCATTTAAAAATGGGAAAAACGATATAAACTCGGATATAAAAGTCCATGCGTAATTTGAATTAAAAAAAAACGGTTTCCTGAACATTTATCATTTCTGGATACTCATCGTTTTTCCCATGTGCTCGTCAATTGTTATATTTACTGTTACATAAAATTTCGTAAAAACTCTAAAAAACTTGTCAATAGCAGAACAAGTTGTATGCACGTATTTTTATTACCTGACGATAAAATTTGGACTTTCCAGGTAGGTAGTTAAAGTTAAATACAAACATCTAAAAAGTAAAACATGCTATTTAAAAAAATGCAAATATCTTAAAAAATAATTTAATATGCACTTTGCAAACCGGTAAATACTTCAAAATCCAAAACATAATAGTAAAGTATCTACTACTAGTCTAAAATATCTACTGAAATAATAAACTAATTGTTAAAAGTAAATATTTTGTGCATATTTCGAGTAAAATCTTTTCTTAATTTATATGTATATTTTTAAAACAATTTATTCATAGTTAGGTTTCCATAATTATAATATACTCAATATGTCTAATACTTTACTTAATATCCTATACTATATAAACACATACCTTCCTTCATCTTTTGGGCACTTAAAGAATGATATATTGTCTGTCATTCTACTTCCACAACCATACACTGCACAAATATTTCTAGTAGACATTTTATTCACAATTCGAACAAAACAACTAAACACTATTTTTGATTCACCCTATGCGTCGGACCGAAAACAAAACTAAAATAAACTTGGAACGCTGTGTACACGTCGAGCAACGGATGTAGACTGACCCAAGTCTACAAGACAGGCGGGAAGCGGCGGGAGGAATTTTGATACGGGCGAAGAGTGGGTCAACTGATATATTTATATTTTTTAAACTGTGATTATACTCGATCGTCATTTAAAAGGCTACTACGACACCGTTTTTTTTCTCTATTTTTTAGTGTTTGTAAAGATAATTTTTGATTTATTGATGACTTTAGCAAATACTATCTGAAGATTCTGGACATTCTTCAGTGGAGGAGCCACACTTTAAAGAGAACAGGAGTTCAGAAAATAGAAATGATAGCAATGGATGCTGCACTCATTCGGATCTAGTGCATAATAAAAGTGATGAATGCCATGCACTGGATCTATCGTGCAGAAGCAAATCCGGGAAGGAAAATAATAAAAATGTGTCAAATTTAAGGGGAATTTCACCGGGATCTGTCCAAAAACCACCGCCGTATGTCTCTAAGGTAAGAATTAGGGAATGCAATCCCGCAAATGCGGGATCCCTCTGTGATTCCGCGGGATCAAATTTGCGGGATTTACCGTGCGGGATCTGCGGGATCGACACCAGGGGATTCCCCTTACGGCTTGGCCTTTAAAAGAAGTGAAACAAACAGGTTAGTTGTTAGATTTCTTTCTGGCGTGGGTAAGTGAAGAAAAGCGTTTAACTAGTATTTGTGGATAATTTCGTCAAATAAACTGCCGGACATAATTATCGGGACAAGCAAAATGTTATGGTAAATTTAAAGTTGAATATCTCTTGAACTAAAAAAGATTTTGGGATGCGGTTTGGACCAGGTTTTAGATGCATCTATTGTGATTAAGATACTATGTGGTTTTCTAAAATATATTTAGCGAATTCTCGTATACAGGGTGTTTTATAAGAGTGTGAAAATTTGATCAAGAATCTTTTTTACCGCAAATTTACAATTTTTAAAAAAATTTTACCAAGTACGACTAATCTCTATTGAAATTAGAAAAAACAATTTGATCGGGGTTTTTACTTTTTTTTGTTTTAAGGAAAATACGACGTTTTTCATTAATAAAAATCTTCCATTTCTTATGATTTTTTTGGCACACCTTATAACATTCTAGTATCAAGTATCTACAATTTTAATTTAAAAATATATATTAATCACCCTGTATATTGATATATTTTTAAAATGTGAGTTATATTTATTATATATTTTTAAGATCAATTGAAGTAAATACAAAAAAAATCTAAATATGGAGATTTTTCAGAACAGTTACTCACACCACAGATTAGGTATCCTATAAGTATACAGATAAAAATCTTGTCCCTAATTCGTGGTACGAAAATTGTTTTTTATGACGATGTGCAAACGAGTAAAATTTCCTGTGTGCAAAAAATAAACTCGCCTAAAATAACAATAAACAGCGTAATAGAGAGATATCGCTAAACCGAATAGCGTGCATGGACGTTAATAAGGCCAGGTGTTATTTCCTTTATGTGAGGTGGTATTAACTCTCTTCATTTATAGTTATCGGATCGGAAAGAATTCTGTTCGCGTCGCGTCCGCAATTTAAACTTAACCTAACTTTGAAATTGTTTTCTTTACTAGGTATTTTAAAACTAAAGCGCTAAAGTGCTTATTTCTAGTGCTTTATAGTCTGCCAGTGGGTTTAGGGCAACAAGCAACAAATTCTCTTAGAAGGGCTAAGTCGTCATCTGCTGTAAACCTAAGCCTCTTTATAGGTTCTTTAATATTGGAAGAATCCATATTTTGAGCCATATTTATTTAATTAAAACTAATCCCAGCTACTTAAATATCAAATTACCTAATAAAACTAAAGTAATAATTCAAAACAATTCAAACACAACCTAAAATAAAAGATCTCGCCGGCTGGCCCCGGTTGTAAATACCCGCACATGCCCATTTAAAGGTGCGTATTCATTATCCGAACGAACGAACGAATGAAAGTGCGGTATATTTAGACGGGGACCGAACGCATGCTGCCGTTCGTTCGCTCGACCATCCGTTTCGAGTCGGTACATCAAAGGCGTTCGCGTCCGGTCTTCTCGTGCGGTTCTATCGTACGGTCCCCGTCCATACCACTAACGAACATTCGTTCGTTCGTTCGTTCAGATAATGAATACGCACCTTAAGCAATTTTTAAACGTTATTTAGAAATAGCGCTTGGTGTAATTGATCCGCAAATTACATCAGGCGGTAACGTTATTAGCGGGTGTTGCGTTAAAAATTGACTCGCGCATATCGTAACCATGATAAGGTACGCGTAAATACTGCATGACGCTATTCGGTTTTCCGATATCTCTCTAATAACTGTGCCGGTCAGGCGCTGTTCACAATTTTAGAGACCATACGTGGGCGTGCTATGTGCGCAAACTAGTAACCTAACTAGTGCCCGATTCCGAAAATTGGAACCACGAAAAACAATAAAGGAAAAACAAAGTTTATAATCTGTATAATTTGTGCTCACACTGTATGTAATTTAGTGATTTACGTATTTACAGACACCTAAACGCAACAACTTAAGTTCGTTTAATGCATCGGCCCCAAGCAACGACAGTCACAAAAGATCAACGAACGATAGTAATACCTCGAACAAAAGTGGAAATATATCGGGTAGAATCAGTAATATTTCCCAGAGCAAATCGGCTATTTCTGGTAATATTAGAAAATCAACAACGGGACAAGTTGCCAGTAAAAAAGGCCCTATGAGGTTAGTATTATAGTTTACTTAAGCAAGATCACCTGAAGTGGATTCCCGGTAGTCATTTTCATTTAGTTCGAAACAAATGAACGGTTTTTAAGATATATATTTAAATGTTGCGATGGATTTTAGAATTAGCGAAATGCGACACCTCTCGATACTTACATACTTACTTACTGCCTGCTGGAAATCTACGCTATCGAGAGATGCGTACAACTTATCTTAGATAGGAACTATCGGAAACAAGAAATAGCCATCTTATCTGATAGTCAAGCAGCGTTAAAGGCGATCAACTCAGTATCAATCAATTCGAAATTGGTCAAATAATGCATAGAGAAGCTGAATAAATTAGACAAAGAAAACAAAGTCCTCCTACACTGGGTGCCTGCTCACCAAGGGATAGAAGGCAATGAAAAAGCAAATAATCTAGGTAGAAAAGGAGCGAACACTCCACTAACTGGACCAGAACCGTTCTGCTTTCCAAGTGGTAACCAACTCAAGGAGGAACTCAAGAACTTGGAAGATTCCATCCGCAACCTGGAATGGAAATCTTGCAATGGTCTAGGACACTCGAAGAAGTTTCTGAGGGCTTATGATCAATAAAAATCACAGATCTTCCTAGGTCTGAGTAAGAACAATCTTCGGATTGTCACGGGGTTTTTAACAGGACACTGTCTCCTCAATGAACACCTCAGTAGATTGAAACTAAGAAGAAACGGCGAATGCAGATTCTGTGGGAAGATGGTGAAACACCAGTACACCTCATCACTGAGTGCGCCAGAGACGACTACCATTCGTGCCATGAATTTTGGTACGACTGATATTGGAGATGGAGAACTACCCTCTATAAAACCGTCCCAGATACTGGCTTTTGTCAAAGCCCTGGGACTGTATGATGAGTTATGATTCAAGAAAGGGGGACACAATGGATCTGTAAGGTCGAAGTGATTAACCCCCTCCCACTCATTCTAAATTCTAAAAAATTCTACTGCCTGCTGACGAGTATTTGACACATCAGAAAATACTAGTTATGCAATGCGTTTTCTTTCATGAGCTTTTCTGTAACTCGTTTGTCGATCTTCGAAAGAAATCAGTACATACATGTAGATTATTTCGTTAATTTTTCGTATATATATTTCGTATATTATTTCGTATATGTTTCATTTTATTGATTTTATGGAAAGCACTGTTCATTAAAATGTTGTATTCTATGTTATAGGGCTTGTTTCTCTCTACAATTTCGTGTCTCACAATGTACCGTTTGTGTCGGGGAAGGGATCATAGTTTCATTGTTGTCCATTTTCGAAAGAAATTAGTACATGTATATTATTTCGTATATGTTTCATTTTATTGATCTTATGGAAAGCACTGTTCATTAAAATGTTGTATCCTATGTTATAGGGCTTGTTTCTCTCTACAATTTCCTGTCTCACAATGTACCGTTTGTGTCGGGGAAGGGATCATAGTTTCATAGTTGTCGATTTTCGAAAGAAATCAGTACATGTTTATTAATTCGTATATTTTTCATTTAATTGATTTTATGGAAAGCACTGTTCATTAAAATGTTGTATGCTATGTTATAGAGCTTGTTTCTCTCTACAATTTCCTATCTCATAATGTACCGTTTGTGTCGGGGAAGGGATCATAGTTGTCGATTTTCGAAAAAAATCAGTACATGTTTATTAATTCGTATATTTTTCATTTAATTGATTTTATGGAAAGCACTGTTCATTAAAATGTTGTATCCTATGTTATAGAGCTTGTTTCTCTCTACAATTTCCTGTCTCACAATGTACCGTTTGTGCCGGGGAAGGGATCATAATTTCATAGTTGTCGATTTTCAAAAGAAATCAGTACATGTTTGTTAATTCGTATATTTTTCATTTAATTGATTTTATGGAAAGCACTGTTCATTAAAATGTTGTATGCTATGTTATAGAGTTTGTTTCTCTCTACAATTTCCTATCTCACAATGTACCGTTTGTGTCGGGGAAGGGATCATAGTTTCATAGTTGTCGATTTTCGAAAGAAATCAGTACATGTTTATTAATTCGTATATTTTTCATTTAATTGATTTTATGGAAAGCACTGTTCATTAAAATGTTGAATCCTATGTTATAGAGCTTGTTTCTCTCTACAATTAACTGTCTCACAATGTACCGTTTGTGTCCTGGAAGGGTTCATAGTTGCATAGTTGTCGATTTTCGAAAGAAACCAGTACATGTATATTATTTCGTATATGTTTCATTTTATTGATCTTATGGAAAGCACTGTTCGTTAAAATGTTGTATCCTATGTTATAGAGCTTGTTTCTCTCTACAATTTCCTGTCTCACAATGTACCGTTTGTGTTGAGGAAGGGATCATATTATATACATTGTTGTCGATTTTCGAAAGAAATCAGTACATGTATATTATTTCGTATATGTTTCATTTTATTGATCTTATGGAAAACACTGTTCATTAAAATGTTGTATCCTATGTTATAGGGCTTGTTTCTCTCTACAATTTCCTGTCTCACAATGTACGGTTTGTGTTGGGGAAGGGATCATAGTTTCATAGTTGTCGATTTTCGAAAGAAATCAGTACATGTATATTATTTCGTATATTTTTCATTTTATTGACTTTATGGAATGCATTGTTCGTTAAAATGTTGTATCCTATGTTATAGGGCTTGTTTCTCTCTACAATTTCCTGTCTCACAATGTACCGTTTGTGTCCTGGAAGGGTTCATAGTTGCATAGTTGTCGATTTTCGAAAGAAACCAGTACATGTATATTATTTCGTATATGTTTCATTTTATTGATCTTATAGAAAGCACTGTTCATTAAAATGTTGTATCCTATGTTATAGGGCTTGTTTCTCTCTACAATTTCCTGTCTCACAATGTACGGTTTGTGTTGGGGAAGGGATCATAGTTTCATAGTTGTTGATTTTCGAAAGAAATCAGTACATGTATATTATTTCGTATATTTTTCATTTAATTGATTTTATGGAAAGCACTGTTCATTAAAATGTTGTATCATATGTTATAGGGCTTGTTTCTCTCTACAATTTCCTGTCTCACATTATACGGTTTGTGTTGGGGAAGGGATCATAGTTTCATAGTTGTTGATTTTCGAAAGAAATCACTACATGTATATTATTTCGTATATTTTTCATTTTATTGACTTATGGAATGCACTGTTCATTAAAATGTTGTATCCTGTGTTATAGGGCTTGTTTCTCTCTACAATTTCCTGTCTCGCAATGTACCGTTTGTGTCCGGGAAGGGTTCATAGTTTCATAGTTGTCGATTTTCGAAAGAAATTAGTACATGTATATTATTTCGTATATTTTTCATTTTATTGATTTTATGGAAAGCACTGTTCATTAAAATGTTGTATCTTATGTTATAGGGCTTGTTTCTCTAGAGCTTGTTTCTTATTCGAAGCCCGAGACGTGATGTTATCTCTATTCCGCACTCTGTTACTACACTCTTACTTTGTTGCCTCTTTACTTTTTGATTGTTATCAACTGAGTTTACCATTCTTCTCCATTGACCTTCTCCATTCTGTTGTGCGCTGCTTCCTTCCATTGATTCTGCATGCTTATCCCCTTTAAGTTTTCATGGAAAATATCCTTGTACCTTTTGAATTGTTCACCCGGTTTTCTCCTACCGTCTACAAGCTCACCGTAAATAAGATATTTCGGTAGGCGGTTTTCTTGCATCCTGCATACCACCTGACCAGCCCATCTTAAGCGGGTTTTAGTAATCGTAACTCCAGCGCAGCTAGCGTTTTCAGTACATTTTAGCTAGTTTTTTTTGTACATTATCGAGAGATAATGTACAAAACGACAGACTATGACAAAACGACAGACTAAATGACAGACTACAAAGTCCTGTCCAACTAGTCAGAGAATATATGAATTCTTCGACAGGCAACATCCAAAAATGACGGAAAATGCAATTTGCCAGTGAATCAAAATGACACAATGCCATTGACAGGTGCACTGTTAATGATCCTCCTCTTGGAGAAACTATAAATTTCCACTTGAGGTGATTACTTGATCACTTATAGTACGTATTATATAAATTATATAAGATTTAACACAGTATTTTCCATTTACAGAGCTGTTTTGCCATTGGAGAATATGGCTAAGGGTTCTAAATCAAATGTAACGCCTGAAAGAAACGAGAACATGAAACTTATGATTAGGTCTAACAGAACGAGCACGCCAATTCATGTAATAAACTTTTTTTAATTTTTTTTGCTAAGTAAATATTGAATAATGATTTTTAGGAGGTATCTCTAAAACCTACACTAACATCAACGCCTGCAAATGTGAACGTAAAGGATAAGGCATATGTAATTTCACCACTTTCAACAAAAACTAAATACTACAGGTATAAAACAGAATAAATATTTATTTTTTAGTATATTCAAGGTGTTAAATAATAGGTCGTTTTAAAAATAAGTGATTTTTTTTAAATTCAATTTGGTCTTTACCTACAATAGTTCAAGAAAATACACCTATACAAAGTTTTGGTAAAAACTTGAATTTTTGATGTAAGTTGGTACTTTGAAAGATCTATAAACGCTTTCACCTCCGAGAAGGAGTGAAATAAATAAATAAAATAATTTTTTTTGTAATTTCGGTGAAACAGTAAGGAATAGAAAAAAAAGTTCTCTCCCTTTAGGGAAACACCAAATCGAAAAATTCATTATAAAAGATTCTCCCGAATTTGATATACTTATTATTTACACCCTGTATATTTATGTTTTTTTAATGCCCTGTATCCATTTTCTTTTGAAGATCTTTTTCCGAAAGACTGTCAAGTTCCGCATCGTATAAAAAGCCAGAAAAACTGAAGGAAAGCACAACAAATGCTTCTAAAAGTTTGTTAAAGTCCGTGAATAAAGTTGAAGTGTCGAAAATTAGAAGAAATTCAGTTAGTGAAGGTTTAACTGACAATAAAAATGATAAAACTGAAGGTATGTATTTAAAAAATAGCTTCTGTATGATATACATATAGGAGATACAAATTAAAAACTGTTGCACGTCATCAAACACGTACGTATATTTTAGACTGTATTCGTTGCAAGATTGTAATAGAAAGAGAAATATTTTAGAAAAATGTGAATGAAAAAAAACAAGGAAAAACCGGTGTCTCCTAAAATGTGTACAATTTTTTATAAAAAAAAATCTTTAATATCACGCGGATAATATTTTGCGGGTATTTTTTTTGAAAAGTTATTTCATTTTTCTAACAATAGTTCCACTTATATTATTTAACAAACATCTTATACAATACATTCATTTATATAGGTTCTATGAGGATTAAAAGAAGCTTTTCAACAGGAAAGGAACCTAAAATAATGTCCGCTTTAAGTAAAGTGAGACAGAATATTCTAAGTTCACCATATTATCATACAAAAGGGGGAACCCCTAAACAATCTAGCGTTCTGACTGAACATAACAAGAAATCGAATCCAGAAGTTAAAGGAAATGAAAGCAAATTGGCTACGGTACAGTTTACATTATTATTCTTATTAATATTTGAATAAACTAACATAATATATATTTTTTACAGTTCTCTGCATCAAAGAAGCTAGGTAAAGAGAATATTAAACACTGAAACACTTTTTTTAAATTATTGTTTTATTATTGTCTTATTATTGTTTATAACTGTTTGTTTTAATTTTATCACTATTTATAAAAACATTAATGAACAGCAATATTTATAGAAAATATTTTGTAATACTCGCAGTTTTTTTTCTGAAGAGTATTTTGGTTGTAACTATTATTTTTATAGTATTGATTAATAAATATTTTTATATTGATTTTCTTAATTAGTTACATAATATATTTCTTTCAAATAACATTATTTAGACTCCTACATATTCGTAAATGCGTAATGCTCATTACAGAATAATTATTTTTTATTACTCTTGATCCATTTCATTCTGTGAGCACGTTATACCTATTTAAAATTGTAGTATTTAGTGTTTATCATATACGTATTATAATAACATGTATATGATGTCTTTTAATTTTATACGCCATATATAATTTCTAAACGTATATGATCATATTCTGAGTAAGTATCATCTGAACTTATTTTGATATATGATGTATATGATTTAGGAGTACCTAGTATCCATCTATGGTATTACCAGTTGTTTGCATTAATGGCAGCACTGCAATTATATTTTTATAATGTTGGTGCTATTGTTGTTTTTAATTATTATTGATGTATGTCAGTCATGTTATTTGTTCCAATTTCGCAATCAGTAATTTTTGTTTAAATATTGAAAATTTATAAGGATTTTTATTTAAGTGCCGTGCCCAAACAGATTTAATACATCCCGATGAAAACATAACATTTAACTTAAAAGGTTTCAAGTTTCTGAAGAAAAACTTTCCTATAATGAAATTGGAAAAGATCGCACGGTCTATTAAATAGAATTAAATTATCATGGCTTAAAAGATCATCATTTTTGAAAGGTAAAAAGTCAAAATTAGACCCAAACATGGTTCCAATACCAGCGGAATATATGCCTGACTTTTGGAATCAGGTTTCTTCAGAAAGTCCTTTAGTAGAGTTGACCTGTTTACTTCCTAATGGTATTATAATATTACTGAGTGAAAACTATAATGCTACGCTATCAGAAATCAAAGAGGTATGTATAATTTCTAAAACAATGTTAACTATGCTAGTTTTACATTTTTTTTTTCTTTATGCAGGATCTTTGGGAGAAAGCCTCACGTTTTCCCCTGTTTGGCAAACTCCATGACATGTCTGTATACATATTTAAAATTATTAACTCTATGGCAGAAGAGGAAGAGTTAATAGATGAATCAAGAAGGATAAATGATATTAGGCCAATTGGGGGAGTTTTGATTATCACTGAATGTAGAGGAAATTCTACAGATAATTCGATAAATGTTGCTATAGGACATTTAATTGGAAAAGGTTTTTTATTAATAATTATGAAATTTCTTATCTAGCTTATGTTTCTTAAGTTAGTTTTAAACAGTATTTTAAATATAATACATACTTATTTTAATACTATTCTATGAGGATATAAATGAATAATGAACGATAAAATGTTGTAAGATAAACCTTTAATTTAAAAAATCTATAATAATATTTTTGCATCCTGTATATTTTTTTAGGTTTGCAAGATTTTGATGCACTAAATAGCACAGAAATAAATGATTTCCGTTTCAAAATGAGGAAAGTTGGTGATGAAATTTTTAAACAAAGGCATAAAGGTACATGGTTGGATAAACTGTTACATCAATTCCCTCCTCGCGTTGCCAAGATTGATAAAGTTTGTAATCAATTTTCACGTGAATCCATGCAAATTAGAATATACTGCAAAAGTGAATATGATATTCCTGAATCAACAAAAGAGGTATATAATTCTTTACATTCAGAGATAAACGGATTTAGTTATCCCTATTTTGTATTTCAGATATTGCAACATAGATTTGATTTTGAAGTGGATTGTTCTTCGACACCCAATAAATTATTAGAAATGGTTTTATCAAAAAGGGCAACTGTGTTAAATATTAAAAATCAGAAAATACTGGAATATGTGTTAAAAATTTGCGGAAGAGATGAATACTTACTTGGCTATTATCCGTTGCTTCAGTTTCAGTATATTCAGGACTGTTTATCATATTCGGAACGACCATCATTTTTAATTGTACATGTTGACCGAATACCAGGTTAAATAATAATTTGAGAGAAAAAAATACATATTTCTATGTCATTTTTCTTTTTTTTTTAGTTGTAAATAGTATTTATGCAAATATAGATCCTTTGGAGTCTAGAAAATCAAGGACATCTTATAATTTAAGTAATACTTTGAGAAAGAAAAAGAATATGAAGTCTTCGTGGGATATTAATGACAGTTATGCCATTACTCTATGCACTGCCAGTAGATTAAATTGTGACAGCAAAAAACAAACAGAGGTACGAGCTTAGTTTTTTTTTTGTTTAACAGTAACAACTTGTTTTGTTTCACTAGATCATATTTTGTAGTAACTGTCTAATAATCTAACTAAAAAATTTTAGTATACATATATTTGTTTAAATTGCCTAACCTAAACCAGAGTTATCTTTCATTTAATAAAAGCAAGTTTAACCTTCCCCCACCACTTTATTTTATGAGATAGAGCAAAATACGATGTATCAAAAAAATTACAAATTTTCCATTGATAATAATAGCAATATTTAAAATACCTGTTAACCTGCATATTTTTGAGAAAAATCCTGTTTTCTGATTAGCCCCTTGCGGACATTTTTAGAACTTGCAAATAATTTCCAGCTATTTCTTTTGGTCGATTAACCTATAGGCTTAGTGTATTCTCCGCCGGTGCTGCCACCATCGGAGAATATCGTAAACAACTGGTATATACAAATACACGGGTTTAAATAGCGAGTATACGAAAAATGTATTATTTTATTTTCGCTTTTTCTTTTTCAATAAAACTCAATATTTCGTTAAAAATTTAACGTAAAAATTGTGTATTAAACGTATTCTTTAAATAAAATCAAAAATGGAGTTAGCAGGTTAACACGTTTCACTGACGATTTACTAAATTTTAGTAAATACATTATGCAAAATACAATATAAAATATTGAGTGTTGATGTGATTACCAGAGATGAAGGAGGAAAACGTTGGACGTTTATTTAAGCTTCTGTCCCATTCTTGACGTTTTATTGCGTTTAAACTTAAAATACAGAGAGGAGAAATGTAAAAAAGGATAAAATGAGGAAGAAATGTCGTTTCTCTTTCTTCCCAATCTATATTTTCAGTTATTTCGGCATCAATTTTGATTTTAACACAACGTAAAAAAATAATATCAATAAAACACTAAATACCGGGTTCGTCTTAAAAGTGGCTCACCCCTATAACTTTTTTATTTTTGCAGTTAAAAAAACGAGATTTGGTATGTTAGTAGATGACATAGATTAGGATTAGAGAGTATTCAATTCTTTTCGATCACTTCCTGTTTCACCGGAAATTACTACAACTTTTGATTTTTAAATAGCACCCTCGGTATTTTTTTACTTTATTCGATAGAAAATAACACTCTGAATAGAATGACATATCATATGTCAACTTTTGACATTTTCGCATATGGTTTATTTCAAATTATAACTTGCAGTTCGTAACGGAAAATTTGACTCGAAATACCAAGTGTGTGGTACCAAATTATTTGTAAAAAAATGCTTTTTCCAAATATGCTAATGAGCCACCCTCGTTCCATTTGAAAAAATTGAGATATGATTAAAAATATGATTTGAGCATTTTTTAACTGGCCAGGACAAGACACTAAAAACATTAGACGATCAAATCTATTTTTCCAAGGCTCCTTGATTAAGAATTAATGTTTTTAACATAACAATGACACTCTAGATTGAATTTTAAAATTCAAATTTGTTTTAAGCGGGAATGTTAAAAGTAGACATATGATATGTCATTCTATTCAGAATGTAATTTTCTATCGAATAAAGTAAAAAAAATACCGAGGGTGCCATTTAAAAATCAAAAGTTGTAGTCATTTCCGGTGAAACAGGAAGTGACCAAAAACAATTGAATACGTCAATCAATCCTAATTTATGTCATATACTAACATACCAAATCTCGTTGTTTTACCTGAAAAAATAAAAAAGTTATAGGGGGTGTGAGCCACTTTTGAGACGCACCCGGTATAAGGAATAAATTGAATTTTTACAACAGCCATTAACAGAAAACTTTTTTTGTGAGTTACTATTCAAAAAAGTAGTTTTTTACTTTTATATTCTTTTTACACAACTAGTTTTTTATACTACCGTTTGTTAAACGGTTATCCCTGATATTAACCTTCAACTAACCAAAATTTGACAACCGTCGTCATTAAAATTCTAGCCTAAAAATATGACAGATAAACTCGTAAAATTTAGTTAAGGAAAAAATCGCTTCTGTATGGTTAGCTAAAGTGAGTCTATGGAAGGTAGAGGTAAGGAAAGTTATCTTCGTGTATTGAAAAGTGGTCACCTAACAGGGGACGCCTAAGATGCCGCTGCTGTAGCAAACGTTCTATATTTGAATGAAGCGCCAAAAAATTTTAGGACAGGAAATAATTAAAAAGAGATAGATAAATATGCGATTTCTGAAGGCGCGTGTAGCCTTTTTTTTAACTAACTTCACTTTATTGATAACCGCTAATTTCAGTTCGATCACTTGTTGCTTGTTAGACCCACCCAAATACGTTTAAATAAAATATACGACGGCCTCCCCATAAGAGCAATGAGAGGATTTACGTCCCAGTATTGAAGGAGGACAGAAAATCGAGTCGAATGGTTTCAAGACATAGGTTCATCCTTGTTTAGTCAAACCTCCTACAAACTAAGGATAGGCTTATGTAGGAAATGCATTGAAATTCTATAGCCATCCTTCAATATCGGTACAGGCATTTAAGCGGTACCCTCCGTATACTTTATTTTAAACGTATTTGGACCCACCATGGTCATTTATTTAGTGAACCCGCGAAAAAGACATAATTCCGGAAAAAGCCGAACCGATCCGAAATTATCAAAAGCTTTGGGTCGCGACCTTTGCAAGAATAGCGCCAAATAGTGTTTACATTGTTCTTATAGGCACTTTCCAATCTAAACTTGTTTTATTTATCTATGTTTATTTGTTAATTAAAATGTCAGACAACAACTTTCACTCTCATGTCTCCTCTCATTGGACAAACTTTAATTCTGTGACAATATGATCAGTATAACTTCTTTTCAGCTTGGTATTCAAGTGGGACTGTTTCACGGTGGCAAACCCTTATGTCAACCTCTCAAAACCGATGAAAGAACCGTAAATGAAAGTAACGAAATTAGTTTTGACGTTTCTCTGGAGTTTGACATTCAAATATGTAACATGACTCGCAATGCGAAGCTCTGTTTTGCTATTTATGAAGTGAACAAGTATTCGAAGGGAACCAAGCCTAAGAAAATGAAAGAGACAAGGGTAGGTCAAAATGTTTTATAGAAAAAAAGATTAAATGATATTAAAATGATGTGTTTAGGAAAGTCAAATAAACCCGATAGCCTGGGCCAACACTTCGGTGTTTGATTTCAAAGGCCAGTTGAGAACGGGTGCTATGACGTTGTATCTGTGGACATACGCGGAGGACATTATGTCAGATGACGTATTGCATCCGTTGGGTACGGTTGTCAGTAATCCGAATACCGAGTATGCAACCGCTTTGACTTTGGTTTTTAAAAGGTAGGAAATAATTATATATTTATACAGAGGGTGTCCCAGGCTGAGCGTGCATTAGAAGTTTCTAGAGAACCACAATATCTACATCGGAGACTTTTTGCACAACATTGTTTTACAACGAGATCTACCAATTAAAAGTATTTTCCATATGGCACTTCCGGAAATACCGGAAGTTGACAACAACTTTCTTATTTTAAATATGTGCCCCCATTTTTTATTACATACTTAAATTCTTTGTAAAATTCTATGAATATTGATGTCACAACACTCTATACCTAACATTAACCGTTTTTGAGAAAAAAAAATTAAATTTTTGGACGAAAAAACTACCTGTCAAAAAAATTTGTATAGCTTAAAAGTCAAATTTAGTGATTACCACATCTACTGGGACATATAGAGAAGACATGTAGCTATCTATTTCAAAAATTAAATTGTTCAAATGACATATAATAATGGCGGTGGCTGTCATGGAATTGAGCAATTAAAAATTATAAATTATTTTTTTTCAAATGGAAACCCACTTTTTTTATTTCATTAGTGAATAGGTTTTTCAATTCGTTATGTTCCTATCATAGACTTAAAATAAAATATAGACTACACTATTTACATCTCAACGCGGACAGACAATATTTTTTGTACACATGTTTACTTCTGGGTACAGTCGACCGAGCCTTCCTCATCCAGCCTATGTTGTCACGTCTTTAATATTATCAATATTTTTTTTCTTGTTATACACATATATTGAGATATTAATACTACAGTTTAATAAAGTAGGTTTTAATATTCCAGAGATGTATTAAATAGTCCTTATACTACTAAATTATAAGTCGGATACTGTTTAAAAAGGATAAGTTCTTTACAATATGACAACACCGATTAGAGGCGAGGGAGCCTATTCATTCATTTATTACCTTGTAGTACGTGTCGCACGTGTGCGGTAAAGCTTTGTTGCCGCTATCTCCCCGGCTGTATTAACGCATTTTCTTAGCTTGTAGTGCTTAAGTGTTTATTTTATTGACTTTTTCTGTTCAAGAACTATAAAATATGGTTCGCCAGTGCCAAATTTGCAAGAAATTTGACTTAAATAATCCATTTAAGTCTTGAAACGACTTTTGACCGGTAGGCAACTCTCAATTTACCCATTGGGAGTCAGTGGCGTTGTTGTAGAAAGGCGCTTATTTAGATAATATTTTAGTAAAATGTAAAATCTGAATTTTTTCTCTTACATTACATTATTTACTTACTTACATTGTAACAAAATCATAATTATAACCCTGTTAATAATTAATAATGTTTTTATTAAAAATATATTCCGGTTTATTCTAAAATTATCTTCAGAATCTAAAATAACATACAAGAATTTTAAAATGATATTACATTATGAAACAATATTTTTTAATATACCGGGTCGTCTCAAAAGTGGCTACCCCCTATAACTTTTTATTTTTCAGATAAAAAAAAAACAGATTTGTATGTTAGTAGGTATATGACATAAATTAGGATTTATTGACGTATTCAATCGTTTTTGGTCTCTTCCTGTTTCACCGAAATGATTACATCTTTTGATTTTTAAAGGCACCCTCGGTATATTGCTACTTTATTGATAAAAAATGATACTCTGAATAGAATGACATATCATATGTCAACTTTTGACATTGTCGCTTAAAAACAAATCCTATTTTAAATTTCAATCCAGGGTGCCATGGTGTTGTTAAGTTTTAATGAAGGAGCCTTGGAAAAATAGTTTTGATCGTCTAATGGGTTTCGTGTCTTGTCTAGGCCGGTTAAAAGATGTACAAATCGTATTTTTAATCATACATATGTCAATTTTTTCAAATGGAACAAGGGTGACTCATTAGCATATTTGGAAAAAGCATTTTTTATGAATATATTGATACCACACATTTGGTATTTCGAGTCAAATTGTCGTTATGAACCGCGTGTTACAATTACAATTAAACCATATGCGAGAATGTCAAAAGTTGACATATGATGTGTCATTCTATTCAGAGTGTCATTTTCTATCGAATAAAGTAGAAATATACCAAGGGTGCCGTTTAAAAATTAAAAGTTATAGTCATTTCCGGTGAAACAGGAAGTGACCAAAACAATTGAATGCGTCAATCAATCCTAATTTATGTCATGTACTAACATACTAAATCTTGTTTTTTTATTTGAAAATATAAAAAAATTATGGGGATGAGCCACTTTTGGGACGCACCCGGTATAATAAAGACAGTACCGAGTTAAATAAATGTAGTTTTCATTTTATCCACTTCCTATCACCTTCCTTGCTTTAATGGAACAGATTTATGTTTTCTCTAATTTACATAAGACATCACTTAACCAGAAAAAAAATTACAACAATCATATTTTTTTTTTCTCTCCCTGTCGCCGATTCTATTATATCTGTGGAATAGATCCTGTTTTGATTAATATTAGGGGTTGTAAATGTTTGACTAAAGTTAATAATTTATGATTAATTTCAAAAATTACGTAATTTCGATTATAAAATTCTATAACGTGTATTTTATTATTTTTATCCTTTTTGGACTCTAAGACGATTTTTCTAAACTTTTATTTAAAAAACCTGTCCTAAATCTTAATAAAATATAAAAAAGTTTAAATACGATATATTTTTAATTTAATTATAGCTTCATTAAAATAAAAAAATTACCCGGCTATGATACGGAGAGTTCAGGTGTACTTGAGAAACGAAAGACAGTGTTGTGTTTCTCGGCAGAGTCGTCAGGGAACGACCGTTACGACAGAGACAAGCTATCTATCGCTCGTGTCGCACTCGTTATAACCTAAAACAATAACACAACAATAACAAGACAGTGTCTGACCGCATGTTCCAGCTATTTATGAATGAGATGCTCAGTCTATATTTTATTTTAAGTCTATGGTTCCTATATTATTTGAATTTCCTATATTATAAATACTGCTGCTTTAAGAGTTTAAAAAGTGTATTTATAAAAATATATCTTCTATTTACACTCTTTAGTGATATCTAATAGTCGATATTATTAATTATTAATAATATACCATATGATAAAAAAAAAATAGCGCAAAGTTGGCTTGGAAATGATAAGTGATAACATACTGCTTTTTGAACAAAGTACATACTGCTTTTTGAACAATATGACATGGCCAGATCTATTGTTTTACATCACTTGACGTTTAAAGTCATAGGCTACTCTTTAAAAATATACGCTTTAAAACTAAATCTTAAATAACTTAAAAACGATTTATTTTAGGTGTAGGAACATGTATAGTCAAAAAGTAATGAATTGAAAAGCCTGTTCATTAGTGAAATAAAAAAGTGTTTTTTTTTATGTAATAAAAAATGGGAACACCCATTTAAAATAAGAAAGTTGCTGTTAACTTCGGTATTTCCCGAAGTGCCGCCATATTGAAAATATTTTTAATTGGTAAATCTCGTTGTAATACAATGATGTGCAAAAAATCTCCCATCTAGATATTGTAGTTCTCTAGAAACTTCTAATGCACGCTCGGCCTAGGACACCCTGTATATTATTTTATGCACTAAAACGAAAAATATTAAACTTTAAAATACATCAAAACGTATTGAAATCAAAGAGACGTTAACTTTATATGAATACTTTAACTTTTTTATTTCCATCATTTAGTTATACCAATGATCAACCAGTCATTTATCCTTCTGTTGAGGAGGTAATGGAATACGCTAATATAGTAGAAGAGAATGAGCACAAATGTATCGTATGCTCAACAGGTATTGGACGTAATAAAGACTTGTGCTTAAAATTATATTATTTGGATAATGTGGACGATTTGCATGACCAGGTTAGTCAATTTAAGTGGTATAATACTCGTTGTACAACGTTGCTGAACACGGCGCAATGTGACCAACTTAGCGATAATAAAATTGGGTCTAAACTAATTTTTGCAGCTTTAATCTAAATAAAATATCTGTTACAATCATTATTTGCTCTATAAAGTAAAATGAAGATCTGCTCAGTATCTTAAATTATAAAGCAAATTTAAACATTTTTGCCAAAATTTCTTTTAGTCAGGTTTATAGGCTTTGGTGTCAATTTCGAAATGATTGATGACGTGCATCGGAAAATGTTTTGCGATTACCGTATTTTTTAAAAATCAGTTTAAATATGAGGCTCTATACAGTATTTTTTGGAAAATCGATAATATCGACAAATCTGAATAAGAAAAATTGCAGAGAAATAATTTTGTCTCTATATCTATAACTTTAGGACAGAAACAATATTTGGGCGCATCGGAGACTTTGGATGCATCGAAACCCAGACTTGTTTCCAAGATTGCTGATGTGTCTAGACTGGAACAAGAGAGAGGAATTCAGCCAAGTGGCCGTGCTGGTAAGGCACTTACCCAAACTATCCATAGAAAAAGCTTTGGAATTGCTGGACTACGCTTATGCCGATCAGGATGTAAGAAGTTTTGCCGTGCGTTGCTTAATGGATATGAGGTTAATATATTGCCAATACCTCAGGGTAATGACGATAAATAGCAATGTCTCTTACTACAGTTGAAATCTCTCCACAAACTCCTATATGGGTATTTCGCCACTGCAAGAAAATTTGTCAGAAGTTAGGTTTATAGATATACAATAACGAATCTAACGAACAAAAAAATAAATAATAATGAATACAGAACAACAAACAAAACATGTAATATACCAAATACCATGTGAATGCGATAAATTTTACATTGGTGAAACATCTAGATCTAGGGAGATTTTCACAAATCTAAGATTTGTCAGCATTCATGGGACACAGGGCACAGAATAAATTTTAATAACGCCAAAATTATAATGAAAGAATCGATAGCCTCTAAAAGAAAAATAAAAGAGACTTTTTTAGTACAATCTAATAAAAATAGATGAAAAAAAATGAGGCTGCAATTATATTGTGTTATGTTTTTCCATTCTTCTTCAAGAACCAAGTAAATATACATAATTGCGGCAATCTTCAACAAGATCAATCACTTTTGCACAATCTTCGACACTAAGAACCACATTTAATCGTACACAACAATAATCACCAAAGCCACCTCATCATTATCAACAATAACAAAAGTAACGATAATTGAAAAAATAGCAAAATGTTTGTGGCAAGTTTATTTTGGTCTTAAAAATTAACCAAGCCATGTGTTGACATAAGTCAAAAAACAAAATATTCAGGAGACATGGTTTTGATCTAAAAATAACGGTTTTAGGAAAAGTTACTAACGAAATTATTGCCCAGGGTGATTTAAAAATAGGGTAAAAAACAACTCTTCGATTAACCCTGTATATAATAATAATAATAGCTCCCGCATATAGCGTTTGACGCCTTGGGATTAGCAAGGTACAACTTGCCATACTAGAGCCGTTCGGTATACAAGGAAGGTAATCTGGCTAGCATTACACTTCAACCGCCTATTATTACCTCAGGATTGTGAATCCCAAATACTAATTTAAGGCTGAGTCGACCTAGGCACCAAAACTATTTTTATTTTAATAAAAATAGTCGGCTGATGAAATACCGGGTAACCTGTATAATAAGTCAAATATTAAAGTTTATAATAAACTGAATTTTTGAATTAAAGTTAATATATTTGTATACAGTTTGCTAAAAAAAACAAGAAAATAGGGCTAAAAATAAAAAAATATAACATTTTAAACTTGAACTAAAAATTCTTCCGTTTATTTTGTATCTGAGTCTATAAAAAATAAGTAAATTAATGTTTAATACTTACTGAAATTCCCAGTTATAGGTCCTTGGCCTTTATAATTCAATAAAAGCAAACTCATATCGATATCATAATCTCCTTCAAAGTAGATCTTGGGGACATTAACTCGAAATATAAATTTGTTCTTTTTTAAGTTCACCCTAAAAATGATCATGTTTTTATTTTCTTTAAAACGTATGAAGTTCTAGCGTTCAGCAACAGATATTATACATATAATTACACATTTTTAAAAATTGCTCATGCATCTGTAGATGTTAGTAATGTATGGCAATCGCTTCTTTGGTTTTAAAGAACATAACATAAATAAACATAAAATACGTAAAAATTAAAAATAATCGTACAGAAAGTTTGGGGCTTGTTGGTTTTACCTTATTAAGTAATTGTTATCAGGTAGTAATTGTTAATTTTGAAGTTTAACTTGATATAATGTTATTTTAACAGAACGTCGACGGTTTTTGTATAGACGTATCTGTTTTAAAAAACTAAAGTGTTCTCGAATAGTTGAATTTAAATATTTTAAATAGTTTTTTCTTTATTCTTTATATTTTTTTGCTTCCGACGACGGAAAGAGATAAACTTTCCGAAACATTAAGCATTTTTTTGTTCGTTAGGCAAATTTGTATATCCGTAAACCTAACTTCTGACAAATTTTCTTGCAGTGGCGAAATAGCCATACAGGATTTTTTGGAGAGATGAATCCGCCCCATAGGTATAGACATTTTTTACAGTTGAAATATAAGAAAGTGACGTTTCTATCTTTATTACTCTGAGGCGAATGCACCCAAGGATAACTTAGTGCATTTTTGTCCTTTTTTTAGTGATGAGGATCTTTTATTGTACCTGCTTCAATTAGTACAAGCTATTAAACACGAGATGTACCTGGAAAGCGACCTAGTGAACTTCTTAATTCAGAGAGCTTTAACTAACCAAAGAATAGGGCATTTTCTTTTTTGGCATTTAAGGTATGATTGCTTTCATGATTTGAAATACAGTATGACTGAAAAAACGGCGCCCAGATTAAGTGACAATCGATTATACTTCCTATATAATTTACATATTAAATGACAGCGATTTTCATTTCTAATGCCCCTCTGACGTCGTTTTTTTTTTCTCGATCAAATAGTATAATGTGGGTTTGGTGTAGCAGATAGTACAATAATATGCTCATGAAATATGGGAGTCCTTTTATCTTTTAAATAGATAAACATATTTTTAATTGAATTAAAATGACGCTACAGTAAAGGTAGAAATAATATTTCTTAATTTAAAATTGTTCTTGTCTCAGCCACATATTATACTAACTTACTATGGTTACAGTGCCGGTATAGGCTTGGTGCATTCTCCGCCTATTCTAAAAGTGTTAGGAAGTATAATTTGTGAAAATTCTAAAAATAAAAATAAAAATGTAAATATTTTGATATCTTCAGAAGGTCTAACTTGTATTATAATTTATTATTCCAGCTAAAAAAACTTTTTAGATGAGTTTAACTACGGTAGCGAGCATAGTTTTACGCACCGGTTTTGCTAGTAGGATCATAATTGGGGCTATTTCGGCTATAACGAAATTTTTTAAAGGTACATAATAATTATAATTTTAGAAGATGTTCAAGAACATTTAATAACTAGTTGATTAAAAAAGTATACCATTAATATTGCAAATTATATTTTATCCTCTCATAGTTTATGTCTATTTAATTTTTTGATTATGTGACGAACACTTTGTTTATTCACTTGTTTCGTCGAACTCCTTAAATCCATTTTTGCTTTTGATCAAATCTGTGTGAGAAACTATGAAGCTATAAAATGTTGTTTTGGGAAAGTTGAGTTATTGATTGTTATGGCACCCAACAACGCCCCCATTTTTTCGGCAATTTTATTAACATTTGAAATTGTCACAACATAACACGACGCGTAGTTCGGATCCTTTTTCACTTATTTTTTACTACTCGAAACAGCGTTACATCACACAAACCTCGTACCTGAGTGTTTTATAGTTTCAATAACTGCACTAGCAAAAAACTAAAATACTTAAATATTATAACAAAACTACGATTTCAATATTATTTTAACGCGATTAACTTATGAACTATAAATAATGAACTATAACCGAGACGGCGTGAAATACATAGCGAAAATTTCTGTTGTATCCAGCGCTGCGGTCGGAATTTCTTAAAATTAACGAGAAACACCAAATTGTAAAAAAAACATATAATATATTATTGTATATTTTTTCTAACCTCACTTTATTTTTAAGATCGGAAATGCAGGTACAGTCGGTATCTGTGAGGTTCGGGTTGATTTTGGAGGCTTATTGTAGAGGCAGTCAAGAAAATATACCCGATTTCCAAAAGCAACTCAAATTTGTGGAGAAGCTGAAAAGCCTCTCTGATATAGTGAGCAAGAGAAAAGACAAAGAGAAAGCCAGAGCAGCTGTGAAGGAATATTTATCCACTTGCGGAGAAATAGACAATCTCAGGAGTCCGTTGGATCCTGGTATTAGATGTAATTCTATAAAGTAAGTATTTTTTTATATAGGTAATACTTAGTTTATATAATCATTTTTAGTAATTTTTTCAAAGTCATATTCTTACTACTTGACTTTTTTGAGAAAATCGGCATTACTTGGAGAATTCGAAAAGAATACCATCTAATGAATGATGATTTAAATTAAAAATCCTTTTTCGACACTTAACATTTGAAAGGAACATTTTTGGCCTATCCTACCACTTTATTTTTAAAGATAGACAAACATATTTTGAAGCAAACAAGTGCGTAATTGGTTGGAGAATATATGCTTATATTTTCAATACACCTCAATTAGATTGATAGCAGATTCCTCGTTTGTTACATTTTGAGTCATAAATACCGATTTTGTTCCACTGAATGATCCCCAGAAAAACACAATACATTAGAATGGATTAGATTTTAGTAGATTTATTAATAATTTTGTGGTTTTAGGGTTGAAAGGTGTAAAGTAATGGATAGCAAAATGAAACCTTTGTGGATAGTGTACGAAAGTTCGGACAAAGAATTTGTCGACGACGATATTTATATTATTTTTAAAAACGGTGACGATCTTAGGCAGGACATGTTAACGTTACAAATGATCAAAATTATGGATAAATTATGGCGAAGCGAAGGTCTTGATCTCAGGTACAATAAGATCATAAATAAAACTAAGTAGAAAAAGAAATGTAATTTCAATTTTATTGTACTAATAGGTGTGTTGGGAAAAGCCTGTGAATGTTAGTACTAATGTTACAAAAATCATGTTACTACTGGAGAGTTGTGGTCCAGTAAATAAGGATACGAAAAGACCCAAATCTCGGCTTAATTCGTCGACCATGACTTTACCTTTTGGGGAGTAGTTTTAGGGGAAAAAATTGCAACACTGTGCTCTAAATAGTCTCAAATGGCCGAAAAATCAGTTTTTCGAATATCTGCCAAAATATGCAATTTACAAAAAAAATTTTGGAATAAAAAATTAAGCTTTGGTCATTATCTACAAAAAAGGTCCTGACACTTTTTTTCGTTAAACGCTTAAAAACGGCTCTTCCCGGGAAACGCTTAAAAACGGCTCTGAAGGGTAAAAGAACGGGTTTTCCGCCAATTACCGAAATATGGCATGTAGATGATTTTCATGATCAAATGGAAGATTGGGTCCTAAGCTAAAAAATGATCCTGACACTTTTTTTCGTAAAGTTGTTCCTAAAGGGAAACCAATTTGACTATATTTGAAATTATGCAATTTCCTTTTCTTTACGACACTTTCCGGAAATCCCAAAAAAAGCGGAAAAGCCACTCACGAATAGTTTTTTACTAAAATGTGATTAAACAAATACTTTAAACTTTGTGAGTTGCCTATAGAGACTAAGAACAACTGTTAAAAAAAGTCTTGACAAATAAGTTATTATTAGTGAAAATATGAATAAGTTTGTAAATATCTGAAAATTTTTGGACCAAGGAATGTTTGCCCGGTTTTTTTATTATAATATAATATGACAAAATTCAAACAAGTTCCAAAATTTGATAGCTGTTGATTCTACCTTTTAAACGAATTTTGAATCATTAAAAAATATTAAATTTTAGCCGAGTGATTAAACAATTTGGAGAGAAAATTGAGGGATCTTCGAGGCCGGAATATCTCGAAAACTACTAATTCTACGTAAAAAATAATAAGGGTCATTTTTGTAGGTAATTACCTAAGCTTCATTTTTTATTTCAAGAAAATTTTTGTAATTTGCATATATTGGCAGATATTTGCGAAAAACTGATTTTTCGACCCATTTGGGGCCATTATTTCCCCAAAAACTACTTTCCAAAAGGTACACAGTCCGCCTGAAAAGTTTCGTTTAGGTTAGGTTAGGTTAGGCCGACGAATAAAGCCGTGGTTTCCACCTTCATTTACTGGACTATTAATTAACTTATTTTACTTCTTCTGTGTCCCATTTATTCTGAACTTTTTCCCTCACCCTATAAAAAAAATATAACGTATTTTTAAGGATGAATCCCTACAATTGCATATCATTAGAACACAGAGTGGGAATGATCGAGGTAGTACTGAACGCGGAAACCATAGCCAACATACAGAAAGAAAAAAGTTTTACTCCCACAGCTTCGTTTAAGAAAGGACCCATACTATGTTAGTATATTAAAAAATTATCTTTATCATTGTGTGCGTTAATAAAAAATAATCTCTGTTTTAGCCTGGTTAAAAGATTATAACAGGACGGAGAATTCTTTGAAACAAGCTATACAAGAATTTACTTTGTCATGCGCAGGTTACTGTGTTGCCACGTACGTTTTAGGCATTGCGGACAGGCATTCTGATAATATAATGGTTAAGAGAACTGGACAGGTAACTATGAACAGAAATATATTTATGTTCAAATTTAAAAACAAACAATAAATTTATATAATTTTTTTCCAGAGCAACTGTTAAAATTGCCTTATATCTATCAAAAATAGTAGATAAAATAGTACTTTAACCGCAAGAGTACATTAAATGATACTTTAACAGCGAGGATAGGTTAAAAACTTTTATTTCCTCTCACATGGTTTTTAATTGCTTCCATTTTTGAAAATGTTTGTATCCCTTTTCATAAGTTATTCGGGATTTAAATGGAAGTAGTTTGGATATGGCGTTTGTCGCCTCAAAGAATATCTGTTGGTAATTTACTTATTTCGTTTTGAGCCATTTCTGGCTCCAATTCAATGAGCAATCGACACGAAAGAGAATTAAAAATATTGACTCAAAACTAACAACTAAAGAGACAACTTTATTTATTTGTCAAATTACATAGAAACCAACGCCAACCCAGCACACAATATTTTCTCTACTCGTAATAAATTCCTTGAAATAATAATTTCTGAATATTTTTTAAAATTTAACTCGTTATGAAAAAAAACATATTTTATACACGACGATAAAATACCATTTTATCGTCTTATATAAAAAATAACTATTGCCTCACTATTTGTCATTATTATTTTTTAGCAACCCTGCTTCCGACGCAATTTTCACAGCAGAGGCCAAAAACTAAATTTTAACCTAAAATAAAGTACAACAATTAATAAAAAAGAATTATATTCATAATAATTGAACTTTATTTAACTGTATTATCGCCATTTTTAATTTTAAAATTTAGTTTTTTGCTCCTTTTGTGAAATTGCGTCGTAAGCAGTTGCATCGTTGTTCTTCTGGAGCGGCGATCTTATACCAACTGTCTAAAGTCTCCCTTCTCTTCTTGGACATAATGTAGATGTCTTTGAATTAGTACAGAAATTTGAAATAAAATCTTATTATTAACACTTTTAAACATTGTCATTACTAAAACCTTTTTATTAAGAAATATACTAATTTGTACCTTTTTTTTTAGTTATTTCACATAGATTTTGGTCATATTTTGGGCCACTTTAAAGAAAAATTCGGCATCAAACGAGAAAGAGTACCTTTTGTACTTACACACGACTTCGTATATGTCATAAACAAAGGTCAAAAAACCCAACAGGGTCCCGTTTTGGAATTCAAAATATTCCAGGATTACTGTGAGAGAGTAAGAAATTAACTATAATAAACGCCACGAATGTTTGGGAGTGATTCATCACGTGAGGAAGTTAGAATCGACACGCGCGCTATCATTTTTACATTAAAAACGTAAATTTTTACCGCAGACGTAGGTTTTTCAAGGCCCGATCTAATCATCTGCGCTCCTCCTACTTACTCTAAAATGTTAGCGTAATTGACAAAGACGATATTATATCGCGTTTCTTTGATTGATTCGTTTTTGTGCGTCAGTCCATTGGTGTGCTTGCAGTACGACCAATGGGGCATTCCAGTTTATATTTATAACCAATTATATGTTTTGACAAGACTTTGACAGTTAAAACAACAAATTACAACAGATTATATATTGATTATTATATGACTTGAAACACCACGGCACTGGAATTAAGTTTTATGTGACCTTGAACAGATTAGTTCACATGGTAGCGACCGATGAATCACTCCCAAACATTCGTGGCGTTTACTATATTTGTTTTATTTAACAAGTTGCTTTAATGTATTTTTTTTATAGGCTTTTATGGTCTTAAGAAAGCACGGGAATTTGATTTTATCATTGTTTTCGATGATGATATCTACGGGTCTTCCCGAACTGAGCTCCGAAAAGGATCTTCAGTATCTAAAGGAAACATTAGTAAGTGTCACAACCACATGCCACACATATCATTCGTTCAGAATAGAAACTAGTTTTGTATGATTCACGTCTACTCATGGAAAAAATATGTTACAAGTAGGGAGGGGCGAGGGGGTTTTCGCGCCAGGATGAGAAGGTTATCAAGACATATGTCATCTGTCCAACTTGTCCTAGTGTGGGTTTATACAGGGAGTCTTAATTAAGTGGTAATATTTTTAGGGGTGATATATTTGGATCCCAGGAACACGTCTATAAGGTTTTTTTTCGCAAAAAAAAATTTTTCTAAAAAATTTGGAAAATTTTTAAAATCTCCAGCGCGAAATTTAAATTCCAGTTAGTCAGCACTGCGCCGAATATGTCATGATATGTCATGGTCCATGGTTGGCAACAATGAATTTAAAAATCGCGCCCTCGATTACGTAACTAAAAGTTTAATTGATAATATCAAATATATGTAGGTAGTAAATTAAAATTAGTTGAACGAAAAAACAGAAAAAATCAAGTGGTTCTCAAAATGTTAGCAAATTTTTTTTGAGAGTAAAATAACTCGGTTATTTTCGACTTATTTGAAAAATGACAAAGAAAAAATATGTTTCTTTTATCGAGATCTATTAGCCTTGAATATATTTGCACTTATTTAAGTGTGGGATTACATGCATCGCATTCGTCGTTGATCATGTTGACGCAATCATGTTGAAGTATGGTCTGTAATTTTTGAAATAAACCGATAAAACTGGGCTTATTTGAAAAATGACAGAACATACTTCAACATGAGTGGTACGACAGAACAACGGACGACGCATGACGAATGCAGATAAACCTACCTTTATGCTCTTTTCTGTCATAATTCAAAATATAATTCTTATTCCTATATAACTATCAATTAATAGAATACTATAATATTTATGTAATTATTGCTTATTTTCACATATAATAATTTTATATTTTAGGTTCTCTCCAAGACTGATGCAGAAGCTTTAGCTCACTTTAGAGCGAAATTTGATGAAGCGTTAACTAACTCTTGGAAAACGTCGCTGAACTGGGCTTCACACAATATAGCAAAGAACAACAAAGCATAGTGATTGTATATAATAGGTTTTATTTAAATTATAAGTTGAATTTATTAGGAATGTGCCAATGTTGTTGAAGTACCTCAAGAAAAAAAAAGAAGTAAAGATATGGAGCATCTTAAAAGTTGTTTTATTTAGTTTCTATATTGAAATATTTATAATAGTCCCTACATAATAACTTTCTATGCAGGGTGTCCCAGAAATAAGTGCAAGTATTTTAAGGGGTAGTAGATCTCGATAAACGAAACATATTTTCTCTTTATCGTTTTTCAAAGTCCAAAATAACGGAGTTATTTTACTTTGAACATTTCCAAAAAAATGATTTTTTGCTCAAATTTTGAGAACCACTGGATCTTTTCTGGATTTTCTTTCTTTTAAATTTAATCTACTACCTATGTTGCCATATTATCAAGAAATTATGTTTTTTAACTAAAAACTAAAAAAAATCCAAAATATTTTTCAAAAAATTTCGAATTTTCAAAAAAAAAATTTCCTGAAAAAAGCCTCATAGGCGTGTTTCTGGGGTTGAACTGTACTACCAGTTAAATATTTGCACTTATTTCTAGGACACCTTGTATGTAAACAAGGATAAAGTCTTGATAAAGCTTTTGATAAAGTATTATAGGTATAGCCTGTCCAAAGGGAGGACCCCCTACAGTGACAGTTGTGTGTCATTTTAATTCACTTGCAAATTATATTTTCTGTCATTTTTATGTCGTTTTGTCGAATTAACTCACTCCAAAAAATGGACACCTGTCGTATCTTTTTAGTTCGATTTAATTGTTTTTTAGTGTGGCTAAAAGTGTGGTTGAATTATACCTTTTTTGAAAACCATTTAAAGCTACAGGTTCATCTGAACCTTTGAATAAGAAGACTAAGGAAGGAGCATATCAAAAATCTTAGGTACACCGCGATGGGCCTCAAATATGGCCGACTTAAATTCCGGTTTATCAGTGTCGTTCTAATTTTATTTAAAAAATGTAAAACTATGATGTAGGGTAGACGTGGGGTAGACTCAATAATTTGTTGTTTTATTTTACGTTGTGAATAAATGTTGGTAGTTATTAAAATTGTTATAAAAATATATAATTCTAATAAAAATAGATAAGTTATAATAAGTATTTATTACCACAAACATTCGATACGCTACTGAAGCAGGTAAGTCAAATTAACGTATCTAAATTCTTTGACATCTAATCTTTGACAAGTAATAAATAAAAGCTAAAATGGCAAGAAAAATATATAATTTAGTTAATTTAAGTGAATTTCATAAATGATCGGTTTACTACACGTATGTATATGATATAGTCACTTACTAGCGAAAAGTTGTTCCATTATTTCACTCAATTTTTGCCGAGATCTACTGCACGCTACACAACCAACTATTTTAGAGTCTTTTTCGATAAATCGCGATAGTGTCACTGTTAATTTAAGTTCTGCCACAATTTCCATCTAGATTTACTACCTTTATATAACTATCAGTAGTAGAATAAATAATAAATAACATAAAATAAGCTCCGTAAAGATTGACAAATCCACAAAATTTCAAATCAAATTCAAATGTGTCAAATGAATCGTCAATGTGATCGTCAAACAGAACTGTCAAGGATCCCCACCCTAGAGAGCTTTTATGGTGGCTTTTCCGCCCACCATGCATGAATACATGGATAGCATTATGCTCCTTCCTTAGTCTTCTTATTCAAAGATCTGAACCTTAACGAATTATTGATAATTTTTCATTTAAGTAATATACTTTTGTATAAGTGTGACAACATAGCTAGCCTATTTAATTTGGAAAATAATAAATCGGCGGCACTCAAAATGTGAACATTTTTTCTTAAATTTTTACAACACCTCGGCTATTTTGGGCTGGAAAAAATAGAAATAAATTTATATCCAAACTAGACAACCCCTGAAAATAGTTACTTAGCTTTGCTAAGAAATAAGAAACCTCATAATACATCCCACCTAGTTGCTTTAAAATTAATCAAATATTTTAGGGCTCGTGTCATATATAATTAATTAGGCAAATTACCTAATTAAAACGACCATAGATTGTAAATATTTTATATGACATCCAACTGAAGTTGACGTAACGTCAAGCTAAATTAAATGTCATAATATATGATTGATATGTAAATGAACACCCAGTAGTGTAGTAAATAAATCTAGTTTATTCTTATTTTTATAAACATATAGTAACAGGGTACTCTTAATAAATGTTGATGCAGTAAATGTAATAAACGACTATAATTAGATCTGAATTTTAACTGATAATGTTTACATTTTATCAGAAGAAATGAATAATGAAATTTCCAGACATTCTGTGAGGAAGTTGCTTTTGTTCAATAGAAATAATTAATCGTTTTAGTGATAAGACAACGTTTTTAAATATGACTTAAACCGATTTATGATTAACGCAAAATACCTTCGTATAAAACAGTTAAAATGGTACCTATTCCTGCAGAATATATGCCCGATTTTTGGAGCCTTCTTTCAACAGAATGCCCCATAGTTGAACTCACTTGTTTGTTACCAAATGGAATTATAGTATTACTCAAAGTGAACCACAATGCTACATTGGCTGAAATTAAAGAGGTAATCTTGTTTATTCAAGGTAGAATCTTTCCTGAAGCGTATTTTAATATTTTAGGATTTGTGGGAAGAGGCTTCCCGCTTTCCTCTATATGGAAAGCTCCACGACATATCAGTGTATACTTTTAAAATTATTAATTCTATGGCTGAAGAAGAAGAGCTTAACGATGACTTAAGAAAATTGTGCGATATCAAGCCAACCGGTGGTGTTTTGATAATATCAGAATGCAGAGGCAATTCAGTCGATCACTCAGTCAATGTTGCAATAGGTCATTTAATTGGAAAAGGTACTTACATTTAAAACAGTATAGAACAATAACATTATATTAAATATCAATTATAGGCTTGCAAGAATTTGATGCTCTTAATAGTAATGAGATCAATGATTTTCGATTCAAAATGAGAAAAATGGGTGATGAAATTTCAGAAAAGAGAAATCAAGGTACGTGGTTGGATAAGTTGCAATATCAATTTCCACCGAGGCTTTCCCAAAGTGATGACGTTAAGTTTAAGGGCATTAAATGTATTTGTGTAGAGACAAAGTGTGAATATGAAATAGCTGAATTTGAAAGAGAAGTACAAATCTTATTAAACTATTTGTGAGTACTTTAAAATAATTAGTTATTTCCTCAGAGTTTACAAAGTACATTTAAATTAAATGTTTTACCTACAACCAAACCAATAGAGTTAATGGAGATGATATTGTCAAAACGAGCCAATTTAAATATCAAAAATGAGAGTGTAACCGAGTACATTTTGAAAATATGTGGCCGAGATGAATATTTAGTTGGAGATTTCTCAATAATTGAGTTTCAGTATATACAGGATTGTCTTTTACAAGATATAATCCCTTCATTTTTAAGTGTACATATAAATCGGATACTTGGTAAATTGAATAATATCTTTTTTAAGTTGAAATATTTAATCTATGTTTAGTTTTAGATAATGACTATGATTATGTAGATATACTTGAGGCCAGGAAAAATAAAACAGTATTTAATTCAACAAATACATTAAGAAAAAAGAAAAACATTGAGTCAACTTGGAATATTTCAGATAACTATACAATAACTTTGTGTACAGCAAGTAAACTGAATTGTGATACAAAAAAATCAACTGAGGTATATATTACTAGCTTCTAGCGATTTTGTCTGCATACAGTTCACATTTCTTCTACATTCCCTTTATGACTGGGACGTTTTTAGACTCAGATGTAAATACTTTAAAGAAAAATTGCGAAATAAATTTTCAAAAAAAAAAAATTTCATACGCCTAGGACTAATTAAAAAAAATCATACAAAATTTCACCCCTAGTTAAAACCCCTTAGGAGATGAATTTCCGAAAATCACTTATAAATGTTCAATCCGCCACATAAGGGACATCTGTACAAAATTTCATACTGCTAGGACAGATTTTAATTATTTTATATACAACATTCACCTCTAATTTCTAAAACTCTAAAAAATCATACAAAATTTCACCCCTAGTTAAAACCCCTTAGGAGATGAATTTCCGAAAATGAATATTCTAAATATTGTTCTAATAAATGTTCAATCCTAATAAATGTTCAATCCTAATAAATGTTCAATCCGCCACATAAGGGACAAAACATACAAAATGTCATACTGCTAGAATAGATTTTAATTATTTTATATACAACATTCACCTCTAATTTCACCCCCTTAGAGGGTGAATCTCCAAAAATTGCTTTGTAGTGCTTAATTAACTTTACCTAAGGAATATCTGTACAAAATTTCATACCTACTTCTAAAACCAATTCTAATAAATTTTTGTATTAACTTTTACCCCTTATTTCACCCTCTTAGGAGATGAATTTCTAAAAAAGTTGCTGCTAAATACTCACTTTCGTCACTTAAGGAACCTCTGTACAAAATTTCATACTCCTAGGACTAATTTAAAAAAAAAATCATACAAAATTTCACCTCTAGTTAAAACCCCTTAGGAGATGAATTTCCGAAAATCGCTTATAAATGTTCAATCCGCCACATAAGGGACAAAACATACAAAATGTCATACTGCTAGGACAGATTTTAATTATTTTATATACAACATTCACCTCTAATCTCACCCCCTTAGAGGGCGAATCTCCAAAAATTGCTTTGTAGTGCTCAATTAACTTTATTAACTTTACATAAGGAATATCTACAAAATTTCATACCTACTTCTAAAACCAATTCTAATAAATTTTTGTACTACCTTTTACCCCTTATTTCACCCTCTTAGGAGATGAATTTCTAAAAATGTTACTGCTAAATACTCACTTTCGTCACTTAAAGAACCTGTGTACAAAATTTCATACTCCTAGGACTAATTTAAAAAAAAATCATACAAAATTTCACCCCTAGTTAAAACCCCTTAGGAGATGAATTTCCGAAAATCGCTTATAAATGTTCAATCCGCCACATAAGGGACAAAACATACAAAATGTCATACTGCTAGGACAGATTTTAATTATTTTATAAACAAGATTCACCTCTAATTTCACCCCCTTAGAGGGTGAATCTCCAAAAATTGCTTTGTGGTGCTCAATTAACTTTATTAACTTTACCTAAGGAATATCTGTACAAAATTTCATATCTACTTCTAAAACCTATTATAATAAATTTTTGTACTAACTTTTATCCCTTATTTCACCCTCTTAGGAGATGAATTTCTAAAAAAGTTGCTGCTAAATACTCACTTTTGTCACTTAAGGAACCTCTGTACAAAATTTCATACTCCTAGGACTAATTTAAAAAAAATCATACAAAATTTCACCCCTAGTTAAAACCCCTTAGGAGATGAATTTCCGAAAATCGCTTATAAATGTTCAATCCGCCACATAAGGGACAAAACATACAAAATGTCATACTGCTAGGACAGATTTTAATTATTTTATAAACAAGATTCACCTCTAATTTCACCCCCTTAGAGGGTGAATCTCCAAAAATTGCTTTGTGGTGCTCAATTAACTTTATTAACTTTACCTAAGGAATATCTGTACAAAATTTCATACCTACTTCTAAAACTAATTCTAGTAAATGTTTGTACTACCTTTTACCCCTTATTTCACCCTCTTAGAGGATGAATTTCTAAAAAAGTCGCTGCTAAATATTCACTTTCGTCACTTAAGGAACCTCTGTACAAAATTTTATACTCCTAGGACTAATTTAAAAAAAAATAAACAAAATTTCACCCCCAGTTTCACCTCCATAGGGGATGATTTTCCGAAAATCTCTTCTGTATCAATCTAGGACAGATTTATTTTTTTTTGTATACAACATTATTCACCCCCTTAGATGGCGAATTTCTAAAAGTCGCCTGTTAATACTCAATTACGTCACTCAAGTAGCAGCCTTCTAGAACAGATTTTAACAATTTTTTATGAAACCTATCCCTAATTTCACCCCCTTAGGTGTGAAATCTCCAAAAATTCCTTCTCAGTGCTCACATACATCACTCAAGGAATGTATTTCGCAAATTTCGTGCTTCTATGTCAAGCGGTTTCGGCTGTGCGTTGATACCTAAGTCAATTGAATTTATTGCTTATTGAAGATCAGTAATATTTTTACGAATTTTAAATATATTTTTTTTCAGATTGGTATACAGGTTGGTTTATTTCATGGTGGTAAACCTCTATGCCAACCGGTAAAAACTGAAGAAAGACTAGTTTCAGAAAAATGTGAAGTTGAATTTAATGTAGATTTAGAATTAGATATTGAAGTGTGGCATATTCCTAGAAATGCGAAATTATGCTTTGTTATATATGAATCGAATAAGTATTTTAAAGGCACAAAATCAAGAAAACCAAAGGAAGTCAAGGTACAGCAAACATTTTATTTTAAAATACAGATATTTTTAAACTATTTCATTTTTACAGGACAGTCAAATTAATCCTATAGCTTGGGCAAACACGACTGTTTTTGATTTTAAAGGCTATTTAAGGACAGGAGCCATGACACTTTACCTATGGACTTATGCAGAAGATATCATGTCGGATGATGTCCTGCATCCTTTAGGGACAGTTGTTAGTAATCCAAATAAGGAGTATTGTACAGCTTTAACTTTAATTTTTAAGAGGTATTCTGTTTTTTTAATGTATATTTTTGTGTAAAATTTTGACATTAAATATTGAGTTTTTAGTTATGGTAGTGATCAAAATTACACCTATCCTGCCTTAGAGACTGTTATAAATTATGGTAATAGTTTACAAGAAATTAATAATTCTATATTAGAAACACTGACTGATGAAACTAAAGAGAGTTTTTTAAGACTGATTAATGATATGGATAATTTTTATGATATATATGACCAGGTAATTATTTTATGTATGTTTAAGTTGAATATTTATTAATCATTTCTAAGCTATAATTTAGTTTTAAAGAAATTTTGCTCATAATTTATGAGAGACTGAGATTTTTTATAGTGTATCTTAGCTTTAAACCAGTGACAGTGTTCCTAAAGTTTTATCTAAGTAATTTTTAACAAAAATGTTCTTAGATTTGTTAGAAACAAGAACGGTAAACTAATAGGATTGCTCATCCTCATAAGACGTACGTTCGCCTCTTCCCGCGCTTCAGCTGACAGTTGTGACGTCATTATAGTCCTTGTCATGATAATGTGTATTATTAGTTGCCTATGGTAAAGTTATAAAAATAACAGCCGAGAAATTTTGAGTTAATTATTTTGTCAATTTTAAATGTGAAAAAGGTGTTTTTAAAGTTTTTAGAGCTATAGAATGTATAAATACGTTCATTTTGTGTTGTGGATTGTGACAAAGTGCTTACTAAGTGCCTACGATATTGTTTATTAATTATTTTAAGGCAAAATATGGAAATACTCTAAAAAAATGCCTGCAAAAGGTGATGCTGGGAACTGCTGTTCTTAAAAATCCATTATTCGAGTATTTAATACGATTTATACAGTTGATTTTCTATACTGCATACATATAAGGTGTTTAAATAAATAAACTAAATAATGAATGTTTTGAATCCGGCAACCAATAATGCACGTGTGTGTATTATTGGTTGCCGGATAAGGACTAATAACCACAAATACGTTTTAATAAAATATACGGAGAGTACCGCTTAAATTCCTGTCCCGATGTTGAAGGATGGCTATAGAATGTCAATGCATTTCCTACATAAGTCTATCCTTGTTCGGGAGGAGGTTTTCTGCGCTTGCTCGATCTGTAAGCACTTTGATTGGACAGTTCCAAATCATATGATATGTTTTGTTTTGGTTTTATTTATTTTAAGTTGAGGTTAAAGACGTTCTAATAATTGAATTAAATCTTTCGAAAAATTGGAAGTTTTTGTTAAATATTCTGAAATCAAATAATTTGATAATGTAACATTATGCGCATATTTATCAATTGAGATATTTTAATCGTATCCAACATGTTATGGCAAAACACTTTTTCAACCAAAAGTTTTCAGATATCTTCGATTTAGTTATTTTCGAATGTTTATTTTGTTTATATCTATTACAAACTCAAGGAGCAACAGTTTTTTACAAGTAGTGTTAATTTTGATGCTGGTGCAATACTTCTACTCGTTAAAATAAGTTTATTATAAATATTACAGACATTTAAAAAAATAGGCTATGGAATAGGTATATAAAAATTATTTTATATCTGTCTCACAATGGGGGGCTCCTAGTAGCGTAATAGGTATCTGCAGTGCGATTCTGTAAACATTTCCCTGTCTAGTGACTCATCAATCGTATACAAATAGCATAGGCTCGATAGGAAATTTCTTGCTACAGAGCTTACAGAATCCCATTGCTGATTTCTAAAATTCTTTTTCTAGATAGGCTTCCCGCATCGTAAAAACTCCTATTTTATGGTATGTAATTAGTATTCTGAAGGTATTAAAATATTTTAATATCAATATAGTTTTTTCACTGAAACTCGAGTTAAATCTTAATATACATTATTCATATTGTCGTTTTAGAGATTGTGCTTTTATACTTACTATTATGAAAATTTACTGAATAAAATATATAGTTGCAATCCTTTTACTGAACTCCTTAATTTCTTGTTTTATGAGGGGATAATTTTTGCTTATTTAGGTACTAATTTTAATCAGACCATTTTTTAATGAACTCATTTATATTTATATCATATCGTTCTAAGTAGACTTTGTTGTGTTAGACAATTATTATTAAATAAAACGAATGAAAAAAAGTGACAGGTACGATATTTTTTTTTTAAATTCAAAAAATAATTTAGTAAAACCACAATTATTAAGAAATTGTCTTAAAAACTTCGTAGTACAAATTGCATATCTATTTCACTTTTTTTAAAATTCAAAAAATAATTTAGTAAAACCTCAATTAAGGAACTGTCTTAAGAACTTAGTATTACAAATTGCATATCTATTTCACTCGACTTAAAAATTGCAGCAAAACAAAGTATAACAGTACATTTTTTACTGTCTATTGTTTCTTTTACTGCCCATGTATTTATGATCAATATCAACATCAGTCCTGGTTTAAAATGAAACAAAAGTAATTCTTTATTATTAACATATTTTTTATTAAACAAATATAACTAAAAGTATGTACATATTAAGTTTATACATAAATCAAGCTAGATACAAAAAATATAATTATTTACATTGTTGCATTGTAAATACTCTTTTATATTATGAAAAAAAAACAATAATAATTTACAATAAGACAGTTTGTGTGTAACTGTGTAAGCATTATAATTAGCCTTATGTAGTCTCTATTTTTAGTCTTTACATTATAATGTCTTTTTTATTTTAAAATAGTAAGACTAAATATAATGCTTTTAACAATTATTGATTTTTGAATAAAATTAGTTTAGTATATTTTTGTCTTATATTAACATCCCTTTCATTTCTGATTTTGCTTTCATGATACAAACGAACATCGAGAAAAATTTCTATTATTAATTTGGTTAGTTGGCTTCTACCACACAAGAAGCAGTAGCCCATTCCCATTGTTCTATTAATTAAACTACAGCAAAAGTCTTTAAAACTAAATCACAAAATTGTCAATAAACGCACAAAGATTAAAATACAAACGAAAACACAGTACACGTGGAAAACAGAAAGTTAGAGAAAACTCTAAAAATCCACGCCGACGACGCGTCCAAAAATAAATCGATAACCCATCTCGACACCATTCGGCCAATAGAAAAGTAGCATTTCGGCGCATGTGCATTACATCCATCTACTGAACAAGGATGGACTTATGTCAAACTCGATCTTCTGTCCTTCAATACTGGGACATAAATTCTCTCATTGCTCTTATGGGGAGGCCGCAGTATATTTTAATTAAAACGTATTTGAATAACCATGACAAGGACTACAATGACGTCACAAAGCGAGGAGTTTTTGCATGCACCTGGCAGACACTTTTGGCTGAATGAGCAGTCCTATTAGGTTAACTGTTCTTGTCTTAGAAATACAACCAAAGTACCTAGTGTTCCAGGATGTATATAGAGACAATCTTATTTATAAATAACAGTTGGAAGTGTTCCTGATATTTAAACATTACATTAAAATAAGACGTTTTTTCTTGGGATTATTGTTAAACAGACAAAATATCAAAAAATGTGTATATTCCAATAAAATATTACAGTACAGACATTAGTACATTATTTGCAATCATATCATATAATACTATTACAACTTAATTTCTACGCCTACAGTCCCCTAACAACAACAATAAGCAGCAAAAAGAAAGGGATAAAACTCGTGACGTGGCGAGCCTTACGTCACATAGCTAGCCATCGATGTTAGCGCACTGTTGTTGTCATATCTGTTATTTTTTGGAAGGGACAACAGTTGCGAACCTGATAAAACTAGTGACGCAGCGATCCATTCATCACATTAGTAGCTATCAATATCAGTGCACTGTTATTGTCATATCTATTATATTTTATACATCACAACAGTTGTGAGCTTAGTAAACCTCGCTTTGCAGCTATTCATCGATGTCATGGGACTGTTATTGTCATTTCTATTATTGTTGGTAGTCACAACAGATATAATCGTTGTAAATCTTATGTTAATGCAACAATCACAACATCATATTGGGAGCCGTCGACGTCAACGCACTGTTATTGCTAAATCTGTTATGTTTTGGAAGTCACAATAGTTGCGAGCTTGGTAAACTCGTGACGCAGCGTTACCAATGCACAGATCTATGCCATCGCACTGTTATGATCATATCTGTTATTTCTTGGAAGTGACGGAAGTGGCAACAGTAGCTAGCTTCAATAAACTCGTGAAGTGGCTATCCCATGTCATATCGGTGGTTGGCTGTTAAATATGACAATATCAGCGCAATGTTACAGCGCTTTCAGATGGAGCGGATCGTCCAAGATAGCTCATCTGAGCATACGCGACCCATGTGATATTCTTCATTTAAACTTATGGAATTCGCGGACGGTACGTGCGGACGCTCGCTCCATCTGAAAGCGCTGTTATTGTTATATCTAATATTTGTTGAACAATAGTTGCGAACCTTTGTAAAACTTGTGAGGCGGGAATCCCTGTATCTCATTGCTAGCTAGTTCTCGATTTCAGCAAACTGTTATTGTCTTATCTATTATTTTTTGGTCACAACAGTTTGCCACATCATATTGCGAACCTTTCATGTCAGCGAACTGTTATTTTCCTACTTGTTATATTTTAGAAGTTAGAACTGTTGCGATCGATCATTTCTAAATAACATATTGTTAAATGTCCCGTCTTTATTACAGGATAGAGAAACAATATGGTCTCATAGAAAATTCTGGATAAAACATACTCCAGAGTTATTTCCCAAGCTACTTTTGTGCATAGACTGGAACAAACGAGAGGATGTGAGCCAGGCAATAGTATTAACCAGAGAATGTCCAAAGTTGCCTATTGAAAAAGCCTTAGAACTTTTAGACTATGCTTATGCTGATCAGGTAGTAAGAAGTTTTGCTGTGCAGTGCTTACAAGATATGAGGTTAGTGGGTGTATATTTTATTTTGATTTTTTAAAAATAATTTTGATTGTTTTTAGTGATGAGGATCTTTTATTATATTTGTTACAACTAGTACAAGCAATCAAACATGAACTTTATCTTGATTGTGATTTAGTCAATTTTTTAATCAAGAGGGCTTTAGATAATCAAAAAATAGGGCATTATCTTTTTTGGCATTTGAGGTATGGAATCATATTTTGTATCATCTGATATTACTTTAAAAATTAGTTTATATTATGAATCTTAAGTAAAGAAGCGATTTTTACTTTATTAATTCAGGTCTGAAATGCAAGTGGCTTCAGTGTCTGTGCGTTTTGGATTAATCCTAGAAGCATACTGTAGAGGGAGCCAAGAGCATATTCCCGTTTTGCAAAGACAGTTAAAATCAATAGAAAAACTTAAACAATGCAGTGAAATTGTTCGAAATAGAAGAGATAAAGAGAAAGCAAAAGCGGCCTTGAAGGAATACATAGTTAATAATTCGGCAAAAGATATTGTTAGGAGTCCTCTAGATCCAAGTTATAGGTGTAATGGAATAAAGTAGGTCATTTGCTTATTTTACTCTAGTTTAAGAAATAACTTTCTGTTTTTGTGTTTTACAATGAATTTAGAGGTTATTTTAAATGATTATTCTTTTGTAAAATATTCTGGCATAGTAATGCATACTTTTTTTTAAATTATTTTTAATTTACAGGGTGGTCAATCTTATCTTTTGACAGGGTGTGTTATGAACTTACTTAAATTACTTCAGCATGTCCAATAACAACAAAAATTCATTTTGACATATGTTATACGACAACCGCCATGTCGGTAAATTACAAAAATCTTTAAAAAAAAACGACGAAAAAATTAGCGATGGGAACTATCGAATGAATTAGACTATCGAATGGTTAATGAATGAATGATTTCAACTATCGAATGGTTTTATTCGAATAAAATCATTCATTCATTTGTATACTAAAGCATATGTGACAACCTCGCCGTGCGACTAAATGGTTATCGGTGAGCCACGACTACCTATCGAATGCTTTTGATAAATGAAATTTAGTATTCGTTTGATTTTTGAATGCGTCAGTGCATTATTAGTTCTTCCAAATTTTTATAACTTCGCCGTATAAATACTGTGCTATTTTTGCGTTTATTAAAATAGTTAAAATACTAAAATAGTAGTTATTTTTTAATTTTATTTATTGACGATTGTGTGCATGTGCAGGTGGTCAAAATTTTTCCGAAAATTTGTGTGGTTTTCCGTAGTCCAATCTTTCAATTATTTAATTTTATATGGTATATGGTCTATTTTTTAATGGGAAATTTTGAGAAGTAGCAATTTTTAAGAGAGATGAGATGAACTTACAATTAATTTTAAAAATACATATTTGTATTTTAGATGTTTTAATAATATGAATTAGTTGAACTTAATAATCATATTTAAGTAATGTGGTTAAGTAAATGTGGTTATCGAACTCAAACTATGGGGTGAGAAAATTAAAATAAAAAGTTTTACACGTGCCAATTAAAAAAAAAAAAGTTAACAATGTTTGTATTTTGTTTATGGTAATTCTCTTACATGTAGTTTTTTGCGAAGAAATATTTCATTTATTTTTTAAAGTAAATGCCAGTAAAAGTAAATATAATTTTTAAATAGTAATATAAAGCACCTAATATAAATAATTTTGATTTCTAATTTTTTATTTATATTTTCTTTCCATTACACTGCATGCTTAGAAAATTAATAAATGTTTATATTTCATGATTTTAAAATTTGTTGTTAATATAACAAATTAGTTCTGCAATTATTATTATTTAATAAACCAACGTTGCCACACACAAAAAATTTAGAGACTATATTATTTTTAAATAGGATCTAATATAAATAATTTTGACATCTAATTTGTTGTTTATATTTTGCTACTACTTAAAAAAAAATATTTATATTAATTGATTTTAAATTTTTTTGTTAATAGGTATAACAAATTATTACTGTTATTATTATTTATTAAACCAGTCTTTGCTTAAAAACATTAAAAATCATTTTCCTACATCCAAAATAACAAGTATTATTGCAGTGTAACAACAGAATATTAATAAAAAAAAAGCAGAATATATAGACATACTATCCCTAACTAACTAAAGCCAAACAATAATATTCTTTGCTAATATCAACTAATACCAAAATATGTCAACAGCGCCCTTCATAATGTATTTTCTGTGTAAATACTAGCACCTCAATAAAAAAAAATAATGGGTCCTTATCTATATCTGACTCCGCAAAAAATCAAAGATGCCGGCTTGTTTCATAGCTGTCGGGTTTCTCGGAAAGAAACCTATGTCGCCGGGCGACAACTAAAATTCAGTTAATATTTTATTATAATCGATCCTGACGAATAAATGAATTTCATAAATGAATGAATTTTATAAACGAATGGTTTTTGCTGCCGAATTACTAGAATACAATATTTCAAGGCAGATGACGGATCTATTCGATAATTTTTATTCGAATAGTTTTCAACGAATGTTTTCTTAGTAACTATCGAATTATTCGAATGAATTGCAACTATCGAATGTTTCGATAGTATTCATTCGATAGTTCCCACTACTAGAAAAAATGGCTCAAAAAAGACTAAATTGAAAATTGTTTAAAATCTGATCTTACGTCTATGTTTCATACTTTTAAAAAATTAATATACTTTTAAAAAATTTAAAATTTTGGACATTTTACAGATTTTTTTCGCTAAAATTACATAAGGTAAATCCAACTAGAATAATTTTAAATTCAATAATTTTTACAGACTTGTAAATAATTGAAGGGTCCAGGAGAAAAACATGATAAGTGCCATTTTACTAATTTTACAGGAGAGCACTGGACGGCTGGTGGTTATCAGGTACTTTCCGTGTATTTTAGATTTTTAGTAGGCATATATCTTAGGATTTAACAACTTATTGCTCTGCAGACCAGTTAGACCTACTATAGTATTGTAAAATCCTAAAATTAAGAAATTGGCGCTCATCAAGTTTTTCCCCTGGACCCTTCAAGTGTAAAAAAACAAAAATGGTAAATTTTTAATCTACCCAACTTGATTCAATGGCTTATAAATAAAAAAATCTAACCTATTTTTTATTTAGAATAGTATTATATCATTCAGTAACTCTATAAAGCTATTTTGAAAGCTAAACTCCAAACTTCGAATTTAGGATATCCAGATTTCTATAAAGAATTTTCAGACCAGTGGGCCACCCTGTATATATGTAGTAATAACTAACCAATATTTCTTGCTAATGGATTATTTTGACTTGGGAAATCCTACATTAAGTGGATTAGCATCTGGGTTTGTATATTATGTCTTCTATCTCTTTCAGAATTGAAAAATGTAGAGTGATGGATAGTAAAATGAAACCCTTATGGATAGTTTACGAAAACTATGACAGATACGGAGAAGACGTGTATCTTATTTTTAAAAATGGCGATGATCTCAGACAGGACATGTTGACCTTACAAATGCTAAAAATTATGGATAAGTTATGGAAAAGGGAAGGTTTAGATCTGAGGTACTTAAAAATAATCATGGAAATCTATAACCTAAATCGTTTAATTAAAAATTAATTGATTTTACTAGGATGAATCCTTATAATTGCATATCACTTGAACCGAGAGTTGGAATGATTCAAGTCGTTTTAAATGCAGAAACTATAGCGAATATACAGAAGGAAAAGAATAGTTTTGCTCCAACTGCGTCTTTTAGAAAGGGTTCAATTTTAGGTTAGAAAATTTCGTATATTCTGAGTTAATTTTTAATAGAATTTATATTTCAGCTTGGTTGAAAGACCATAATACTACTGAAGCTGCCTTGAACAAAGCCATCAAAGAATTTACATTATCCTGTGCCGGCTACTGTGTAGCCACTTATGTTTTAGGAATCGGTGATAGACATTCTGACAATATTATGGTTAAAAAGACTGGACAGGTAAGATATACTAATAATTCAGTAATTGAACATGACAGTTCTGACTCGACTCGACTTCAGTGAAAATGATTTATAATTACATGTTATGTATTTTAATTATTGTAAATACCTAACATTTATTGAAATGTTTTTCTAAACGTATGACATAGTTTTTTCTAGTTATGGTATTTATGGTTTGTGTAACCTGTTACGTTCATTTCACCTTTAACAACCAATTTTTAACCATTATCCAATTTCAACAAAACTTAAAATAAATCTTAAAACCCTAATATCCAATACTGGTGCGGTCAGTGCCTGAGAATATCTTTATTACCCATTGTTATATGAGCAACCCCTATTGTTCTCTATAAGAAAGATAACACTCAACTAATCTTTCTACACCACGTGGGCGTGGAAAAGTCGAAAACCAGTCAACAATACGAATAAAAATCAGTTGAGCATTGACTTAGACTAGGCAGAAGAATTATAGCATACTTTGGAACTATTCGGGGACTTCTTGGGCACGTGGAATCGGAATATCGGTCGGAAAAAGGCTGTTTTAATCCCATAACGGAAATTGGTCGGCGGTCCATGTAAATCCCACAAAATACAACCACGTCTCTGACCAAATGTGTTCCGGAAGACTTAATCACTAGGAAGACCTGCTAATTCACTAGGAAGACCTGCTAATCACCAACAGGGAATGCTTCACGGAACGGCAGCCAGTTCTTCACGACGATATTCTGACGGTGGATACACAAGAAGTGATGCAAGGATTCGATTTCCTTCACAAAATCAGATTTCAACCGGAAATCTCCCTCCAGGATATAGATAGAGAACTATATATCTTGACTAGTCCAACTCACAAAAAGGCATAAATAAAAAACGATGTTCTAGATTATTTTCACAGCCATCTTCGATATCCGGTCAATGAACGAACTAAACTCACAAATTCCCACAATTAAAAGAACGAATTGCACACTGCGATCCACATCAAAAATAACCAATTTAACTACGAAATTTTATCTGATAATTATAAAATTTCAATAACCAAAACAAAGGATAAATAAATCCAAAAACATCTGATATGATCTGACAGTGACAAGGGACAAACGATGACCACCGATCCAGTGACAATATTCTGTGGCTCTATAGCGCGGTGTATATCGGGTTGCATAATTGTAAAATTTAAATAAAATAATATTTAACAATAAAATTATAGTAAACATGATGCAAAAATAATAGCTATTTGCGATATTTTATGAGCTAGCACACAGAGGTCGTTGCGAGGAAATTTGACTGTTACATGTTAAAACTGTCTGCATTTTATTGGAACATATACCTTTAAAGTGAAATTTGTACCATCTTTTGGCATGTCACACTGTACACAACAAAATGCCTTTTGCATTTATAATGAAGGCCCGCCCCCCTTGTACTATCACTAAGAAATATACACTACTCAAAACATTTATCGCACATTTGAATAAAAGTAATTATTACGCATTTCTAAATGAAGCATGCATTTTTCTGCCGTTCTCTTGTGAGTTTTTTAAAGATAATTAGGGTACGCACTGTCATGTAATTTTTAGTCGGCCGACTATTTAGTTGCAAAAGTGAAAACAATACATTCTTATGAAGCCGATCGGCGCAATATTTGACCGCATTGACCGTATCCTTAGGCTATGCGCTGACAGGCAATTTTTAATCGGCCGACTATTTAGTTGCATATTTGTAACCAATATGTCCTTATGGAGCCGCGCTGACATGCAATTAACTAATAGTCGACTAACTAAAAAATAAAAGATAAACGCGTAGGCTTATTGTTCCGAATTTTCCTTCACAGTATCCAAACTACCGTATGATCGAATAAAAACGGCGTCAGCGATGGCTATGAAATGAAGATCGCTGTCATTTTATATGTAAACTGATATGGGAAATGTCATCGATCGTCATTTCTAAGCCAACTGGACGCCGTTTTTTTTTCGATCATACGGTATTTATAACCGTAAGTCAGGGAATTCAGTGTCTTCTTTTTCAAATTAATATATTTTTTTAGAAGATATGCGATAATTGTTTTGAGTAGTTTAATAATAAGACTATAATTTTACTGTCTTACAAGCAATCGTGAAAAACTACAAATATTAAGCTTCAGACTACTGACTTTGTTGGAATGACCTATAGAAAACACATTTACTGTAACTTATAAACCTTCTAGATAATCAGATTCTCTCTCTATCTCTAAAAATACTTTATGCTAAAACGGACTTTTTATTGTTATTTTCAGTTATTTCATATTGACTTTGGTCATATTCTCGGACATTTTAAAGAGAAGTTCGGTATAAAAAGGGAGAGAGTGCCTTTCGTCTTGACGCACGATTTTGTGTTCGTCATCAACAAGGGCCAAAAAACTCAGCAAGAAACCCCAACAGAATTTAAGGAATTTCAAGATAATTGCGAGAAGGTAAGTTATTTATATGTCTTTTTTATTTTTTGTGTATTTTCATTTTTTGTATATTTGATTATTTGTTTTCAAATACGCGGTGTTCTAAATAAATGACTTGATTACAATTTAGATTCGAATCCTCAATAGAATAAATCTCACACATTACACGAAATCGCCTTATTTAACCAACGCACCTACGTCAACCATGTCTACAGGGCTATAATGAAAATGTAACAGTTTTAGACCCTCCTCATATCAAAAATGTAGCTCAGGTTCGGGGAAACGGCAAAGTTCTTTCTTTGCCAATAAGAGATTCCATTAAGGTCCATTCAACACTACAGTTTTGTTATATTGTTTAAAATTGTTCCGTTAATAGTGTATTATTTTATTAGGAGTAAAAATGATATTTTGTGTGGCGAGGCTGTACGTTTGACATTACAGGCGAGGCACAAAAAGTCATTTTTACACTGAATAGAACATGCTATTTCTTTCAAACATCATAAATAATTTTTTAAACAATTTTAAACGTTCCTAATAATATAAAAAAAAATAAAAGTAATACCTTATAAGTAATTATATATCGAGAAACGTAACCATAGGGTTACGCTTGTTGAATTTGACACTTTCTGTCAGTTTAATAATAGATTTTCGTACTTTTATGCTTAGGCGTAAAGGTGTTTTACTTTTATGCCTAGGCGTTAAAATGACTTTTATATTGTCAGTCATGTCGCAAAAATTAATACTTTTGTAACGTTTGACAAAAAAAAATGTTTTAGACCTATGGAAAATCTTACTGGATACTAGAATTGAGGAAAGTTAAAAGTTAAAGAAAAAAAACAAAATGTGTTTCATAACTTGTTTAATTATGTATTATTATATATTAATTGTTTTATGCATTATAATTCGGAAGGCAATATCTTCTTTCTTATTTAATTGACAATTATATAAACTACAGTTGTGAAAATATGACACAAGCTGTAGATAAGTAAAATGAATACTATAAATAATATTTTTATACTTTTTTAACAATTCCCATGGATTGATAGCAGATTTCTTTCTAGGCAATAAAAATTAAATAGTGTCTTGATTACAAGTGGCTTCATAAACTCGTCAGGACTTAACTCCTGATTGTCGAAAATTGGCAAAAAACTAAGTAACATACGTAGGTTATATATGTTTGTGGCGTTATTATTATTATTATTATTCTTTCTTTCATTTATTATTTTCAACTTCCTAACACATGAATTTATATTCTTAGGCATCACCGCTTTCATGTTTTTACTATAAATTACTCCCCCATATCATTTGTAATATTGAAGATGTTATGATCAGAAAATAAGTAAATCTTAGGTGTTAGTTAGCTATCATAGTCTCTGGGTATCACCGTTTCACTTTTATATCCCAACGCACTAACCCAACATTTGCAAGAAAACAGTGGTTGTCGTTTCAATGTTGAATAGTTGGTACAGTTTAGAGTTACAATGTGAAGTTTTAGAACATTAAATCGCAAAAAATACCTTTCAAACCTTGTTAACTTTTTTGAAATTATATTTATATTGATTTTCAAGTTATATAACTCTTTTACAAATAAACACCTTTTTGTCTTCTGTAGCATTCTAGGGATATAATGCTACAAAATATATCTATCTATAGTTTCTATATAGGTATAACTGCTTTTTGAGTCCACATTGTAACTTAAGCTGTCAGAAGACAAGACGTAAAAATAAAAAAGAATTGAAATAAATCTAATCTTATATTTTCAGGCTTTCATGATTTTAAGAAAACATGGCAATTTGATATTGTCGCTATTTGCCATGATGATATCTACAGGATTGCCTGAACTGAGTTCCGAAAAAGATCTGCAGTATTTAAGGGAAACTTTGGTGAGTATTCACGATAAAAATGAAATGGAGTTTTTGGTGTTTAATATGTTATGCTAAAATTTTTTTTACTAATATGTTCTCTTGTGATTTGTGGATTCTATACATGTTTTTTTGGTATTATGACAGTTATATTAGAGCTTTTATGTAGCTATTTATCACTTAAAAACTATTAAAAAGTCACTCCGTAAAAATTTCACAGACAAAATTGTCACACCACACTTCCTTTACTCAAAGTTGTTTATTTAAAAAAAATCTTGAATTGTTGGTATTTTACTTGGTTGCTATTTTGAAAACGTTTTGAGTAGACACAATACATAAAACACTGATTTAAAATACTTACTTATGAAAGCTTATGTTCTGATTTTTGTTATAAATTCACAAATCGTGCACTTTAAAGGTACGCGCACACTGACCAGAGCCGCACGCGCCGCAACGACCGAAGAAAAATATTGTTTGTGTTACTTTCAATGAAGGTGCGCACACTAGCCAGAGCCGCACGAATCGCATCGACGAAAATGCGGCCAGCATTGTTGAACCAGAATGATTGTCGAAAATACGGCTAGTGCTGCTGACGTCACACGCAATTCCTTCCACTCTACGTAGGTAGCCGAAGAGGAGATTAGAAATTCAATATGCTAAGAAAGTTCGCAAATTTTTCACGGCTCATATTGAAAAATGTTTAGTTCATCCTCAATTAAATATGGAAATAATGTGGATTTTTGCAAATATTGTGAACCTATAACTTTCGATTCTTTCTTGTGATTTCTTCTTCTTCTATTAGCAAGTAGCTTATAATTATTTCTTGTTCGTTGTCATTTGTTCCTTATCACCGCAGACAGCGACTGATGAGAAATTCGATTGGCAAATACAGATGTAGTAGAGGCAAAAAGAAACAAAATAGCGAATAATGCGGCGCGTTCGGTACGGCCCAGTGTGCCCAAGAAAAAATAGTGCGATTGGTGCGGCGCGTGCGGCGAGTGCGGCGTTGGTCAGTGTGCGCGTACCTTAAACGTTCCACTACGCAGAATGTTTGTCTTACTTTGATAAAAAGGTAGTCTTACCCACTTTTTTTTTAGAATTTAGAATGAGAGGGAGGGGGTTAATCACTTCGACCTTACAGATCCATTGTGTCCCCCTTTCTTGAATCATAACTCATCATACAGTCCCAGGGCTTTGACAAAAAAAAGCCAGTATCTGGGACGGTTTTATAGAGGGTAGTTCTCCATCTCCAATATCAGTTGTACCAAAATTCATGGCACGAATGGTTGTCGTCTCGGCGCACGCAGTGATGAGGTGTACTGGTGTTTCCCCATCTTCCCCACAGAATCTGCATTCGCCGTTTCTTCTTAGTTTCAATCTACTGAGGTGTTCATTGAGGAGACAGTGTCCTGTTAAAAACCCCGTGACAATCCGAAGATTGTTCTTACTTAGACCCAGGAAGATCTGTGATTTTTCTTGATCATAAGCCCTCAGAAACTTCTTCGAGTGTCTTAGACCATTGCAAGATTTCCATTCCAGGTTGCGGATGGAATCTTCCAAGTTCTTGAGTTCCGCCTTGAGTTGGTTACCACTTGGAAAGCAGAACGGTTCTGGTCCAGTTAGTGGTCCAGTTAGTAGATTATTTGCTTTTTCATTGCCTTCTATCCCTTGGTGAGCAGGCACCCAGAGTAGGAGGACTTTGTTTTCTTTGCCTAATTTATTCAGCTTCTCTATGCGTTCTTTGACCAATTTCGAATTGATTGATACTGAGTTGATCGCTTTTAACGCTGCTTGACTATCAGACAAGACGGCCATTTCTTGTTTCCGATAGTTCATATCTAAGATAAGTTGTACGCATCTTTCGATAGCGTAGATTTCTGCCTGTAGGATATTAGGGTAAGTGCCCATTGGTTCGGAGTATTTAGCTCTTGGCCCAAACACTCCGATCCATGTTCCCGTATTGGTTTTGGAAGCATCAGTATACCAAGTTATGGTATGGTCTTTTAACTGCTGGGCAAGCGTTTCGCTCTTCCAATCCTTTTTATTGCTCAATACTACATTGAGATGTTTCTCAAAGTTGTACGTTCTTGGCATGTCGTCCACTGGGAGTTGCAGGAGTGGTATTTCCTTTTTGAGGGTGTTCCAAGCCCCTCATCTGACAATTCTCCCAGTACTAATTCCGTTAGTGACCATTCTAATCATTGTTGCATTGGCATATCTACCAATGACAATGTGCAGTGGTGTTAGATCTAGAATAACCTCTACTGCTGCTGTTGGACAGGTTCTCATGGCTCCTGTGATGCAAACGCATGCTAGTCTCTGGACTTTGCATAGGTTTAGCCTTGCCGTCCGTTGCTCTAGTTTTGTGTACCAGGCAACTGTTCCATAAGTAATCATGGCTCTTACTATCATGGTATACATCCAGCGCAAAATGTTAGGGGAGCAGCCCCATCTATTTCCGGCCAGTCTTCTGCATATCATGAGAGCCTTTATGGCTTTGCTGGTAGTGTTCTTAATATGCCTGTTCCACAGGAGTTTACTGTCCAGGGTTATTCCCAGGTATTTAACTTCCTGTGTTGGCAGTATTTCCTTTCCATCTAGTTGGATTCTTTTCAAGTCTTTTTTCATTAGTCTTACCCACGTTTTTCTTCAATATTAAATTCTTATGATCCTTATGATTTTTCTTCAATATTATATCCCAGATGAAGATGTAAACGAAACGTCGTATCCAAATTTGCAGGGTGGGATCGTGGGCACCGTCGGCGTCGCTCACATAGCCTACACACCAATTGAATGCGTCAATCAATCCTAATTTATGTCATATACTAAACATACCAAATCTGTTTTTTTTATATAAAAAAATAAAAAAGTTATAGGGGTGAGCCACTTTTGAGACGCACCCGGTATAGACTGTCCAAAGAATCAGGAATTATTTCGAAAACAATTACAGAAAATACAATTTGTTTGTGAAATAAAATCACAAACACAGCTGTATCAATAAGCTTAGTAGTGGACTTAGTAGTTGCCTACTGTAACAACCTTCCCAGATTAATAACACTTTTTGATGAATTAAGGTTGATTCTCACTATACCTTCCGTATATACGTTCCGTATCAGTTCCATACTTTTTATTGTACAATTTATTGTTTTTTGTTAAGTTTTATTTTAAAAATTTGTATCTTTTGAAAAATGAAATAGATTTAATTAAGAGGTGAAAGAATAAATAAATATCAGCAAAATTTTAACACAGCTGGTACAAACGTAAGAACTTGACAACGCTGTTTCCGATACGCTTCAGTCCGTTCGCCAAAAAAAGTGTATGGAAGGAAAGGATATGGAACGGAAAGGAAATGGAACGGATAGTGTGCATTGTCATATTCATTTACATGATATAATAGTTTATGTAAACGGAAGGGAAACGGAAGGGAGCTGATATGGAAGGTATAGTGAGAATCAACCTTTATTTTCTGAACTATTTGATCTTACTTAGAGTTTATACAGTATTACATACTTTTTACATATTTATTTATAAAAATTGTATTACAGGTGCTATCGAAAACTGATGAAGAAGCCAAGGCCCATTTCAGAGCTAAATTCGACGAGGCACTGTCAAATTCTTGGAAGACCTCGTTAAATTGGGCTTCCCATAATATAGCTAAGAATAATAAAGGCTGAAATAATGATAAGTCATTTCTTAAATAAGTGCAAAGCACATTTATCAATATAAATAAAGGTTTATTTCGGTGAATTTTATAAAAAAAAATCGTGTTACAAAAATTAGTCCGAACTGTACTTTATACCCCAGAATTTTACATGTTTATTGTTATATATTTGGTGTTCTAAACAAAATTATATTAAATTTATTTTATATTGATATAATCAAATTATTGTGGTCGCTTTTTTATTTATTTATATATTATATTGCATGTTATTTTATTATTCATTTTCATAATTATTGTCTATTTGATTTAAATTGAATAGATAATATAGAAACATAATTATGCACTTATTTAAGGAATATTAAGTATTTTTTTTAATGTAAGTTGCAATTATAAAGCATTCTAAATAAATGATGTGCCAATGTTAATAAAATTGTATCGATGCGAATGAATAACTTGAATATAATAAATATGTTGTTTGTCATATATATGTTGTTTTTATTTCATTTAGGGACCTTCAGATTATTAAATTTTTTATTAGAATTTTTTTTTGATATGACGATACACTATAATAGGCACCCTCTCCCGGAGATCCGATCGAGGGTGTATTTTACCTCCGGACGACGATTTTGTCCCACTACAATGTTCCATCTTTGATAAATGTCAGCTGCGTAACAAGGTTCAACTGTGACAGTTACGTTGCCGCACAGTTTTAGCTGCAACTGTAGCACGGGATGGCTAGGAGTAGTTTACTACTCCTCTTCTCCAAAAAGATGACTGGTCTGGTATGGGAGGGGGAAAGAAATCACTGCGACCTTATAGATCTATTGTGCCCCCCTTTCTTGAGTTATAACTATCATTCAGTTTCAGAGCTTTGAGAAAAGCCAGTATCTGAGACGGTTTTATAGAGGTTAGTTTTCCATCTCCGATATCAGTCGTACCAAAATTTATGGCTCGAATGGTTGTCGTCTCGGCGCACTCAGCGATGAGGTGTTCTAGTGTTTCTCTATTTGTCCCACAGAATCTGCATTCGCCGTTGTTTCTTAGCTTCGATCTCCTGAGGTGTTTATTGAGGAGACAGTCCTATGTTAAAAACCCTGTGACAATTCGAAGATCGTTTTTACTTAAATCAAAGAAAATCTTTGATTTTTCTCGATCGTAAGTTCTGAGAAATTTTTTCAAGAGTCTTGGACCGTTAGAGAATTCTAATTCCAGGTTATGGATGGATTCTTCTAAGTTCTTGAGTTCCACTTTAAGTTGGTTTCCACTTGGAAAGCAGAATGGTTCTGGTCGAGTTAGTACAGTGTTCGTTCCTTTTCTAGCTAGATCGTTTACTGCTACCCAGATTAGGAGGACTTTATTTTCTTTGCCTAATTTGTTCAGCTTCTCTAGGCATTCTTTGACCAACTTTGAATTGATGGTTACTGAGTTGATCGCACTATTTTAAATTTCAATCTAGAGTGCCATGGCTATGTTAAAACACTAATTCTTAATCAAGGAGCCTTGGAAAAATAGATTGGATCGTCTAATGTTTTTAGTGTCGTGTCCTGACCAGTTTAAAAATTCTCAAATCGTATTTTTAATCATATCTCAATTTTTTCAAATGGAACGAGGGTGGCTCATTAGCATGTTTGGAAAAAGCATTTTTTTACGAATAATTTGATACCACACACTTGGTATTTCGAGTCAAATTGTCGTTATAAACCGCATGTTATAATTTCAAATAAACCATATGCGAAAATGTCAAAAGTTGACATGTGATATGTCATTCTATTCAGAGTGTTATTTTCTATCGAATAAAGTAAAAAAATACCGAGGGTGCCATTTAAAAATCAAAAGTTGTAGTCATTTCCGGTGAAACAGGAAGTGACCGAAAACAATTGAATACGTCAATCTATCCTAATTTATGTCATATATACTCATACCAAATCTCGTTTTTTCAACTGAAAAAATAAAAAAAGTTATAGGGGTGAGCCACTTTTGAGACGCACCCGGTATATTTGACTAATTATATAAATTACCGGTAATTTTACATCACTAGGTGGACTTGCTTATTAAAATTATTGTATCGCTAACACCAAAACAAATTCTGAAGTTAAATACCACAAAAATGACTTAGAAAACCCACTTAATTATCAGTTTCTATGATCATAAGACACGTGGTAATATTAAGCGATATTTTTTGTCATGTTCTCGTTGAGGAATTGAGGTTGATTTGCGGATAAGCAGACATCCCCAAAACGTAGTAAAATTAACATTTATTCGGTACGAAAACAGGCACAGATTTGTGGTAGATCGTTTATTTTTTAGCTCGTTACGGAACAATCGAGGTCAAACAAGTCCACTTGTGGCGAAATACTTCTCGATTGGCGTGGTCGCCAACTCTTAATAACGGTCAGTTATGGGTCATTTTGCTTGTTCTAACGCTATTTAATGTAAAAAATAAAGGACGATAATTTTCTTTTTGAAAATAAATGATATTTTTTTACTTTTATTCTGTCTGGGTTACAATTTAAATTGTAGTTTATATACAACTAGCGTGTACCCGCAGCTTCGTTCGCGTCGAATTAATCATTCACAGTGGTGATGATAAAGCAAAGCAAGAATTTCCATTAACATACAAACTGGATAAAATTTTCTCACATTTATGTCAGCATGAGAAAAAACAATATGGCGATATTATTATATAACTTGGTAATATCTGAGGGGTAGTTTAATCTCGTTGGAATTTGACTTTCGAAAAATCCGTTTGCCAAAAATAAGCTTTTTACGTCAAACAGTTTAAGCAGAATAATCAGTTACCCAACTTTTTGGAACGCCCTGTATGATTTTTTAAAAAAATTCAAAATATGTAAAAAAACAAAATAAATTATGCGTGTTCAAGCGTTTTCCCGAAAGGCTAACCGTTTTTTAAATAACAAATATTGTAATATTTGAGGGGCGTTTTTACCCTCTTGGAATTTGAGATTTGAGAAACCCCTCCTTATCGAATCTCTACACCCCACAGTCAATCCGTTTGCCAAATTTCAGCCTTTAACGTCAAGCAGTTTAAGCAGAATCGTGATTACTCAATGGTCATATTTTATGAAACACCCTGTATAAATTTTTAAAAAAACTTAAAATATGTAAAACAAAATAAAATATACGTGTTTAAGAGTTCTTCCGAAAAACTCACTTGTTTTTAAATAAAAATTATTCTAATATTTGAGGGGTGGTTTCACCCCCTTAGAATTCGAGTTTCGAAAAATCCCTTCTTATCGAACCTCTACACCCTAAAGTCAATCCGTTTTCCAAAAATCAGCTTTTTACGTCAAGCGCTTTAAGCAGGATCGTGATTAATCAATAACCAGATTTTTTGAAACACCCTGTATACATTTTTAAAAATCTTAAAATATGTAAAAAACAAAATAAAATATACGTGTTTAAGCGTTTTTTCGGAAACTTGACGGTTTTTTAAATAAAAAATATAATATTTGAGGGGTGGTTTCACCCCCTTGGAACTGGAATTTCGAAAAATCCTTCTTATCGAACTTCTACACCCTAGAATCAACCTGTATGCCAAAATTGAGCTTCTTACGTTGAGTGGTTTGAGCAGGATCGTGATTAATCAGTGAGTCAGTCACTTAAGGATTTCATATATTAGTATAGATTTTATTAATTTTTTAATAGAATATACTACCGGAATGTTCCCCAATACATTTCGGATTACCCTGTATAAAACGGGAGAAAGGAGCATGCGTTTAAATTATTAGGCTTGAAATCCTTGTAAATAAAGTAGACTTCATCATTTGTCTGCTAACAAGAAGGTGACGAACATAAATTTACTGTCTAGTAAGATTCTAGTAAGTAAGTAAGTAACTTTGCTTTCCATTTTCCATTGTTTTCAGATAGTTGATTATGCAAACTAAATACTTAAATATATTCTACAGCACACTCTTTTCTAGCGTTATCCCGTTATGTAACACAAAAACTCCCCCAATTTTTCAAATTATTTTTATGATACCGCACGCAACTCCAGCGAGAAACACACGACGCTTATTCTCAAAACTGGACCGTATATAAGTTTTTCATATCGTATAATTCTACTATAAGTGCCCTGAACCTAATAATTTAATAATAACATACTTTTATGATTATGCGACAAACTTTCAGGCGGCTGGGTTGGACTAGCGCCAGTTTTGTTCATTAGAATGTATATGGACCACCAACTGTAATAAATTATTATAAGCGAATTAGGTTTTCTTGATTTATTTCGGTATATGTCCATGTATATTTTTATGATCATATTTTATGATAACATATCTAACTTTATGTATAATAATTGTATTATACTGTTTTTTATAATTACTTCAATAATTTATTGAAAAATTGTACATACCACCCGGTACAATTTTTCCGGTACAACCCGGCCTTGTTTAATATATTGGTTTAAATAAAATAATTTGTCTTTTTTTAAAAAATTGAGTATCATGTACAAATAAATTATGTTCTTTTTGATTGCGATGTTCTCAAAAAGGGCAAAATGACCAACCAAACGAGAACTATAACCTCTAAAATCAAAGTTATTCGATTACAGTTATATTTTTAAATTAATAGTAGTATCGTCTGATGTCTCTTTAATATAATAATAATAATATTAGCTCCCGTATATAGCGTTTAACGCCTTGGGAGTAGCAAGGTACACCTTGCCATACTAGAGCCGTTCGGTATACAAGGAAGGTAATGTGGCTAGCACTACGCTTCAACCGCCTATTATTACCTCAGGATCGTGAATCCCAAGTACTCATTTAAGGCTGAGTCGACCTAGGTACCCAAACTATTTTTATTTTAATAAAAATAGTCGGCTGATGAAATGCCAGGTGTGGGAATCGAACCCACTACCTTCAGATTGGTAGACGAGAGCCTGTACCTCTACGCCTCTACTCCATCGCCACCGAGCACCTTAATAAAATATACTTTGTGAAAAAAAGTTATAAATAAAACAAACTAATCCCATTCTTATAGAGATTTAGAACTGATTGTGTAATAATAATAATCAATATTTTTGTTATCCAATAGTTTGTCAAATTTAAATTTAAGCAATCCTGAATATCAGAAAATACGACCGCAGATAAACCGGATCGGGTGTATGTATGCATATGTCTACAAAAATGTAATTGGCAAGAGAAAATAATATTATTGTTTATTCGAACGCGTATACGCATATATCCGTGGATTTTACGTAGGGATATCCGAATATTGAACAGATGTTTGTGTTCTATTGCGGTTTAGAGAGTTTCGATGCTTTTATATCCGCCATAATTCCATATGGATTGTAAAGAAAAATGTAAAATGCAAAATATCAGAACTGTGGTTTCAGCTAAAAAACATTACCAGTACATAATTAAAAATGTAAAATACAAAATATTAGGACTGTGGTTTACTAAAGGCTAAAAAAACATCACCAGTACATAATTATATTTAGATTAACAAGACTATGTTGTTTT